AAAAAAATATGAGAATTTCATGACAGCTAAATGTTAACTGCAAATTCTCTAACTATTCAACCTAAGCCATTGTTAAAGGTAAGCTCTAAGGAGTGTATTGATTCAGTTATTTTAAAGACATGCACATTGGTCAACATTCGCTTTGAGAAAGTACATCTGCAGGATATATGCAAGAAAAAAATTCTAATAAGCAGAGTTACAAATGCGCAGGAAAGATAAAAGCATGATCAGATCAACCTAGCTATAGAGCATCTTCAAATTTTAGAATGTAAACAACCCAAAAGTATACACAACAGATACATATGATACCTCATTCTTTGTAGAATTTTGTTATAGTCAAAGCCAACGGGCTATCAGCTTTAGCAAGTTCCATTTGACTGTTATAGTACACAATATTTGTTTAAGAAATTCTTTAGCATTACAGATCCAAGTTCTGTTCTTGGTTTCTGGTCATACTAAAAGAAGAAATTATGAAAAAAGCCTTCAATTTCTTTTCTTTCCAAGGTTTGAGACATAAGAATGTTAAACAAGTATACAGGTTCAGTAAATAATTTAAAAGAAACCAGCTTCGTGCCTGCTGCATTTTTCACTCCCACATGCTTCATTCAATGGTGGTACTCGTATAACAAATTTCTCATTGATAATTCACAATAAAGTTTGATAAAAGGAATAATATTATCTGCAGGTCTAAGCAACCAAAATGCCCTCAATAAATTTGAAATTTCACCCAAAAAAGAAAAAAACATGCAAAAAAAATGTGAGGTACAGAATCTAATACAAACCTGTGGGTAATCTGGGGCACTGAATAGGGTATATAACTTCCCTGATTTTACTTCATGATCTATGCTGTAGCCCTCCAACATATTTTTCAAACCTTTCTGACAAGCTATCGAGTCAGGGCCTTCATGTGACCTTATAATCACCTGTTGTAGCACCAAGAAATCACATCCAGTCTTGACATCCAGCTTAAATAAGTTTTATAGATAGATAGATATAGAGAGGGAAGGGAATTAAATTAAAGGGTCAAATTTGATCTACTTTGTTGGAGCACACAGCAAAGGTTTAACAGATTGTCAGAAAATATCAGACTCAGATGTGATGAAGTAAACACTTGAATATTTGAAAGCTTGTAGAGAAGTTAAAAGATCATGATAGCTTGTTCACATGATAGAACTGGTTTAGTACATACAGGTAAACGTTGGATCTTGAAGCTGGGTTTCCTATTTAGTGCATGATTTATGAATCCATCATACTAAGTTTCTTTAATAGCTCTAAGAAGTTCTCAAAAGGAGATCCCATTTCCCTTATGTTTGATTTCTTTTATTCTAATACTGGAAGCATTAAATAGACCGACTGAAGGCATTTAAAGTGATGAATGCACAAGTAAATCGATAGTTAAGGACTTGAGGCATTTACAGGTGGTCAATGACAGGCTTTGGCAAGGACACTACTGGAAATGCTGAGAAGTGAAACACAGGAACTGATTGTATGCTGGATGGAGAATACTGGGGATTTCAATTGAGTTCCTTGAGGCAATGTAACCATCTCAAATATTAATATGAATTTAGATTAGTTATTTCTGAAAATATAAACCAAAGGAACAGGGTTCTAGCTGCAAACTGTGGATGTCACAAAGAATGCCTATCAGAGTATCTCGGATTAAAAAAATCTTGGCCTCTTAGTGGAATTTAGCAGGAAAAAACATGAGAAGACTGAAGTGAGGAGATTTTTGTCTCAGAGAAGAATGACTCATCCTTCTGTTCATATTGACAAAGAGAAAAGAGTAGTTCTTTTACCTTTAATTTAGAATGTTCTAAAAAGGCCTCTGTGCAATCAGGACCCCAAAGAAGACCTGCATCGCCTCTATTGTTTTCGGTAAGACCAGGTTCCGTTGTTGGATCTGACCATAAAACATCAGTCAAAATAGCATCTTTTGCTGACAGATCTTGAACAAATCTGGTTACTTTATCTAACTCATCCATAGAACCCAAAGATAAAGTGGTAGTCATCTTCTGTTTTTTCCTTCCACTTTTGTTTCCATTGACGTTTTGCGTTTCCTTTTCTCCAAAACTTTGTGCAGAAATAATTTCTTCACTGCGGTAAAGCCCTCCATGGGTTGTATAAACACAATCTGCTATTATTGAGGCCAGAGGAAGTTCTGCAAAAACTTTCAAACATTTTCGGTAGACACTTTGGCCATGCTCAGGAAATTTGCGATTTACCTCCTTCAGAAAACCGCATATTTCAGAGATATCACTTGACTCGTGATTTCCGCGCAGCAAATAAATTCTATGAGGCAAGAAGGCCTAAAAATGGAAAAGGAAAGAAATGAAAACGGAACAAAACCACATAACATAGTTAATTTACGATTCAAAATACAAACAAGTGATTGCAATCATCATGAAAATGTAAGTGAGTGCATTTTCCCCTTCATTTATTTTACAGGAAAAATAAAAAAACAAAAAACTTTCAGGTAATTAACAAATGAGGCATGCAAGGAAAAAAGTATTTCCAAAATTTGTCCACATAATAACGATTAGATAACTACATTACCATGCTAATTAACTCCTTGATATCTAACATATAAGATAAGTGTCAATGGATCTGAATCACAGTGGAGCATACTCTCAAATCATTATGGGTCCACAAATGGGGTCCACTTCATTGTGAATGCGGCCAACTTTTAGGCTATTCCGCCCAGTGAATTTTGAATAGAAAGAGCACAGTAAGTACAAGAAATGTACAATGATCTAAAATTACCTTCCAAGCCAACAAAACTAGAAACAACTCCAAGCTCGATTTGCCCCTATCGATGTAGTTTCCATTAAACACAAAAAGCTGCTTCTCAGAGGGTAAACCGACACTTTCCCAAATATTAAGCAGGTCAAGATATTGTCCTCGTAGATCGCCTACCACAACCACTTTGATATTATTGTCGCATTGGATCTTAACACAATTAGGTTCTTGGCAGAGGATGTGTGAAGCTTTAGTTATCAATTCCTCCACCACAGGAAGTGGCATGACTGATGCAAACTCTGACAGTGACTTGTTCCACGAAGCCCATTTAAAGGTTTCCATCAAATTTACAATCCAATCTAGCGTTATTTCCCCATCCAGAGGCCAGGATATTGGCTTTCGAGTTGGTTCTCCCAGTTCCATGTCAACATATTTATCTTGCATGGCACTGTGCTCACCAACAGCCAGCCCCTCTTTAACTTCCATGATAATCTCTATGTCCTGCAGATCACCAACACCCATACCCTCCTCATCTCCCATAGCAATCGGCCTCTCTTGAAGGTCATTGTGCTCACCAGTCGCCAACCGATCTTTATCTCCCATAACAATTTGTCTCTCCTGAAGGTCACTGTGCTCACCAATGATGACACACTCTTTATCTACTCGAAGACTCTGTCTATCATGCGCTTCACTATGATCACCAATGACCTGCCCTTCTTTATCTAGCATAGCGATCTCTCTCTCCTGGAAGTCATTGTGCCGCCCAACTGTGAACTCATCTTCATCTTGCATAACACTTTTGCTGTCTTCCAGGATACAGCTTTCGCCAACGGTCAACTCTTCTTTATCTCCAAATTTGATATCCATCTCACCATATCCAATCATTCCAACAGCTAGTTTATCTTCCACTTCTAGCACTTGATTAAGATCCCTATGCTGATCCACTGTAGTCGCACCTTGTTTAGCAATAATCCCACATGCAATTTCTGAAATCATTGTCAACGATTTCTTCTCTTGTGCATTGAAGTCGTGAAAGGATGTCAGACTAATTTGATCAACTATTTTTCTGCATTCCCCTACCTGCACAATTTGTTGCAACCATTCACCAAAAAGAGTTGTTGCCCAATGAAGTATTTGTTATCCAAAAGTTTAAAATGAAAGTAAATTATCACCTAATCAAATGCAAACTAGACAAATTTGAACATAGCATAAACATCACCGTCGTCTTGACCCTGCACAACTACTGCCCTCATAAATAAACACTCACTCACCATAGTCTCAATGCTGATCTTCAAGACCCGAGACACATCATCTTCGGTAGCCTGTAAAATTTACAAGAACATAGAATGTCTAAAATCAGAAATAGCCTACATGAAGAAACGAAAATTCAAGCTTGATATGCAGAGAATTCCTTACCAGTTTCGTTTGTCGATTAACAATCCCATTACCTAATTCTCGTATCATCACCAGTGTACGAATTTCTTTATCATCCAAACTAGTAAAATCCACCGAATTTATATAATTCATAACCTTTTTACAGTCATTACGCCTGACTTCTTGAACTCTCTTCAACTCAAGGTCCATTTCTACACTGCAACCCACTACAAATAACAGATTCAAAATTAAAAAAGAAACAAACATAAACACAACATGCAGAAAGTTCACTCCTTTGACAGCAAATAAAAAAAAACTAATTAAATTTCTTTTCAAAACCTAATTCCATTAGATTTTCCCCCCAAAAGAAAACCTAAAACCAATTAAAAATTCGACCAACTGAAAAAGAAAACAAAACCCTAGCTTATCAATTCCACCTTCAATCAATAATTACATAGAAGAAAGTTTGCGGATTCAGTAACCGGAAAGAATCGCAGAGAAACGCCGGAGGAGAAACGAAACGATCGCTTGCTTCAATGGCGCTGCTCCTGCTGGCGAGGACGACGAAAACGACGAATCGTTCTCGATTCGATAAGACACGTCGTTTCAGCTTCAGTTCTTTAGACTATCGCCGTGTGGGCCTCCTCTGAGTGGATTTTCACTGATAGAAAACGACGCTTCGTTTAGTACGGCGTGTCATTCGCTCATTCAAATAACCGCTCTCAAAACACGACAAGTATCAAAAAAATAAAGTAATGGAAGCGACCGTCACTCATCCTGCATTTGCCTTTAAGAATGGAACGACGTCGTTCAACCAGGAACAGACCGCTATATATATATTTTTTTTTTTTTTTGGCACGCCTTCGTCTCCCTCGCTCTGAAGGGCAAAAATGGAGTTAGAAGGAGAAGATGGGTCGAAAATTGAAGTGGGAAGCGGTTCAAAGGCCGTGTTTGGAAGAGGCTGTGGTCTTAACACGAAAGACAGAACCGTGTCACGTGGTCACGTTATTTTTGATCTCGACAACCAAACAGTTTTCTTTCAAGTTGTAGGGAAGAACCCAGTTTGGGTACGAAGTGGTGAAGAAGTTAAGATATTTAGAAGGTTGGAGAAGGGTGTAGTAGCAGCTGGTGATTGGTTCTGTATTTCAAGCCAAAACCCTGTTTGGTTCTGTTTGAAAGAGGGAATTGGAGGAAGAAGAAGGGTTTTGGAGAGTGACAGTGGGGATTGGGGTTCTGAAAGATTTGATCTTTCAAAGATTGACCCTGTTAAAGGTTTGCCCTTTAATTTCTTTCTTGTTATTAATATTACTGAGATGCAGATCAATGTATTGCTTGAATCACTAGTTAACTGTTTATTATTACGTGCATTTTATGTTTGATAGTGTATTTTATATTGTGGAAGTACAGAATTTGGATTTCTTGTTATTGGGCATGAATTTGACTGCTATCCTAGGCAAAGGATAAAAGATGCAGGGAGCTGGGATTGGTTTATTGAGGAACCTGAACAAGATAGTGAGGATGGTGACAGTTTTGAGAGAAAAAAGAAGAGTGTGAGGGGAAAGAGGAAGAAGAAAGTTGGAGGGAATGATGATGATGATGATGATTGGACTGGTGAGAGTGAAGATGATAAGGAGATTGTTGGAAAAATAAGAAAGGTTGACAGACCAAAATATTCAACTAGATCTAAGGAAGGAAACAAACCTAGTCAATATACGAAAAGAAAGGTAGTTTCTGCAAGGAAAATCAATGAAGACGACAATGAAGATGATGAGACACTAGGAGGCTTTATTGTTGATGAGGAGGAGGAGGAACGAGGAGAAGAAGGCGATGAAGAAGAAGAAGAAGAATTCATGGATGGTGACGAAGAGCTAGATGACTGATCCTTTGATTGCAGAATTTGCAATGGAATGAACAGATATTTCTGCTGAAAATTGTTCTGAAGGTGACCTCATTTTCTATCTTGCTGCTGACATGTAGTAGTAATCTGTGTTGTTCTAACAAGCTAACTCGTGCTCTTCATATTTTGTTTCTTTAATCATGAACTGTTTTAGTTGTAGGAAATGTTGCTGTAAATCTGTAATGTATTTCTCATTGTACTGGATGAAAGATTGTTGTTTTGATCCCAAGTGAAATCATATTGTTCTACAATTGGTAATCTATCGATTAAGAAGTGGGCACATTCCTATTTTGAATCTGTAAAAGCAAAATGTGTTCGCTGTGATCAAATGTGAATAATAATTTGGTATGTAGCACTTGATTCTGGTAGCATCGTCTCAGCTCTGAGGGCTGAGCCTTCCTTCACTCAACTACCCTGAGTTCTTCAGCTGCACTCATTTTTGACCTGACTGTTCCAATCCATTGAGGATTGATCATGTCATATCCGGTGTTTAACAAAAGATGCTCTAGATAAGAAAAGTGATGAAGCTGAATTATTGGGAGAGAGATTCATGACATGGTTTGAAATGATAATGAATCACCTCCATTTTAACAAGTTGGGAGTTTAGCATGAACAGGAACTGAATGGAAAAGTAATGTGTTGTTGTTACATTAGTGGAATAGGGTTAGCTTTGGTCCCTAGTTATTTACTTTCTCTCTTGTTATGAAAGAGACTTTTTATTTGATGAGATATCTAAGCAAATTTTAATTTCACATCTCTTAAAATAACGTGGAGTGATATAATCAAGCATGGCTTGCTTTTTTAGCTGTGTATCCAATAGTTTCCGATATTAAAGTAGGTTCGAGCGGACTAACAAAAAAGGATGGATGTTGACGTAAATAGAGTAAATTATAAATTAGCCCCTTTGGTTTTGAAAAATAAATTAATTAGTTTCTCTTATTTTAAAAACTAATCATTTGAGCCCTATATTTTGAAATCTACATATAATTTAATCCTTTCTGTTTTTTTTTTTATCATTTTTAAAAAAAATAGAAATAAGAAAAAAAATGGAAAGATTGATGAGAAAATAAGAGATTTTGTGAAATAAAAATAATATTAAATTAAGTATGATCCATATTGATTTAAGAATTAAATAAATTTTTAAATGAGGGGGATTAATTATTTTTTTTCTTAAAACTAAAGAGACTAATTTATAATTTACTCGACTTAAATGATAGATGGGTCTTGAATTTTTCTATAGCTTAAAAAAGAATTAAAAAAAAAATCTCATAAAAGCAATTATAGACGTGCTTTTAAAATACACCGTAAATCTATGTATAAATAAATTGCTTAAATCCAATGGGAAATAAATTTGATATCTGTATATAAAATATAATATTGAAAAAAAAAGTTATATAACCAAGGACTCATATTCAAATTAAGGTTGATCTATTACTCTTCTATAAATTTATTTATGGTAACATTAATATTTCTCTATTTTTGCTTACCTTTTGCTTTAAAATCTTGACATGCTTAAGTTAAGTTAGTTTTCGTGTATGAAAATTTAAAATCTGACTAATTAAATTAAATGATTTTTGTATATATATATATATATAACCTCATTTTTATTTAAATCTAAAATGATAGTATAAAAAACAAAATCAATGATTTTTGTCCATATTCAACACCAATGAACGTGTTCAGACACTAAGAAATGATCATGAACTTTCTTCACAAATATGGGATGGTGAACCGTTTTTTTTTTTTTTTCATGAATCGAAAAAGGCTAAGGTTTCATGCATTTGTGGTTGAACATGAAATTTGGCTGGGTGTTTTCTTTTTGACCGTCAAAAATGACACACTGAGCATATGCGTTATGTCCGTGAGCTTGACGACGTCGTTATCTCAAGAATAATTAAATAAATATAACTTCCAGAAGTCGAATATTTCAAATTAAATTACTGTCTCTCTCTCTCTCTCTACGAACCTAGGGTTTTTCTGCAACTTCAAAATCGAATACTCAATCCTTTTTCAGCATCATCAAAACCCTAGCCAGTAGGGTTGTTCAATCAATCGATCAGTAAATCTCGGCGAGTATAATTTTAGGGTATTTGTAGTTAGGGTTAGGAGAATCATAAAAGAGGGCTTTTTCTTGCAGGTTCTTGCTTTATAGGTCAAAATTATGTCAATGGATTATGATTACCCACCTCAAGAGAGGCAATATGGAGATAACGTAATTGCCTTTAACGGCCGTGACGAAGTCCATCAGCAACAACAACAGCAAGAAGAGGGTTATTATGAAGAAGAAGAACAGCAACAACAAGGGGGAGAAATAGGTAGTGGAGGAATTGAGAGAAATCAATCAATGATGAATCATCATCACAATCGTGACTCTTCTTCTGCAGGGTTAGTTTGTAAATATGTACTATTTCTGTGTATGTAGGGATCTTGGGGTTTTCTTGCTGTTTTAGAGGGTTAAATTAAATCAAAAGCCGATTGCGCATTACCCGCGGCAATATTTGTGAATGGGGAAATAATTTGTGGGTTTTTTTTTTGTTGTTGGTAGAAAACTCTTTGTTGGTGGTGTCTCCTGGGAAACTAACGAAGGTAACACTTCAATTTTTTATTTTTATTTTTAATTTTTATTATTTGTTATTATTAGAATTATAAATGTCATGTAGGATTGGATTGAGCATTTTAACTTATACAATTGCTTGCATTTTGAATAGCTAATTTGACTTAGAGCTATGGCCACATATTTTGTTACGTTTCTTTTAGTTACTTAGAGGGATATATGTGCCAATCTTGAGGTCCAATCATTAATTTATGTGCAAGTGTATGGAATGGTTTGGCAATGGTTTCTGTTATTTGAGGTATTGGCAGGTCATACTTTTAATCAAAATCCAGTAGCAGTAGGGATTATGCTTTCTTCTATCTCACCCTTAGTATTAGCGACCTCTCATGAACACAATTTCCCTAAATGGTTTACCTACCTTCTTGATTGCTGAAAGCTAGTTTTCTGACACTTGGTCAAGAAATTTGAAGAATATGTACCATCAACCACTGAGGGATCGCTGCTTAGCTCTACAGCATGAGGACAGCTACATGGATAGGTTTGTTGTCAGCTTGCATGCATAATACTGAAGGAATTGTGTTGGTCATAGCTTTAATCTTAGTAGTAATTCAGTAAAATTGAATAGAAGATGAGGATAGATGAAAGTGTCTGGTTTTGCTAAACTTCATGATCGAAGTTGAGACCAATGAGCTTAAAATAAAGCAGCCATGTTGTCTTCTTTCTTTCACCATTTTATTGTTTGTATTTTTCTTATCTTTGGCCATTAAAAAAATTCTCCTTCGACATGGTCTACTTTTTTCTTTTTTATTTACAGGTCAATTTATTGTTTCTATTTAGCCTGATTTGTCATCCTTTGTCATAAAAGTCTCCTTGGGTAGCATTGGATCTCATTTGTGCTAATGTCTATCACATCCTTTTGGTTTCAGAAACTTTCACTAGTTACTTTAGCAAGTATGGAGAAGTCATGGACTCTGTAATAATGACGGATAGACATTCTGGAAGGCCACGAGGGTTTGGCTTTGTAACATTTGCTGACCCTGCAGTCGCTGATAGGGTTTTGGAGGAAGACCATGTTATAGATGGCAGAGCGGTAACATTCACTCATTCCCTAACCACATAAGATGTTTAAGTTTATGATAATTTTTATTCAACTTACTTTAATAAACGGTGGAAATTTTGGTATTTGGGAGCTTACATTGTTTCATTCTTATGCCAGGTGGAAGTGAAGAGGACAGTTCCAAGGGAAGATATGGAGGTTAAAGGAGTAATGAGAACAAAGAAAATTTTTGTTGGTGGAATACCACCATCTTTGACTGAAGGTAACATAGCTCAATTTTCATATTGAATTTCTCTTTCCTAAATGAGCTAAATTGATATGCTCCCAACTGTCTTGTCATATTGCAGATGAGTTAAAGGAATACTTCTCTGTTTATGGTAGCATTGTTGATCACCAGATTATGCTAGATCATAAGACTGGAAGGTCTAGGGGATTTGGGTTTGTCACATTTGACAGCGAAGATGCTGTTGAACGAATCTTTTCAGAGGGCAGAACACATGAGCTTGGTGGTAAACAGGTAGGTTATAATTATGCTGAAAATAGATATTCCTGTCATCCTACTGGATGTTTATGATATATCATTTTAAGTTGTTAATAACTAGAGCCCTTCAATATAAATTTTAGGTGGAAATAAAAAAGGCTGAACCAAAGAGAACTGGTGGTGATTATGGTAGTGCACCAAAGTCTTATGCTGGTGGTTTCGGCAATGGTGCTGGGGGTTTCGGTGCTGGCAATAGTTCAGCAGGTCGTTATGGTCGAAAAATGGGCAGAGGATATGGTGGGTATAGTGGCTATGATGGTTATAGTGGGTATGGCAGTTTTGGGGGAAGCTATGCTGGAAGCACTGCTGGTTTTTACGGAGGTTATGGTGCATATGGTTATGGTTTTGGGTTTGGTGGGCCAATGATGTATGGACCTGGTGTATATGGAGGAAGTGGTTATGGCACTCCAAGTGCATACAACAACGCTGCTGAGTATGTAGGTGGTAAAGGATATGGGAGAACTGGTGATGGTGATAGTTTTGGCAGCAGTAGAAGATATGGTAATGGTGATGCTGTTAGCGGTGGCTATGGTGGTAATAAGGGGTATGGAGGCAGTGCAAATGGTGGTGCTGCTGTTACCGGAAGGTATCATCCTTACCGGAAGTAGAAAGATTTTCTCTTTCCCAACGAAGCAATGGCATCAGCAATTGGATATGAAAGATGCCGTCTACATGCTCAGTAAGAGCAGGCTGTTCTCAGAAAACTGATGGATATTCTGTTGTTGCAAATCTCCTTTTTTCTATTATATAAGGAGGCGAATTGGTTATAGAATGTTTCTTGTGATTGTGAAAACCCAAATTCAAATTATGGTATTGGTCAGGTTGGATTTTGCAGTGCTTGGTCGTAGGTAATCGGCTTCTTGGTCCTTGCTAGAGTTAAAAAAAATATAACTTAGTTGAAACTCTTGTACAATATGTCAATTTTACCGTTAGATAGAGCTTTGTTTTGAACTTCTGTTGAATTGATCAATGTTACTGACCTTTCTGTTCACCAAAAGACTAAGGTTTATGGCACCAATACCGCTATCCATTGTTTGGAGAATCTATTTATGTCTCAATTTGAAGTTTATTATTGATATTTCTGGAATTAATTCCATTCAAATAATCATATAATTTAAACTCGAAGATATTCAGATCGGACCTTTCAGTGGATCTGGAGAAGGTCTATTGCAAAATCTTGTCAATTAGTTAAAAGAAATGTATTAGTCAAATTGTGGAGGCCACTTTGATTTTTATAGGCCTCTTTTTCCCATTTCAGAGCTGTCTGATGAGAGTAGTAAGAATTCAAGTTTGGTTCTAAAAGTAACAGATTCTGAAAAGAAAAAAAAATTTCCAAATTTTGAGGTTTTTTATTTTTTATTTTTTTCCACATGTCAACGGAAATTAAGCTTTTTTTAGACGATTTAAAAAATGTAGGGAAAATAAAATAAATAAGGAAAAGAAGAAGAAGAAGAAGAGAACCTCTGTTTTGCCTCCTCCGTAGGTAGAAAAAAGGTAATTTTCCTCTTATGTTTCATTTTCATTCAATTTCCACCATAATTAATAAAAAAAAACCAATATAAGGATAATTGATAAGGAATGACGGTCGTTAGTCTTTCTAAATTTTACGCATCATGCGGGGTCAATTTTTGCCTATCTTTGTCGCAAGAAGTTACTTTTTCCGTACGTTTTATTTCTTATGTTTTTTTTTTAATTATCATTACTTATTAATTCATTTCTCATTTAAAAACTACTCGTAGAGCACATGAGTCATACACGTCATCCATAAAATTGACGGAAATTGGAGACGGTTACTAATTGATATAATTTGGTCCATTGTTTCAATCATGGAAGTAATTGACTACAAATGAAAAAAGGGGCAGGATTGACTTTTGTCTACAAATACAGGGAGCAAAATAGTGGTTCTCATAAAAAGAAGGAAAAAAAAAAAAATCGGGGAAGCCTTTGCTCTCTATCTTTTTCTCTATCCAATAACTAACGTACAAAAGGGTTGCGTAGAAACGTGAGCTCTGCTGTGCTGTGGTAAAAAGCAAGACAACCGTTTAAACTGCAAGGACTATGTCCTTGTTGGTTAAGACCAGCAACAGTCATCTCTTCTTATCATCAGCTCCTGCCATGGCAATGTGTTCAAGCTTCTGCCCTCCACTTTCCACTCATTTTAGAGCAACGCCGATTTCTTCTTTTCCCACAAAGCAACCTTTCAAGCTTCTCTCTGCCCAAGCATCAACTTCTCCACCTAAAGGTATTTTCTTGAATGTATATATATATATATATATAATTCAGCAACTTGAACTGTGACACTTCATGGGGTTTGAGATTTGTGTTTTATCGCGCCACACAAGGTTGAATTACCATTATAGGGGTATCTATGTTTCGTTCGCAATCAATTAAGTCAAGGTATTCAAAAATTTCATGGGGTCTGCTTAATTCAATTGTCTATTAATTGAAGTGTTTTCCTTGAAACCTGAAATGGGATTTAAAAGTTGCATTTGCTTGGAGATTGGAGATTGAAATTCATTTCCTACTGTCTTTCAAATTCAGCAATGAGAATCAAACCAGAACATTACATGTATTCATTTTTTATGATAATAGCAATTTAAAATTTTACATAGTGTTCTGATACAGCTAATAATATTTATCACTGTAATTTTTATGCGAAACATTACATCTATTCATTTTTTGTGATGGATGGATGAAGTGGGGCACAGCACACATACACATTGGTAGCTGCCAAATTAGCAGTATGATTACTACACTGGACTAGCAGCTTCAATTTGCATATATATCAAGATAATGAATGGATGTTGATGGTTTCAAGATCTATGAAGACGAGAGACCCCTAACTATCGATTTGAAAAAAGAGATGAATAAATGGGTCGGGTGGAGCCAGCTGAATGAAGGTCGCCGTTAGCGCCCCTGCAATCTTTCCCCACTCTAAATTAACTATAGTCTTTATTTTTTGAGTGGAAGGTAAGTGAGATTGGAGATGGTTTGATTCGGAGAAAACAAAGAAATTGGTTCATTTATGAATAGAAAGTATGGCTAGGTCCCTAGATCTTCAGATCTTCTATAATATAGAAAACCTCATGCCCCTGGTCCTGCCCTTCGACTAAGAATCGGACTCATGATCTACCAATAGGGTACTTTCTTATTGAATCAAGCTCGTGACGAAGGACTGCCTTTTATCCTTGAACTAAAGATCAATCATAATAAACAATACAAGAAAAGAATGGATTCGCCTGCCGGCGAGAAGGGGGGATATAGGGTAGAGGAGATTGATTATAGATATTCACTCCACTCCATAGACAGTGAACACAGATTTTTGTTTCATTTTCAATTCCTTGTGGGTCCATGGACTAATGGTGGGTTTTCCTTCCATAATTGCTTGTGAGTATGCTTAGTTTGTAAAATTCTTTAAGCTGACCAAAGGTTTTAAAAGCAGTAGTGTATGCAATTGCAAATGGAAACAGAACTGAAAATGGTGACTGTACAATAGCATATGCATATTGAACATGAAAGGCATTGTTCTCCTTATCTTCAAAATGGAGAATGATGAGGTTGCATAACCCTGTTGGATTGCAGCAGTGGCAGAAGCCTAACTGATGACAATGATGATGATGTTCTTGGGGCAGTGGCAGCCTTGTTGTTAGAATACATCATCATTTTGTTTGTTCATATTAAAGCATAGCTTTTATATTTGAGCTACGATCTACCAATTTATCTTGATTGTATTCATCTATTCGGTTGAGCTGTTTTTCCATGTGTAGAAACATGTTTTTGGTGTATTACTGTATCTAACCAAACCCTGTTCTGAATTTGCAGCCGATGGCTCTCCAACTACTGTTGGCTTTCTAGGCCTTGGAATTATGGGTTCTCCAATGGCACTGAATCTCATAAAATCTGGGTATGATTTGTTTTGTTGCTACTCTGTTTGGATGACAAGAACAAACATTTCTTGCTTTACCTTTGGCTGCAGTGTATTTTATGTTTCCTTTATCAGGAACTTTTGAATAAACAAATTAGCTATTAGATTGGCTATGCTGAGTCAATATTCTATTGACTGGAAAGTTGAGTTTAATCCCATATTTGGCATCTTTTAGGTGTGATGTGACTGTTTGGAATAGGACCAAGAGCAAATGTGATCCTTTCGTCAGCTTGGGTGCAAAGTAAGTACTTAATGTACGTCCTGTAAAATAAATGTTTTTTTGGAATTTCCACATGGTTATGACTGACTACCTCCAAATGAGATGCTTGAAACAAGTGAACTTGCATGACTTGGAATTCAGTTTAATTCTGGGAGCAGGAAACTAGCTATTTTTCAATTGCTCTTAATGCTTTCATCTGCAACTCTTACAGTACAATCTTTTACACAATTCAAGCTGGGAAGAAAATCTTTACAATTTGGTTTTATTTGATGCAGATATAAGCCTTCTCCTGAGGAAGTAGCTGCAGCCTGTGATGTCACATTTGCGATGCTTGCTGATCCTGAAAGTGCAGTGCGTATGTTTTGTTTCAGTTGCCTTCTTTTAAGTATTTAATGCAAGAAGACTTATACCTGCCTTATTTCAGTTGGAGGTTGCACTTGGAAAGCATGGAGCTGCTAGCAGTATGGGTCCAGGAAAAGGGTATTCTCTCCTTGTTCTCCCCGCATGATAGGGAATTTGTATGTTCTTCAAGTCATTGCTCAGTGGTTATTGCTCCTAGCTTCATACTAGTACCACCTTCTGTGAATACATGATTATGTTGTAGTTTGCTTAGCGTTCATTAGAGCATTTTAATCTTCCAATGTGCAAGTTGCGTAGCTGCTGGTTTTCACTTCAGAGCATTAGCCACTGCTTAACAGAAGTTAAAAGAGCCAACTTATATGTTGATGAAGAAGTGTCACCTGGTGGGTACTTGCTGGCTTAGCTGATAAATTCACCTGGCATGGTACCACCACACCAAGCAGGAGAGTTCAAATCCCACTCACACCAAAGAGGGCAGGTATTTGGGGAGGCCAATCCCCTCTCGTGTAGCTCAAGGCCCACTGGAACTTCGATTGAACCAAAAGAAAAGGCAGATGTATCTTCTAGAGACTGCCTTCCACATGGTTCCTTTTCCAATTTAATGTGATGAAGATCTTTCTCTTCTAAGAATCAAGTGCTTGCTAGTAGATTCATCTAATGTGATGACATCCATAATCACCTTGATCCCCCTCCAGAATAGCATTGATCTTGGTTTCCGTATACAAATTCACCATTAGCAATTGATTTTCAACAGAGATAAATGCCAATGTTCACCTGGTTTGACTTGGATCAGAGCAGCTATGAGATGGATAAAGATTAAAATGCATTTTTCTCAGCTGGTTTTCTACATTTGTCTTATTGAAGCTTCCTTTCTCTTCCTAAGTCGCATCTGCCTACGTGATATGGACAGGTATGTGGATGTTTCAACTGTTGATGGTGGCACTTCTAAATTGATTAGTGGACATATCAAAGCTTCCGGGGCATCATTTTTGGAGGTGAAAATCCTTTCTTGCTGCAACTAAGACATTGTCACTCTAGTTGCATGATAACTGTTTTAAGAGAATTTCAGGTAAGATTTACATGTTTTCCTGTAGGCTCCTGTTTCTGGCTCTAAAAAGCCGGCAGAAGACGGGCAACTTATATTTCTTACTGCAGGTAAGAAGTAATTCTAAATTTGTTCACCCTACATAATTTCAAATTTATGGATGATGTATATATTATTGAAATTTTCTAAGTTTCTGGTCACTAATAAAGTTGCTTCAAACCTCTTCTGCAATTTTTTTATTGTCCACTCATATTTTATCCTGTACCCATTTTTGTCTGTGCTGCATAACACAGTGAATCACCTACTATAAACTAAACCATAAGCTGCCATCTTTCAGGTGACAAATCTCTGTATGAAACAACTGCTCCATTCTTAGATATCATGGGGAAGGTACTCTCTCCACTTCTTCTCCTACATTCTAATTACACATTATTGTTTACATGGATTTTTTGATAACATCCAGTCAAGATTTTACCTTGGGGAAGTTGGAAATGGGGCTGCAATGAAACTTGTTGTCAACATGATCATGGGCAGGTTCTACCGAGTTCCTTTGGTCAATTGTCTCTGTTTTGCTCTTATGTTGATTAACATTGTGACACCCGGTGTTTTCAACAATTTGCAGTATGATGGCAACCTTTTCTGAAGGATTGCTTCTCAGCGAGAAAGTAGGATTGGACCCAAATGTACTGGTTGAGGTATTTGTGATCAGACAAAATCTTGTTAGATTATGTCACATCTCTTGTCGTAAAACTCCATGAAGATTGATTGAATTCTTGCTCTTGTTTGCTTATGATTGATTGTTCTTGTTTGTTCTAGCTCTCTTTTGAACATGCACAATGTTAATAATTGCGCTGCCATTCACTGGAAAGATTTTCACATTCTGATTTATTTCTTGGTCTGTATGAGTGCGTGCGTGTGTGAGAGAGAGAGTTTCTGAATGATGCTAAACTAGAATTCCCTGGACACAAAGAATGAAGATGATGCAGCATTTCTCATTCTATAATGGTACTTCATGGAACGAGTACAGCCAAAATGGACCTCATTTGTTAGGTGTGCTGGGTTGAAAATTTCTTGGCTAAAAGTGTACTCTATTTCCCTGTCTTTGTTTGTAGAACTGCCAGCCTTTTTCTTATATTGAATGATGTTATCATTTTGTTTTTATTTTGTGTTGTTATTGAAGGTTTCGATTGAAGCCTCTTAGGAAACTTCTTACGTAGGTGAATTTGCAGGTAGTGTCACAGGGTGCCATTAGCGCACCAATGTACGCGCTGAAAGGTCCATCAATGATCAAATCCCTATACCCCACTGCCTTTCCCTTAAAGCATCAGCAGAAGGTTTGTAGGTATTCTAAATTCCTGACACCATTTAAATCAATGCTGCAATCTCAAAGTGAAGTTGATGGTTTCAGGACATGAGACTTGCCCTGGGATTAGCAGAATCTGTTTCCCAACCCACTCCAATTGCAGCAGCTGCAAACGAACTATACAAGGTAGCAAAAAGTCATGGGCTAAGTGATAGTGATTTTTCAGCGGTGATCGAAGCACTGAAAGCAAAATTGCAGTCCTGAGCAAATTAAAACTCGTTGTCTTCAATGAGTGTGTTCAGATTTCCTCTGGGATGCAGTGTAACAGTGGTGGTTCAGGCTGCAACTGAACGTTAAAAAGGTTAGGCTCCTTCAAGTCCGCCTTTCATTGGCAATTCTCAAACATTTCTGCCGAAGAGTTTAGACAAGGCAGCTTCTGGTCTTTGTAAAATAGAGTTGAGATACACAAGTAAAATTGATTTTCAATCTTTAGACAGATTTCTCTTTGTTAATAGAATCTTTTAGCTATTCTGTCAGTTTGACATGAGCCACAAATATTAGTTGTGCTCTTTTTTTCTTTTTTTTCCTTTCTTATTTTTCATACAAGCTCCTAGTGGACTTTGTTTTGTTGCACGTTCTTATAACCCATTTGGGACAAAAAAAAAAAAAAAAAAAAGGAAAACGAAAGAAAAAACTGTGCGGCCCCAAAAGTGCAAATAGTTCCTCAACAAAAAAATTTGCCGTAATTAATTGGTGGACAAATTTGGGAATTTCGATCAAGTCCTTCTCTGAATCTACTTAGGTTTCCATCAATTTTCTAATTGAGTTAAACCAACTGTTTCAGCACTTTTGCCCTTTTCAGCTCTAGTAGTGACTAGCATGCTTCTCGTGCTTTATACTAGTCTATATAATATGTTTTAATATTTTAAATAAATTGAAACATATAGGTGTAAAATAAAAATTAATTAACACTAATTGCAAGAATTAATTTAATTTAATTTATATTATGAAATATTTAATAAAATATTTATATTCTATAATTGAGTTTAAATATATCATATGATTATATTTGATTTTAATCAATTAGAAAAAAGCATGGGATTAATTATTTATTTTAAAAAATCAATTAGAAAGGGTACTGCTAAATCAATTTATATTAAAAAAGTGTTTAACTTCAGTTAATGAGTCTATAAAAAATAAAATAAAAAGATAACAATTAATTATTGAACAAAAAAGCAGTCCAACCATAAAATAAAATTTTAAAAAAAAAACACAAGAAATTTATTGTAAACACAAATTAAGTTTAAAGATCGTTTTGTATAATATTGCAATAAAAGCGTGAGACAATAAAAAGAAAATAAATATTATAAAAAAGGGCCTTCTGGATGAGCCTAAGACAATTAGGCCCATACTTTTGTATTAGAAGCATAGTCCAGCCCAAAAAAAAAAAAAAAAAAAAGATTTTGTTGTATTACAAATTAAGTTTAAAAACTATTTTGTACAAAAGTAGAATTCGAAAGATCGAAGTGTAAAATAATCGCACAAAATGTCAGAAAAACTATTAACCAGAGTGAAAGATCTAAGGTACTTACCTATTACGTACACATACACACTATCCATTGATCTATATATTATCTACAGCTTAATTTCCACATTATGTAATTAATATATTCATGGGCGCAAAACTTAATTTGTTATTTTTATAGACTGACGTTTCATTTCTGTTTTTGTCTTAAAATGTTATGGTGTGCTGCTATTTATTTATAATATTTGAAAATAAATGAATAACGAGTACATGATAAATTAAGATAACGATATATCATTTGATGTAACTGATTGGGTTATTAAAAAAAATCCAGTGTAGATTTTTTTTTTTTTCCTGTAGAAATCCGTATCTAATTATAATATTTCTAATTAATATATATTTGTCGGAAATTCATTCATTAATTAAAATTTGTAATAATTTCTGTTGCTTTGTAGCAGAATATGAGCTCCTGTTTTATAAGCTTTTTTTATTAATGAATCCTTATATATAAACTTAATTTGTTAAGGACTGGACAGGTAATTAATCCGAGAGCTGAGTGGCATCATTCTAAATCGGGGTCCCAAGCTTTGCAACTTTGCGGAGTACTTGAGAGGGTTTAGGGTTGTCTACAGAAGGTCATTACGTACTATTAATTAATTAATTAATTGTATATGATTTTCCAAAACTGACCACGATATATATTATCTTAATTGAGTAATTATACGTACATATATATATTAGTTAACTAGTAATATTTGTGATTATGAAATGAAGCCGATGGATGGATGCAGATATGCTGGCCTCTATTTCTGCATGCATATACATATGAGAAAGACAACGAACTGGAGGTTCTTGATATCATTCACCATTAAGTCGAGATACTGGATCGCTATTTTGGCAGTGTAAGTAAATTCTAGCTACTATACGTACAGCTTGAAGATTTAAACCTAATTTCTTATTAATTAGGTTTGTGAATTGGATCTAATCTTCAATTTTCACAAGATACGTACGTACATGTGTGTCATATTTTCTGCTTTAATTGAATACTGAATAAATTGCAGGCGTATTATATTCTGGACGAAATATTGATTGCTGGCGAGCTTCAAGAGTCGAACAAGAGAGCAGTAATACGACTCGTGTTTATGCATGAGTGCCGCATATTTATATATATATTCTCAATTGCAACTCCCTAAAACCGTACATATTTTTTTAATTTATCACTATTAGGTCGTAGATAATGCAACCTTGCATTATCAATAATTTATTTATTTTCAATCTTTAGACGGATTTCTCTTTGTTAATTGAATCTTTTTGCTGTTTGTCAATTTGACATGGGCCACAAATATTAATTATGCTCTTTTTTTCCTTTTTCAATTTTATTTATTTTTCATGCATGCTCCTAGTGGAGTTTGTTTTATTGCATGTTCATATAACCCTTTGGCCAAAAAAAAAAAAAAAACAAACAAACAAACTGTGCAGCCCCAGATTAAAAGTGGAAAAAGTTCCTCAAAAAAAATTTGCCGTAATTAATTGGTGGACTAGTTTGGGGATTTCAATCAAGTCCTTCTCTGACTTAACTTAGGTTTCCATCAATTTTCTAACTGAGTTAAGCCAATGAGTGACACATTTTTAATAGGAAAAGAAGGACTGGACTGGGTTTCAAGTTTTAACCCTAAATTTATATGTTAATTCATTTCAATAAACTACAAGGACTAATTTATAATCAACTCAATTTAGAAGTAGAGTTGATGATAAAAGAGACGACGCAAAACACGAAACAAAATGAAGGATCCCATCTTTACTTTACTTGAAAGTAAAAGAGGAAATCAATTCCAAACTCCAAAGTGAGAGGAGTGAGTTTTGGTTTTCCCGGATGAAAATGGTTTCAGTTTTATCCTGAATGAATCTGATCCTTCCAAGCTTTACTTGCCAGTTAAATTTTAAATCGATTCTAATGGCCAGTACAGAAAGAGAAAGATACCAGTGTCAGTACGTCAAGAAACGCATCACTTCCACAGCTTATAAATAAAAATCCCACCTTTTCTAGGCACTTTGAATTTGTAATTGTATTTTCCCATCTCCCAAACACTCCCTCAAAGACCATCTTGAGTGACTACAACATGAAGGCGTCGTTGTCTCCCCAGGTCAGAAAACGTGTCGAGTGTCTCAGACATCTTCAGGTACGTAGTAGGCTTATATATCCATCTGCATTCTACGACAAACACTGTCTTGTTTTCGTTTTCATCAATCTGTAGCGCCCCCACTCATTTGCAGAGCCAACATGATGAGCTGGAGGCAGAGTTTCTTGAGGAGAGGAATGAATTAGAAGCTAGATACCAGAAGCTTTATCAACCACTCTACACAAAGGTGTGTGCATGTATATTGTCTTGCGTTATTACTTCTGCAAATGTTGCTTGCATGCGGAATCAGAGCTTGCATGCACCACAATTTCTATGTGGTATCCCTATAATTAATTCAAGTTTTTGACGGCAGAGATATGAAATTGTGAATGGTATAAAAGACGTTGAAGGGCCTACTTCCAATCAATTAGCTGAAATAAAAGAGGATCCAGTTACAGAAGGTACGATTATTATTCGTGTATATATGTGTGTGTGAGTATTTGACAAAAATGCCTTATCTTCAACTTCAAGACTGTAGCTATGTACCTCTTCAATGCAGAGAAAGGAGTACCTGAATTCTGGCTCAGTGCAATGAAAACTCATGAAGTACTAGCAGAGGAGGTATACGAGGCGCGCGGGCACACACACACACACATATATATATAGAGAGAGAGAGAGTCTTATGATTTCCCCCTGTTGAATTGATCATCGTGTAATGTGTTTTATCATTTGATTCTTGAAATAGATAAAGGAACGAGATGAAGGAGCTCTAAAGTTCATTAAAGACATCAAGTGGTCGAGACTTCATGATCCTAAGGGTTTCAAGCTGGAGTTTTGCTTCAATCCTAATCCTTACTTCAAAAATTCTGTCCTGACAAAGTCTTATCACATAATTGATGAATCTGATCTTGTCTTGGATCAAGCAATTGGGTAGTTAGTTATATAAATGTTGTTGTTTTGAAAAATGTTACATCTTTTGTCTATAATTTTCTTTCTTATAACTTTTCGATCGATTTTTTTTAGGACGGAAATTGAATGGTTTCCTGGAAAATGCTTGACAAAGAAGGTTGTGAAGAAGAAACCAAGAATGTGGTCAAGGAATACCAAACCCGTCACAACAATCGAGGACTGTGAAAGTTTCTTCACATTCTTTGATCCACCTCAGATCCCTGAGAATGAGGATGGCCTAGATGATGATGCTGTAAGTTCGATCTGCTTAGTCATCTATAAGGAAACCAATGTAACTGTTGATATGTTAGCTGATTTCTTAGTTTCTTGCATTCGCAGTATGATGAACTCCAGGGCCAATTACAACAGGACTACAGCGTAGGGTAAGTCCCAAATTCTCTCTGTCAACGTCTTTTGGGTTGTTCCTTTATCCCTCTCCTCCTGTTTTCATTGATCTGGATAAGCTTTTGTGGGTGTTGCTATGCAGAACCATTATTCGGGACAAAATCATTCCTAATGCTGTGTCATGGTTTACTGGAGAGGCTATCGAGGACGATGCGTCGGATGGTATAGATGATGATACAGAGGATGAGAGCGAGGATGATGAGGAGGAGGGTGGCGGGGACGGGGGCAATTACGACAGCAACGAGGATGAGGAGGAAGAGGAAAGAAAACGGAGCGTGAAGAAGGAAGTGGATGAGGACGATGACGAGGACGAGGAGGAAGAAGACGAAGAGAAAGTGAGCGGGAAGAAGGTAAACGACATCAATATGATTAATTTAAACTCCTTATCTTTTTTCAGACTAGCAAGTTTTTGAAGATGCTAACACATTCTTCCATTATTTCGTTGTAATGTTTATTCAGTAATCTAATGGACCTTAGGTGAGTTGAAATTTCATTACTTTGAATTTCTTTTATTTTATTTGTTTGTTCTGCGTATAAGGTCCGAGAAAGACTTGTGTTGTTGATGATATAAAATAATAATAATAATAATCTGGTTTGGTTTTGTTAATTGCAGAAGATTGGAGAGTTACCAATTCGGGAAGGTCATTGGGAGCTACCTTCTCAGTGCAAGTCACAGTAGTGTTGGGTCTCGCTTGCCCACGTACGACAAGAGCTGCTTAAAGATTATAGCATCAACTGCCCTGGCTGGTCACAAGCTTCAGCGCTCTGGCATTAATTGTTTAACAATAATCTACGTATATCGATATGGTCTGTTTTCTTTTCTTTTCTTTTCGCAAGCTCTGCATTTTCGAGTGAAACCAGAAACAATACTGTTTTGTCCATCAGTGGATGTAATGCAATGGTTGCTTGTTATTGTATCTATATTATATATTATTGTAAATATATACATTATTAAAGGATCATATCCTCATCCCTTATCCCTGTGTCATCTATTGTACATATAATATGTTTTGATATTTTAAATAATTTTAAAAAATATATAGGTGTAAAATCAAAATTAATTAACATTAATTGCAAGAATTTATTTAGTTTATATTATGCAATATTTAATAAAATGTTTATATTCTATAATTGAGTTTAAATAGATCATATGATTATGTTTGATTTTAATCAATAAAAAAAGAAAGAAAGAAAACATGCAATTAATTATTTATTTTTAAAAAATCAATTAGAAGAGGGTGCTCAATCAATTTATATTAAAAAAGTTTTTAACTTTAGTTAATGATTCTATAAAAAAATAAAAAGATAACCATTAATTATTGGGAGAAAAAACACAGTCCAATCATTAAAAAAAACACAAGAAATTTGTTGTAAACACAAATTAAGTTTAAAGATCGTTTCGTATGATATTGCAATAAAAGCATAAGAAAAAAAAACCCTTCTGGATGTGCCTAAAACAATCAGGCCCATATGTCTGTATTAGAATTAGGCCCATAGTACAGTCCAGCCATTAAAAAAAAAAAAACACAAAGATTTTGTAGTAATACAAATTAAGTTTAAAAATTATTTTGTACAAAAGTAGAATCCGAAAGATCAAAGCGTAAAATAATCGCACAAAATATCATAAAAATTACTTATTATTATTATTATTCTATTTTGGTAAAACGACATTGTTTCAACTCAAAATAACATGCCGTTTTATCTACAGTTATAGCAGGAACTTACCTGCAACAAACCCATATTCTTAGCGTGCGTGTGTATATATATATGCATATAATTTTATTGCGCTCAAGTGTGCTGTAAAAGCTTAAAGGAAAAGAAGGGAATGAGTTTTACTGTTAATGTAAAGCATCAACTTCGTGTCATTCCGTGCTATCAATGAGGTAATAATTCATCTGGCATCAGAGTTCCTCCTTCCTTGAGATTACTCTGCTATATATTTGGAGTCATAAATGTTCTAGCTACTTTATTCCAAATCTAGAGAAAAGTGACAGTACTCTGGTAGTTCAATGGCACTTAATTACAATCCATTAGAACATATATTTCTAAATAATTAATACTCTCCTAGAAGAAACAGAAACAAAACATTTATTAAGAGATGAGATTCCCGCAGTGTAAATTAATTAATAACAGTAGTAGTAGTTATTGTGGGAAGAACAATATATCATCTTTCATCCTTCTACTTCAATATCTTTTTCCTCAGCTTATTTGAGCTTTCTTCATGCTCCAAGCACTCAATCTTGCAATCTTGACACTTTCAGTTCCATTATTGAAAGCATACAAGTGGGCAGCACCATTTATAGCCAATGTTGGATAAACTCTTGCTGTGATGCAACTCTTTCCTCCCCCACCAAAGCTCTCCACTATGGAACGATCAATCTGTAAAAGAATACAATATCTTTACAACTGAACCGAGAAGACAAAAAGCTATTGTATAAGGTGAGATAGGAAAAAGGCTAAAACATTAGCTAAAGCATGTCAACACAGTATTAGGAAATAGGAACCAATAAGTGATCTAATGGTATGAGGAATCTTTTCATCTAAAACTCGGTGGGGCTTGGACGTTTTTAGTGGCTGAATTTTGGAAAAAACTTAACATTTCTAAGATGGAGGAAAATATAAACCAAACTAGATAAAAAAGTTAACAATGGTGACTAAGGTTATTGGTAAGATATAGTGTATGTCTTTAGAGTTTAGTGTCTGGATGAAAGGTTAATTACGGTGAGCAATACGCTCCATTTTCTAAGATCCTAAATACTTATCTTTCAAGCTACTTCCTCTTCTCATCCAAAGAAACTAAAACAAGGGATGGGCAGTTGACTCTTTACAAGTGTATAAATGTTGTGCAGTAAATTACGATCGTGTCTGTCTATACTCACCAAGCTTCTCAGCGACAGCTTCTCATGAACTGGGTCCACATTTTAAAAGGCCCCATAAGTGGTCATATCATTTTCATGATTCAGTGAAGACCTACAAAAAACAAAAAAAAATTTAGAAACTCTGGTCAGAAATGGTGGCTGGAGAAATCGAGGGGGAAAGGGAATATGCAGAGAGAAAGGTTGGGAGGGGACCTGCTTTGGTCGCTGCACATAAGCACCACATATTTGTTGTGGCCTTTGAATATTCTAAAGAACACTGCTGTCCGCTCCTGCATGCCTTTTGAAGCCAAAACTAGTAACCCAAAAGGACCTAGACTGCCTCTAACTGAAGCACCCTTCTGGCTACAAAGCAATTGTGGGTTGGTCCACCTTGGGTCTAGTACTTCTGCTTTTCCAAACTTGGATACCTCAAATGAAATCTCGATGTCTGCCTGCTCGTTTAGAAAAGGAAAGCAAACAAGCATTTACAAACTCATTTGAAATGAAGATTAGGAAACTATACAAGCTTGCTAATCCAATTAGTGGGTTCAATATGGGGAAAAAAATTTGCAGTTTCACAAGTGTAATAGTAACATATATAGATAGATATATACCTGCTCGGCTGTGACGTGAGGAACTTCCAGCACTGACCCTCCCTTGAGCTCTTTATTACTCAAGTTGATCGGATTCACACGAAGCTTTTCGATTTCCTTTATTGGCCATTGCACAAGTTGTTTGCCAGATTTGTCAAGCCATAGAGATCTGGGAATTGCCTGCAAATCCAATAAAAAAAAAGCCTATTTAATTACATGGGCACTACTCGAAACAGACTTGCCATATATGCCACCAGGTCTTTTTTTCTTCCTAGCTTAGAGACAAATTCCTATTTACTACATTTCAAGTGTTGAAATATGAAGTTTATGGTTGGAAGCATCATAAGTAGTTGAGGTCGGAACTGTTTTTTCGGTTATTAAAATTAAAACAACAATAATTTAACTAATAAGATCATTACCTGAACTCCAGACCAGCCCTTCTTGACGTCATCCTCAACACTTGAAGATTCATTGATCCAACCCCACAAGATCCTGCGATTCTTAGCGCTATCGAAGAAAGTTTTGGAAGCATAAAATTTTCCATAATCATATCTTAATCCTGAATCGCCATCTACAGATCCCTTATCAGGTGTATAAACATCCTTTGTCTGGTTATATGTTCCAATTGTGTAGTAATCGTGCTTAGTATCATCCAAGCTAAGTTTAAGGACATACTTAACGTTTTTATCTAAAACTAACGTGTCAACACCGATTTGACTATTAATGTAGACTGGGAAAAAATCAGGGCACTCCCACATTCCTGTGCCCTTGGCTGAATGTAATGGACGTTGGGATTTAGTCCAATGAACAAAATCTTTACTTCTATAAAGAATGGCTAATCCTTCACGGTGAATTTTGCTTCCAATGATCACTCTCCATCTCCCATCATGCCCTAGCCAAGCAGTGGTTGGGTCTCTAAACGAGCTCGAATTGATTTGGTTCTGAGCAGTGGGTGCCATCAGTGGATTTTTTGGAGATTTGACCCAGTCTCTAAGGTATGGGTCAGATGCGTTCTTGGGCACAACCAGATTTTGAACTTGGTCATCTCTTGGGTTGATTCCAGTGTAGAGAATGTATGGTTTCCCGTTGGGGAGAATCGTGGCTGAACCGGACCATGCACCGTTGATATCGGACGGTTGGGATGGGTAGATGGGAATCTTATGTGGGATCCAATTGACAAGATCAGTTGATGCAGAGTGGCCCCAGACAATGTTGCCCCACACAGTACGTTTAGGATTGTATTGGTAGAAGAAGTGGTAAATTCCCTTGTATATCATTGGTGCTGCATAAAATTTTTACCAAGTTAATAGAGTGATATAATTAGGACTTCTAATTAATACCCCTATCATAATATTCAAAGAAAATTCCTAAAAATATAGGGGAGAAAAATTCTACTCGAATTAATGCTGGAGGTGAGGATCTAAATAATAATAAAAAAAAAAAAAAACCACTCTTCTTGTTTGTGTGACTATGATACCTCTCATTTTTGTTCTTAATAACTTTAAAAATATATATTTATAATCAAAAATATTTTTTCTCTTCATTAATTTTTTTAAGTTCAAATTTTTTAAATCATCATTAAAAAATAATTTTTTTAAATACATCAAATCGATGTGAAGTTTTAAAATCGATTAAAGGAAGATTTTAATCTTTTTTTAATTTGAGTAATTTTATCAATAAAGTACTTTTTTATATATATAAAGAAAGTAGATTCAAAATTGACTTAAATTAACTACAAAGTGGTAACTTCCTGATACACAAATCTCAATTTATAAGTTAGGTTTAAAATTTGATTATTATAACCAACATACTTAAAATTTTATTTTTAAAATACCTGAAGCCATGCATTGGGAAGTGTTCTTGAATCATGCTTAACAAAAAAATTAATCTCCGATGAATAAAAGCTAGCCGGGACTGAATCTAAAAAGATTGACTTAAATTTTTTTTCTTTTTTTGGGTTTAAGATTTAAGTAAATTATTATAGTACTCCATAGCTTGGTTCATCTAATCATCTTTGGTTCGTTGACAAGCACAAAAGGTGATTTTATTAGCGACCAGAAACGTATGAAAATTTTAAAAATCGAGTTCCAAACAGTATATAAGAAGCCTTTTGATTTTCATTCTTCTGCGTTAGCACACATCATAAGAAAAAAGAAAGAGGAAGAAGTCCTCAGCTGGATGAAGTAAAACCGATCGAGATGCAAGATCATGCAAAAAGTATAACGAAAATTAAACTAAATACAATAAAAAGAAAAAAGAAAAACTCACCATCAGGATCTACATATCCAAGTTAAGCACATCCCAAGTTGGCCATTTCACAAGATAGACAATGTCAAATTGACAAAAACAAGAAGCAAAAAACGGATGTTAGGCAGAGATTAACCAAGAATCAAAAGATAGAGACAAATGTTATTGACAGAGAGAGAGAGAGAGAGCAGAGAGAGATATGGAAAGAGAAATGTTAGGTGGTAAAATTAAATACCATTCATCCAATTCTTGGCTGGTTGAAAGTGATAACCAGTCCTATAAGGTTGTTGTCTTGTGGTAGAAGTAATACCAGTCGGTTCAAGACTTTGAAGATCCTCGTAAATACGATGTGAAGCCTCAAGCTCAAAAACACCATAGCCAAGCAGGAGAGCTAAGAACAAGAAGTGCCTAAGAGAAGAGATAATGGCCATGGTTGGATATGGTATCTTTGGTTGAATGAGAAGGCGAACTCTAGGAGAGGGGTATTTATAAGAGAAATTTCCTGTGCATGCGCGCAGTTTGGTGATATATAAAACGAGAAAAGTAAGCCTGATTTGATTCACACGGTTGAACCCCACAGAAAGATTACATTTTTTTTTTTTTAATCTCAAGTAATCTCTAACTTGTCTTCTTACTGTAACAAAATATGTTTTCGGTCAAATCTTAAATAGATATCTACATGACATTTACAAGAAATAATCTCTTATAAGATTCAAAATCGTAAAGGATAACTAGAGGAGCAAAACCATTTACCAAACAAATTAAATTTCATATATCAATATAAAAATATCGTTTTTTCAAATACAAGAAAAGATTAGGTGTGAAAAAAAAAACAAAAATCAGATTTCCTTGCTACTCTTATATGAGAGAAGGAGCCAGGAAAATGACTCATCTAGTCATCGTTTGAATACAAAAGTCAAGATGTTCACTGTGCAAGAATAAAAAAGACGAGGCAAACTTACCGGGAAGGATAGCTTGTACGGAAAGAATTTCAGTCACTTAAGCAAGTGATTTTGATTTTGACCTCGAATATATATATATATATATAACTTTTTAAATAATTGTATCTTCTTTATTAATTTGAGCAAACTATAAAGTATTATTTAGACTTTTGGAACTATATAGGATATCTTGAGGATTAAAAAATTAAAAAAAAAATCGGCAAACCTCTAAAATACCCCTCAATTATTCAGTCATAATTAATATTGCCCTCGAAATTTTTATTAATTTTATTCTAAATAATTTTGATTTCTTAAGTGGGATCTTTTATTAGATTTTTTTTTTCAACTGAAAACATTAAATTCTTTACATAACTTCATTTCTTATAAAAAAAAAAAAGATCAAAATTTGGATGGAATCCATAATCAAATATTAATTGAAATACTAAATCGATAATTTTTAAAAATTAAAAAATAAAATTGATACAAGAATTTTTTTTTTATGGTAAAATGGAGACTATATATACATCTACATGGTTTGGAAGTAATTTTGAGATTTTCCCGAATATATTGATTAAACTACTTTATATATAATTGAGTATAGTGATGCATTAAGATGCTTGTTTGGTTATTAGAAATAGAGTGGTGAGAATGAAAATAAAAATTTTATTTTCACCTTATAGTTGTTTAGTTGAAAAGAATGATGTGAAAATAAGAATGAAAAATTACACATAATTTCTTCTCATATAAAAGGTGAAAATAAAAATAAAGAATGAAAATAAATTTTTTTCGAAATAATAATATATTATTATTATTTATTATGTAGTAATTATCATCATCATCACAAGCACCACCACAGCCTATCATCATTTCAACAATCATATCACTACAACTACTACCACCATAAGTACCACCACCTTTATTGTTTTTATTATCATTATAGTCGATGAAATTATTTTTTAATCATTATTCTTATTTTTATTAAAAATTTAAATTTCATTATGATTCTTTATTAGTATTCTAAATAAAATATAAAATTGTAAATGTCATTTTAATTTTTTAATTTTCATTTCGAATTTTTCATTCTCGATAACCAAACGTAATCTAAATATATACATATATGTATATAGTAATCACTCTATTGATCTATTCCTCTATATACCTGTTGAAACTTGTGGGGTTATTCATCACACCAACACCAACCATTCTTTTTCTTTTCCTTTTGGTTTTTACTTCTTTATAGCACGTTTTATATCATCTATGAATTTTCATAGTTTGGGCCGAGCAGGGGAGAAGGACAGAAACTTCAAATTCAAAGTGAGTTAGGAGCCGTAACAATGAATTTAGCTAAATATTTTTGTTCTTGTGATACGACCTGGCAATAAATATGGGGTGAAATATGAATTTGGCTAGAGTTTAATGAAGTCTTATATATGCATAATATGATAGAAAAAGAAAATGAAATGCCAACCTCCGCAAAATACTGTGATCCAACGTGTTATTGCAGCCCACATGCATAACTTCAACACTACTAATTGGGCCCTACTTGTACTTGCTCTCATTCACAAAGTGGAAGGATACGTCCATGCTTTGTTGCTCTGCGTTTAACCGTGGCTATCCAAAAGGCCAAAGCTTGATCAAGGCTTGTCACAAAGAGAAAGACAAAAGGATATATCCATGCTAAGTAAAGTTTGTTTGGATCCTCGTAGTCTTTCTTGCCTAAAAACATAAATTAATCTTTTAATGTTTTGTTGAATATACGAAATAAATATATACAATTATTAAAAAAAATCACTTATATAAAAAATTAAATCCAAAACTACTTATTTAAGCGATTAAATTTTTTTCAATTCAAGCTAATTCTCTTAAATCATGATCAGTAAAGTTTATAGTAGAATAAGTGAATTATTTGTAAAGATTTAAATCTTTATTTGAAAGTATTTGAGTTTAATTTTAATAAATTCTCATTAGAGTAGAAGATTAAAATATTTATTTTTATAATAATGGTCGATTATCGTCATGGTAGTATGATTTTTTATCTCACTGGTTACGAATACTAATCTCTTGATTATGCAATGTATGGTTATAAATTACGTGATCTTATTTAGGAAAAAAAATCTCATCATTTTTTATATGACATACAGTGTTTATGCTTATGATATAAAACCCCTAATTACCTAATTATATGTGACTTTATAAGTTTGAAAGATTTAAAATTTGTAACCAAAATTATTTGATATCTCTCATAAATTAATTTGAAAACGAATTTCACTCATAATCAAATAATAATAAAAATAGGGAAGAATTACTTTTCCTTGTGTCGAGGAATATCATCAACTAGCAAAGAGGTTGAATTGAAAACAGCATGCTAAAGATCAATGGTCCATCTAACTCCTCCAACTCACAGATTTCCCTATCAAACAGTAGTGGAATTAATGAAAAAAATATTTTTGTCTTTTTCTGTATTTAAATGTTTTGGCTGACTTTTTTTTTTTTTTTCTTTTCTTATACTCTTTTGACCACGGATAAAATATTTTAGAAAAATATGGATGCAGCAGCCTCTGATAATTCCACGGACCCCTTTAGCCAATCCACTGAAAACAAAGAGGTGGCAATTTTACACATGATACTCAAGTTCGACCCGAAACTTTAATTTCAGAAAACTCAAACTCAAAATCATCCAAAATTCTTCAAATTAAGAATCTAGACAAATTCAGTTGCTTGTTAACTTTTAAGTTCTCTTTCTTCTTTTTTGGACGGTCAGAAAGTTTGACTTACAAAGGCAGGCAGTTTATGTTTCAAACTACGTTCGCAATAAATTACATCATCAAGATGCACTTTTCTATTTTTCAACTAATAATCTTCATTTCCTTCATTGGTAAAAAAATTATATACTGATAGTTATCAAGAAAATTAACAATATAAAAAAGTGACTTATAAAAAAAATTCCTCTATCAGTATCCCATGTTTTTCTTGTTTATTTATAAGTAATGAGATATCTTCAAACCAATTTTTATAGTAATTGAAATTAAATTTATTATTTTATGAACTAAATCAATCTTAAATTACATTTTATTTTTTTATCAATTATTAAATTTTTTTAAAAAATTAAATGAGTCCAAACCTAATATAATCAAGAAAAAATTATGACATATGTCTATTAATTGCTGTCTTTTCATTTTTCAGTATTAGTCAAAGTTTTTGTAATGCATTTATGAATTTAATAATGATGTCGGTCTATATAAAAACATGCTTATTTATGTATTATGAAACTCGCGTTGCCGGCATGCCCTGGTTTTCTCACCTGCAAGGCATGTTGTACTTTTCGTTTTGTATACGAATTTAGCCTTTTCTTCTTCTTGCCTCCCTTCTTGATAAATCGAATTTTTCCTTCACTCGTAACTTTTAGTTTCTTTTCTTTTATAACGTACCCTGTTGTCAATCGTTTTTGTCAAAATTCACGATGATATGTGCAACATGTGATGCATGGTTTCAATATAAATTGATAAAATCACCTCTTTAAGTCAATAGAAAATGTGCTTTGAAATAAATAAATAAATAACGTTCTCGTCCACTGCTTAGAACAGTTACAACATATAATCAAGTTTATTTAGAATTTTGAATATTCTCCTACCGGTATGGTTGGCCTATAGTCTCTCTCGTCTCACTGGTTCGTTTAAAGGTTCAGAAATTGGCATTGCGGGGAGGCTATTGCCATTGATTTTTCTCCGCACCAACACACACAAACATATATATTTTTATATTCTATTTGACTTAATTGGGTATTTTAATCAATTTATATTGAAATTACTTAAATTGTGCACATGTGACCATTAATTTTAACAAAATTAATTGAAAAGGAGCGACATTACTTAACAAAGAATATAAACAAAGTAAAAATTACAGTTAGTTGATTTATATATAGAAGGATATTGAAAAATTAATGATGGAATATATACATATATATATATATATATATATATATATATATATATATATATATATATATATTCTTTCCTTTAATATGCACTAGTCTTATTCTTGTCCGTTGGACGGGTTAAAAATGTTTTATATAATTATATATTAATTCTTTTAGTGTATTATAATGATAACAAATGAAAATAATAATTTAATTTTCCGGTGGATATTCATAATAATTAAACGCCGTTATAATTGCGTGACATAGTTCCACACTCATCCTGCATCACGCCCTACCCCAACCTCAAATTATTATTATTATTATTAAAGATTTAGTAACTCAATAAACATTCTAATTCTATTATACACGAATAATATTATTAAAAATAAAATTGGAGTCTCGAGTTACTTTGTCGTTGGCTTAGTGGCGATCTCTTGGTATCAAAGATCAAATTACTTTATCAACGAAAAAAAACCTGCATGATGAAGTTCAAATGGTAAGAAATATCTCTTTTGGATCATGTCTTGTTTAAATTAATAAGTGACAGTTAAAAACTTTAGAGTTTATTGAACGCCAGTGGTGTACTATGCACATTTACGATGAATAAAAATATAAAATTAGGCTAAAGAAATAGATCTTAATTTAGCTATATGAATATTAAGTCAAGTCATGTGGCATCCATCAACACACATAAAATTATGAAGTTTTAGTATAAACTAAAAAGTTTTTTCTCCTCAAACACCAGTTTTTTTTTAAAAAAAACAATTACTTGAATATTTAATAATTATATCAGTAAGTATGTTTTTTATATTAATTTTTATTATGCTTATATTTGGATATATTAAATTTATTTTACATTTTGTATGGAAACCATTTTTTGCTATATTTATTAATCCTTAATTTGTAGGCATAAACTAAAAAGTTTTTTCTCCTTGAACACCAGTTTTCTTAAAACAATTACTTGAATATTTAATAATTATATCAGTAAGTATGTATTTTATATTAATTTTTATTATTCTTATGTTTGGATATATTGAATTTATTTTACATGTTGTATGGAAGCCATTTTTTGCTATATTTATTAATCCTTTATTTGTAAGAGTGATCTTTCGGTTTCAATTTTTTTGGATAATTGAATTGATTAAAAAAATTTGAAACTAAACCTAATTGAGGTTCAGTTTTTCGGTTAAAAAATCAAATTTTTCGATTCGGATTTCAGTTAAAATTCTTTTTTTTATATATTTTCTTCTAAATTTTGAATTTTCTCTTGAATCAAGCTGAAATATCACTTTTTTGTAATTTGTTTCGTAAGGAATACTATTATTTTGAATTAAAATTTTAGCAAAAAAACATCACAAGCCTTGGATTGGTGTGTTAAAAAAAAACTCTAATTCGATTTTTGAAGAAAACAAAATTTTAAAAAAATGATGAATCGAATTGAAATAATTTTAATTTTTCATTTCAATTTTTTTTCAAACCTTTTATAAAACTTAATCAAAATTACTAATTCAACTCGATTCGATTTTTTTATTTTAATGGAATAGTGATCACTCCTATTAATTTGTTTTAGTTGCTATATATAATCTTTTATATTATATATACATGTATATATATAAAAGAACAAAAAAAACTTGATTTGACATGTTTGATATGATAGGTATAATAGTAATTGTCTATGAAAAAACCAAAAAAGGACGTGGCTTTCATCCTTTCCGTGACCATGGTTATCCCTGTCTCCCACGTTGCTAATTGATCTAGGACTTGAATTGACAAGGCACTTGAGATAATAATAAAAAAGGAAGTATTGGACAGGAATTGCTGTTCCAAAGCTTTATGCCCATTAATGGAATTTGCTACAGCCACGTGGAAAAAACATGTTACTCTCTGTGTCCTAAACCGATAGCACATTTTATATATATGTGTGCGTGCGTGTTAGAATATTTATTTTGTCAAAATTTTAAGCCATTTACTTTAATAAAATATATCTAATTAAAAGTTATTTTATAAAAGATTGTCTAATTACAATTCTAAATAAAAGGGCATTTTTTAAAAGTACGAATCAAAAAGTTTAAAGATTAATGAATTCGACAGAGTTAATTATTTAATTATTAAATACAACATAGGTAATTTTAAGTACCCGTAAATTGTTTGCATATTTGGTATATTCAAATTGTCTATCAAGGTATATAAATATTCAAGATATTTATTAATATGTTTTTATACCAAAAAAAAAAAAATTGTTAAGAAAAAATCATGATACTATTTTCATGATTATTTTGGTATATCAATTTCATGTGTGGAGATTGAGACATTCAAATTTCTAAGAAAAAAGAATTAAGAAGTTTTTACTCGCCAACTAATATTAAAAAAAAAAACTAAAAAACCTAAAAATGATACTCGATTCAAAGATTTAGATAAGGAGTTGGTTATGCTAATTAGAAAAATAAATTGATAGTCTATTGTTAAATCCCAAATTCAAAAATCGTTTGCTAATCTATAATTATTATTAATCGTTAAATTATTGTTTTTTTACGATCCTCAATAAGTGTTTATTTTGAGGATGCAATGTATTGTGATATATGAAAGAAAGTGTTTAATTTTAAAGTATAACCGCTTTAATTCATATTTTACATTCTTGATCTAGGTATGAGTATTTTCACTTACTAACTATTCTGAATTCTATAAAAGAATTGTCATTTTGAAGATGCATTGTATTGTGATACATGAGATAAAGTGTTTAATTACTATTTTATATTTTAGATTCTTAATCTAGGTATGAGTGTTTTTACTTATTAGCTATTTTGGACTCTATAAATGAATTGTTATTTTTTAGATAGTATCATATGGATCAAGTTGAAGAATGTAAAAAAATATTTTTTAGCTTGACCCTTGTGTCATGTCTTATTTTAAATTTGCAAGTGATAATTAAAGACTTGGGATTAGTTGGCATGGACTCTAGTGATAGACTAAACTATGGATGGCAATGGGGCGGGCGGCGATGGCTATCCCCGCCCCATCCTCGTCCCATACCCGGTTTGGGATGAAATTTTAGGTATCATCCTTGCCCCAAACAAGACGAAGCTTTCGTCAAATTGTCGTTTTTAAAGGCAAAATGACGGGACGAGGCTGGGGTAGCCATCCCCGTCCCCGCTACGTGCAAAATTTTTTTACCTCATCTCCATCCCGTATCTTATTCGGGGTAAAATTTTAAATACCATCATCGTCTCAAACCGGATGTGGTTCGATGAAATGGGATAAATTGTCATCGCTAGACTAAAAGCATCCACAAAATCAAGTGGAAAATCAAGTTAAAGAAAGAATTACTAGTGTATGTATATATATATCAACAATTTCTTAAATGCTTAATTAACCATGTCATGATGTATATATCTTGTTAATTTCTATTACATTTATATATTTAGACATATTTAATTTATTTTACACAAACGAACGCCTAACAAAAAAAAAAAACGTTTTAAAAAAGAAAAAGACCAGGATGATTGCGTAGAAGAGAAAAAAAAAAAAAAAAAGAGTTCCCATACTAAGTCACAACCACAATTAATTGCATGCCCTTCTTTGCACGTAAAGGTGAATCCCCTACTTTATGGTCGGTCTCACATGTTAAATAATATAAGTATAACTATTCCCAATTCAAATCACATCTTAAAGGATATAAGTACTATAACCATTCCTAATTCAAAATATAATTAAGTATAGTTGTTACTAATATTCCAAATTATGATAGCCAATGATGACCATAAAATGGTGATTCGTCTGAATGTGTACGCAGAGGAGGGCATAGCATAAATTCATGCAATTGTGCCGGTGAATTAGCATTGGTGGATGAATTGTCACTGGAAAAAGAAAACTAGTCATCTTCAAACAGTGCAATCCGGGCATCAGTTTCTGGAACAAGAACTTCTACGTCCCTGAGGAGAAGTTTCCAGGAAATGTAGCTACGTAAAAATGTTAGTACGTCACGGAGTTGACCTCTTGCAGCTTCCAAGTATTTTTTTTTTCCCTCTTGTTAATCAATTTACTAATTAACGATGAAGTAATAACTAACAAGTTGTTTGGAGGGTTAATATACACACACACACACATGTGTGTGTGTAATTATTCTAAATAATTCTAAAATGTCTATATTTTGAATATCAATGTAAGATAAATGTATACATGAACAATTATATTTGCTATTATATTTAAACTTGACATTGTGTTTTGTAACAACCAATTATTATTATTATTATATTTAATGTATTATATATATATATATTATAAGGTCGCATCAAATTAATAAAAGATAAAAAAAACTCTACGTGTCATAATCGACATCATCTGGCCGTACTTTAGACAGACAAATAGTAGAGTAAGGCGTATCCTAGACACACGGGTATTTGCACGATACAAGAGGTCGGCATTCTTTTGGGCTAATCCAAAGTCATATTTTGGATAGATGGGCACGTCTAAATCAACTAGATCAACCGTCACCAACCGCTAGTGCAACCCGTACCTGCATTAAATACACACATGTCATTAGAGGACCGTCTTTCTCAAGTGGATAATTCTTATGACATCATCATCTTCATTCAACTAGAATCTCTCAATTCCACGCTGTTCTACCATATTCAAGCTCTGAAATTATAGGTGGTAATTGAATCACGTCTTTACCTTATTCTCCATTCAAGCTGATTGGAAGGGTTGATGGCTACATAAACAGTCATTAGGATAAAAGATTTTTAATCTCTAACTTTTCAACCTCTCCTTATCTTTTTCTTGTGCTTACAATAACCTTTTCAGGCTTACAACTATCTATATGTACTAATTTAGCCATGGAAAAGTTTCATATTCCACCAAAAAAAAAATATTGTTTTCTATGTACTCTAACCAACACAACTATTGTCATAACCAAAAAAAAGCCCTACCTTTTGTTTATTTATTTATTAATTTTTATTTTATTTATTTCACAATTTTATTTCTATTTTTCTTTTTTTACAAATTTTATGTGTGCAAGTTTATTTTATGTTTATTGTTATTATTATTATTATTATTAGTTTTGGTCTTACTTAAATTTTTATATTTTTTAGTATAATTTATCTTCTATTTTATCTATAAAAAAAAAATCAAGAATAAAAAGAGAGAGAGAGAAAGGAAAATACAAAAATATGATTAATTGTTTAGAAGATACAGTTGAGGGTGCAATTGAACTAATTAAAAAACAGAAACAGAAATCAAGGGATGCAGGGGTATGATTAAAAAAATTTGAATGAATAAAGGACCCAACACAACATGCTTGAGGAGTCTAATTAAAGAAAAATCAGAATACGTGAGGACAATAATTGAAGGGGGAAAAGTGAACGACAGGACTAATTCGGAAGTTTTCCCGAACGACCTGTCGTTCGCTTCAACAAATTATGTCAATCTTTCTCCCGCGTGCTACTGTTCCTCTTCTTCTTTGGACTGGCCTACTATAGAAAAGAAAAAAAAAAAAAAAACAGAGGGAGAAATGAGGGATGAGGAGTTGGCACCAAGCTTTGGATCTTTTATCCTTGGCTAGCTGGCTGTCGTGCCAAACTCGACCAACAAAAACACATGCCGCGTTTGTACTCTTCACGATTCACGCCTTCATCTAAGCTGCAAAAACAAAGAAAACTTGAGTAAGAAAAAAACAAGAGGAGAGCGGGATCATGGTACAGAAAGATCAGAGGGTGGAGGTTTGGTAGAGAAAATGAACGTTCAGGATGAAAGAGGGGGAAGAAGAATATAAGAAGGAGAGGGGAGCTGGAGCTGAGAGGGGAGGAAGCTCTGGTTTCAGAGGAGAAAAGGTCACAGCCTTAGAGTCTCAGAGAACCGTCATCCTAGTCTGGTATTTGAAAGAAACACAGAAAAAGGGTAAAAGAAAAAAAGGGAGAGGAGGAGAAAGTAATACTTGAAAGAAGGCCCAGTAAGCATCCTGTTCTGGAGCATTGAAAACAGAGGGAGTTTTGAAAGAGGAAACACCACTGTGTGTTCGTTGTTCAAACTCAGTTTCATCCTGCCATTAACGCACTGAGTTTACCAGGTAACCTCTTCACCCTCATCTTTCCTTTATTTGGTTTTATTAGCAATTATTGTTCTTGGGATGTTCTTTGAATTGGCTATGGAGACCAAAAGACAGTGACATCGTCGCTGTCGTCATCAAGGATCCAAAACATTAAATCAGACCGGTCATCTTGGTTTTTTTTGTCGTCCATGGTCGTCTCAACAAGGGAAAAAGGGAATGGATGTTGTGATGTTGTTACTGGAGCTGGTGTTCATGATACATTGTAACTGATATAAGAAGAAGAGAAAGAGAAGTGGCCTGGATTGAGGGAAAGAGGAGAGAAGAAGAAAGGATTCGGGCCAGGGAAAGAAAGAAATAAAAAATGGGCTGTTGGCTAGTCAGGGCTGGTTTAGGAAGGCCTGAGACCGAAACTCAAGCTGGGCTGGGTCTATGAGTTGGACCAGAGAGAAAATGAGACACACCGGCTGGGTTTTGAATTGGGCTAAGGGCCCAATAGGTTTTTAAATCATTTTTCTTATGATTTACGTTAATAAGGTTGCATTGCTCGTTTTGACTTGAAATTTTTATGTGTGCTGCATAGGGTTATTCTTAGCTTGTGTTTAAAATTTTGTAATTTTTAAAATTCATTTACTATTTATTTAATTTTCTACCTAATTGTTAATTGTTTTAATTGTCTCAAAATTTAATTTAGCTTGATGTTTAATCTTATTTTAATACAAAAATTTTAGGGTGTGATTATATGCTTGTATATAAGCTTTGTGTCAAGTTTTCATAATTTTATGATTTAATCTTATATTTATTTAGTATTTGTCATGGTTTTATAATCCATCTAATTATTAATGTGTTTTTTTTATGAGTTGATTTTTTTTTAGCTCAAGCGCCTCTAATATTTTAACCTCAAATTCCTAGGATTGTATACAAATTTATTTGTCCATGTATTCTGTTTCGATTTTGCAATTTCCTTTTCCATTTACTTAAAATTTATTATAACTTCGTTATTATGCAATTAATGTGAAAGTGGATCGTTGAGTCTCCTAGATTTTAGAGACTAATGACTATCCTCTATCAAATTCATCATGCTAAAAAAAATCATACTAAACAATAAAAAATAAGTTTTAAGGTGATTAAGCGAGTCTCCTCGTTTAATTGGGATAGATGTTATTTTTGACATAAATTAAGAAAAATACAAATTAAGCATTCTTAGTAATTAAGTCATTATTCAACATATCGATTATGTCAAGATTTTAATTTAATCAGCTATTGAATTGATGAGACTCTCAATTTCAAGACCCAACGGTAATTCAATATGATGCCATAATAAAAAACAAAAAATAATTAGGTTTGGACAATAGACAAACTTGAAAATACACTTAGAATGTAATTTTTTAGATTGAGTATATCAATTTTTTCAAAATTATTAATCAAGTATTTCTGTAAAATTTTCATTAACTGATGATATGTTTGATATCCTTGAAATACCATATTATAATCTTACTCTTTTTCTCAAGTTTTTCGTTTGAGTCTATCAACTTTTTCAAAACTATCAATTAAGTGTTTTCATCGTTTTTTCATCAATTGATGACGTATTCAATGACGTATTCGAATATAAAATTATAATTTCATCATCTTTTGGTTGAAAGAAACTTTATCCTCTAGTTATTTTACTATTTTATAATTTAAAAAATAATTTTTATTTTTAAAATTTCAAACTAAACTCAATTAGATTGATGTAAGAAAAAAAAAACTCAATTAGATTTAAAAGTGAAAATTGAAGAAAAACACAAATCAATGAAAAACACAAATTAATCTCCTTGATTAAAAATCTCATGTTTGCATTTCCTTCAATTTTCACAGCTAAAACCTAGCTGATTTTTTTTTAACAACAAGCCTTACTAAGTTTAATTCGAGATTTTATAACTAAAAATATATGTTTTTTTAATTCCTTGTCAAATTTTAAAATAATAGAATAATTTAAGGAGATAGCTTTTTACAACAAAAGATGAAAAAAATGTAATTTGATATTCATACATGTTATAAATTAATGAAGAAATTGAGAAAAATACTTGATTGATAGTTTTGAAAATTTTCAATATATTTAATCTAAAAAATTAAAGTTCATATACTCCATTAAGAAAAAAAGAATAAAATTGTAATTTAGTATTTTGAGGATAACGGATACATCATCAATTTACGGAAGTATTTCATTGATAATTTTGAAAACATTAATATACTCATACAAAAAAAATTAAAATTTATATATTTGATTAAAAAAGATTAAAAGTTGATACACTTATATTGTAATTATTCCAATAATATAAAAAAAAACGACAAGTTGTTTGGAAGCTTGAGAGCTAAAAGGAGGTGCATTAAACAGTAATGGAAACAATGATCTGTCGTTTAACTGTCCACCTTTCGTCTTCAAATCTCTGTCCGTCAGTCCCCACTTCCTTTTCGACGAACCCATAAAGCTTCCTTTCTTTCACAATTTGTTTATTTATTTTTTAATTTCAATTGAAAGAACAGGAGCTTACTGCTCAATATCCTCCAATGGTTCAATTTCTAGGCACAGTGCGCGTAACTCCTTCCCTAGCCAGTTTTGCACCTTACAGACGCCAAATCAATCTCAACCACTCCCCATTTTCACTTTCAAGAAATGGGTTCTCCCCCTTCAAAAGGATTCTTCAAGCTTGCCTTCAATCAAGTAACTAACTAACTAGTTTCAGCTATCTCTGTCTTTGTTATGTTAGTTTTGTTTTGAAATCAAATCAATCTTTGAGATTCATGATTCTTTGGTCAATGTTGATGTGCCCGCTTTTGTATTATTTTTTCCCAATACGTTTTGACCAGCCATTGCATTGAATTTCTACAGATGCTAGTAGAAATGCGGATGCACAGTTACAGGCTGACCAGTCTGAAATCATATTTATGGGGACGGGGACTAGCGAAGGGATTCCACGCCTCAGCTGCCTTACCAATCCTTCAAATAAATGTCCGGTACTGCTGCAAAACATCCAAACTTTAGCATCAACTTTTTATGTATCCATGATTGTTTCCAGACTGTGACTCTTGGTTTCATAGGTATGCTCAAAAGCCGTGGAACCAGGTAACAAGAACAGGAGACTTAACACAGGCCTCCTTATTCGCTATGGTGGACCCTCCGGTAGGCGCAACATTCTTATAGATGTTGGCAAGTAAGTGAGAGAAACTTGTGCTCGGACTACTTTATGTTTTTATGTCATTGTATTATTTACCGGTTTGATTAATCATTATTTTCCTGGTTTTGCTAAATTCCAAAATTCTTATTTGATCAGACGCTTCTATTCTGCAGGTTTTTCTACCATAGTGCTCTTCGATGGTTTCCGACATTTGGGTTAGTTTTAGCTCTTCATACTTTTTAAAATGTTTAAGGCTTCTAATTCAGATGACATCGATAATAGCCGGTCCAATGTGATCAATGACCTGTTTCTGTAGATAAGATGACTCTAACTAGGATAACTTTCAGATAGTGTATCTTGTTAGTATTGACGCAAGGAATCTTAAATGTGGGTGAAAAATAGTCCATTTGCAAGCAGAGATTAGAACAATATAGACAGATCTTGAGGTTTTATGCTGAAACTTAAAGAGTGGTATAATTTTGTATATTTAAGGTGGCAATGCATTGGCACCAACAATGTCCCTCATATAAATGATAGACGATTGAATCTCTACTTTAATTCTTAAATTTCAAGACACACATGCACATGCAACATAAGGTGGTAATTATATTTGGTGATCCTGGTTTATTTTTTGCATATATAAGGCAATGGATTGCTACTGTTTCCTTGATTTCCTTTAGTTTTATCCTATTCTAGTTTCAGTATTCCACTTGTTCACATGTTATTTTTTCTTCTCGTTCTTATGGAGACATAAACAACCATTTCATCACATATGGAGGAAACTGTATTTGTTGAATAGTTTGCTTTTATTTGATGCATGACAATAGGGCCATGGAAATATGAAAGCAACTGAACGACAGATAGCCTTAAGTCACGAACTGAAATAACACTTACACTAGAATACAAGACATATGAACTGTTGCAAATGGTCATGTATAGCATGATATATTAAATACTTTTCCCCTTTTATAACTATTGAGCTGGTTCCACATGCCTCCAATCTACTTTTGACTTTTCAATAGGTATTTGTTACGCTGATAATGCCTTTTAAGATCTCTAACAGATTAACAGTTCAAAATGGTGGGTTGGTGGGCTTAACTAAGCTGGTACTTCTTTAACAAATTCTCTTATATTGTATGTGCCTATAGTCACGTATTTGCCATTATGTAACTAGCTGCATTTCTGTCAGGCTAAGAACAATTGATGCGGTTATTATTACTCATTCTCATGCTGATGCAATTGGAGGTCTCTGACTGAAAGCTTTCTAATGTTATTTGTTTTAGATGAGGATAGTTGAGATGATGTGTCAAGTTTCTTGTTCTTCATTTAAATACTCATTCTTGCAGGTCTGGATGATCTCCGTGATTGGACAAACAATGTGCAGCCACACATTCCAATTTATGTTGCAGAACGTGATTTTGAGGTACAAATTCCAAATTTCCAGTTATGCATTTCTTTTGTAAAATTTTTCTGTTCTTTCTGGATCTTAATATGTCAAGTGCTACAATATTATTATAACTACATTACAAGTGCTTGTAATAATGAAATTCTTGAACCAATTCATTTGTTAGAAATTTATAATCTGCTGGCCAAATTTTTACTTTAGGTTGTCAATATTTCTTTGACTCATTTACCATATCAGAAAATCATAGTATCTCTCAGCCACATCATGATTGTTACAAGAAGGTTTTCTTCTTCTATTTCTATTTCATTCACTTGTGCTGTTTCAAATAGTTTATCGGAGCATGAAATCCTGTTCTGTTTTTTCTGGTGAAAAACACATATTTATCCAAATTGATGAATGAATTGATATTCAGAGCCCCTTTACTGAAATTGTTGATATCAAAACTGTAGTACAATTTTTTTTGTTGTATGGCACATCTCAGAACTGATTCTATGATGTCCAAATCATTTCAGGTGATGAAGAAGACTCATTATTATTTGGTGGATACAAGTGTGGTTACACCAGGTGCTGCTGTCTCAGAGTTGCAATTTAACCTCATACATGAAGAGCCCTTTGTTGTGGATGATTTGAAGGTATTCTTCAGTTTTTCAGTTAGTATTAAAGTGGGATTTTCTTTGAGTTGAAGTTTTGGGTTTTTTGGGCCTATGATGAAGCTTTGATTTTCAATTTTGACTAATAAACTGTTCCTACCAGCTAGGATTCTCTTTTGGTGGCCGGATGTTCTTGTGGCTACGTAGCCATCAAGTAATTTAATTATTAATGGAAAAAGCAATTACGTTTATTTCTTTTTGAGTGTGTATATACCAAATTCTAAAATTGGCGAAGGTTGATTGCAAACAGAAATATTGCAAGGGTCTTCAGTTGGAGCTCTGTTAGGAATTTTATGGTCAGATATGCTCCCAAGACATTTGAATTCTTAAGCAATCAAGGCCAATTTTTAGGTTATTTCAGTAATCCAGCGTCAAGTAGCATAGCTGAATGAGGAATGATGGCAGATTTTCTCTTAAAGCTCTAATTTTCAGGATCTAGTTAAGGGGATAAATTATTTAATTGCAGTTTGGAAGTTGGAATTTATGAATCTTGCTAAAACAGGTCAGCATAAAAGGATGTGCTTACAGTGTTGGATGTGCTTACAGTGTTGGTTTTGCTGAACAGAAATGGTGTTCTGTCTCATCCAGTTCAATCTTCACTTGACAGAAATTCTCATCATGTTTTAAACTGTTTTATAGCATGTGGCTTATCGGACATGGTCTGAGACTCACAGTATTATTTCTCATTGTTTTATAGAAGGGGCTATTGGCTCCTTGTTTCAGGACCTAATCTGCTTATTCTCTGCTTTTTATAGCTGTGCGTCTATGTATACAAAAATCTGAAATTGAATGAAATTTATTTCTTATATTGTTTGCTTATTTACGTGATAAAGTGACCATGCTTGTGGGGGTTTAGTAACCCGGTCTTATAATTCTTTGAACTTTCTACTTTGATAGTAAAAACACACACATTTCCCCATCTGAGGTGGAGTGCAACACACTTACTAGGGCAATACAAGTAAAGATCAAGTACTCAGCCTTCTGCGGATGAGATGTTTCATTGTTTATGACAACTCATTACTCATTTTTCTTTAAATTCTTCAGTTTACCCCTTTACCAGTGTGGCATGGTCGTGATTATCGTTCTCTTGGTTTTCGATTTGGTAACATATGTTACATCAGGTAATGCCTTATGTATCTCAGATTTTTTTTGGCAAGTGTTATGCTGTGTGTAATTTTTCTATCTAGATTCTGGAACTAATTGTTCTCATGCAGTGATGTTAGTGAAATACCTCAAGAAACATATCCGCTCCTTAAGGACTGTGAGCTCCTGATTATGGTCTCTCCCTCTCTCCCTCTCTCTCTCTCTCTCTCTCTCTCTCACACACACACACACACACACACACACACACACACACACACACACTAACATGTAAGGGCATCCCAAAAATATCCAGGTTGGATATGGCACACACATGCCTCCTAGCATTCACATTTCTTCTAATTCATGCAACTACTCCTCTTTTAGCTTATGATATAAAAATATCTTCAGGATGCTTTGCGGCCTGATCGGTCTTCTTCAACACACTTTGGACTTCCAAGGGTATATTTTTCGCTTTTTCTGTCAACGAGATTATATTATCAGGAGTTTCAGGACTATGCTTACTTTTACTCTCCTTCTAGGCCTTAGAGGAAGTACGGAAAATTCAACCAAGGAGAACACTTTTCACTGGTATGTGTAAGCCTCCGTTTATATTTTAGGAATTGCACCCTTGTGCTTTTTCTGGAAGAACTGAACTTGCCAGTTACCATCCTTTCTTTACATTTGGTTCTGTAAAAAATGATCTACATCATGCCATTCCTTAATTCAGATTAATAACCTTTTTCAAGTAGGTTGTCATTCAATGAATTGCAGAAGTTAATTTGGTTCTTTTCCTAATTAAAAGCCTTGTTTTTTTTATTTTGAAGGTATGATGCACCTGATGGATCATGATAATGTGAATGAGTATCTTACAAAATTGATGGAGACAGAAGGTCTTGATGTACAACTAAGCTACGATGGGTTGTGTGTGCCAGTAACACTCTAGATTTTGGCTTGTCTTCTCATTCTTTGTTCTCAATAAAGGCATTTTATAGCATAAAAGTTGAACCTCAAATGTCAATTGGTTACTCTGGAGCTGGACTAACTTAGCAACTCAAGTCATTTTTGTGAGCTCCTTTGATTTAGTCATTTCAGGGACTAATAATTGTCCCTTTCAATCCTTGCATATTTTAAGTTTGTGTTTACAATTATAATTTTCTTTTTGCAATTACAATGCAACCTTTTTTTGTCAGCAAGGATGCCACTACATACATTTTCAGGACTAGAATTTTCAAAGGTTGAAATTATTACTATCGATGCTTGATAACTTTAAATAGACCAGTTGCTTGCGTGCGACTTTTCAGCACTGGCTTATAAGAATGCTTGGACCGAACTGAACTCTTTAGTCCTATTCTGTTTTATGCTGAGAGAATCCAAGCGTTTCAATCATTCAGCTCTCACATCTAACTGTTTCTGAGATGATTTATTGAATGATTGAATTGAATTCTTTGACATTTTGGGGTGATAGGACGGTTCATCTTTGTAGGTTTTGTAAATCATGCAGATTGCAGAACTATGTTGAAGAAAGTTTGGGTTTCTATTTGACGGGATCAAACAGGCAACTAAACATCTGAATTCAAGGTTGGCATCTAACAGAAGCCCGAGGGTTCGCATCACATGGTTGTTCATGTATAATATAATGGCATAATCAAGAACGATAGGCATAAGCAGCAAAGCATATTTTCCAGCCTCAAGTTGCCATTGCTGTCTGAACCTCAATTCATCATTAGAGGTGATATACTTCTCTGTTTTAAGTGGGTTAGGCTTCTATCTTATCAGCAAATAGAAAGTAAACCCGCCCACATATGGAATGAAGGATTAGAACATGGGATGGTCACTGCTTTTGTCTCACAGGATTGACACCTCATAACAAGGACGACGATTTTGTGTTTTACAAGTTTCATATTGTAACTTGGTCTGCTTCAATCCGATATTTCAAGAATCTTGCAGCGTTTACGAAGTTTTTTCACGTGTGATATATCTTGGATTCTTCATTCTTGAAAGTATTGAAAATCAAATTTGACTTCAAGATGAGGAATCTAAACATGGTTTAGTATTTACAACAGGGTATATTGGAGTAGTTGCAGCCCCATATGTGATGCCAAAAAGATTTACAAGAACCATCACTAACTAACAGTGTATATCTTAAACCCTCTGCAATCAGCGTGGAGAACTATTTTTTAAACAAGAGTATATTGGATTTTTTTAAGAGAGTTTTTCTAATAATTATTTAATAATAATAATCTCATTTTATACTTTTTGGTGAGTTTGATATTGAATTTATTTATTTATTTATTATTTATTTTTTAATCATGATCAAGGTCAATTTTCTTCTACTGCAATAGAAAGAGAGAAAATAAAAGTTTCTTCAGTTTCTTTGATTCCTAGCACAGTCACCTTCAACTATTATTTTCTCACTTATTACACTAAAATCTCTTCTGTAAGAGTTTTAATTTCTTTTTGTCGACCATTTGTTATATCAACTAAGAAACTAGTTATATTAATTGCATAATAGCTAGCTATAGCAGCTGATGCAATTTAATTAATTAATATTAATGAAATAGACTTATGTTATCATCTTGTAATTTAATCAATGAGGTATCATACATATAAGAAAATAAAATATATATGATTATGAATATTAATGATCCCGTAAATATTGATAGGAAAAAAAATTACCATCAATAGTACTAGCTAGTCTTTAATTAATCCAAACTTAATAATTTTTATCAAGCAATTAAATTAAATTGCATGATAAATGTATAACATATTTAGTACATTATTTAAATAGAACATAATATCCACATTAAAAATTAATATATATGAATTTTGGAAGAAAATGATTTTCATTTAAATTAGAGACAATTACCAAAACATTTTCTGAAAAATTTTCCATCCAAAAAACTCATCAATTTATTTTTAATTTTTTTCAAACCTAAAACGATATTTGTCTTGTCAAAACACCTAATAGTTAAAACACTCAATAGTTATAACTAATGTTAAGTAGAGGGTTAATTATTGGGTGTTTTGATAAGAAAAATATTATTTTGAGTAAGAGAAATTTAAAAATAAATTAATAGATTTTTTATCTAGAAAGTTTTTTTGAAAGTTTTTTCTCTAATTATCTCTCTCTGTTTTTTTTTTTAATAAACCAATATATATGCATTAAAAAAGTAAGGTTTTTTTTTTTTTTTCCCTTACAGGTGCAAAAGACTTTGAAATCTCTCTTTGTTTTCTCTCACTCTCTTTTTCTCTCGTTATCTTAAGCAATTTTAAATGTTAATTATTCATTACATAAAAACCAAACTTAATTACTTACAGCAGAAATGAGCTGGGTGAGCATATTAAGACTTTGGTCGAAAGCAAGATCCCCTTTAAAAAACTAAATCACTGAAGAATGAAACAAGAAGATGACAAAAGAACAAAAATATTTTATTTCCAACCTTTTATCCCCATCTAAAAAAAAAAAAAAAAAAAATTCATCGAAAACATCAAGTTGCAGAAAGACAATGTAGCTCCACGAGTACTCACATTATTTTAGAGTAGATCATAGCACAGACAAGTGTATGTGGTGTGTATATATATATATATATTTATAGATTAATTAATTATAAGATAGCCCACTGGCTAGTTCATCAAATTTCACACACACACACACACATACATATATATATATATATATATATATATATATATATATATATATATATATATATATTAAAATGGTTTCTGTCCTTGTTGATGATGACTCTTATGAGGCTTTATCTATATAGTTTTACATAGTCTATATGTTTGATATTTCTCCCTTAATAGTCCAATTTGCTACACTACAAAGTATAGGCATTATGTTCTCAAAGTTCTTACAAAATTTCACTTTGTGTGATCGATATTGTATTAGAATTATAATTTCTTACAGCTGCCAGGAAACCAACAACCTTGATTTTCACAGCTAGAGCTAGCTTGTTGACTCAATAATGGATCAGTCAAGCAAATTAAATTAGAAGCCGTAAGTTAACCAAGACATTAATTAATTAATTAATTATGAGCTATCCAGGTCAATTCTGTTAAAGAACTGGGCATCTACTGTTTCCAACTTCTTGACAATGAAGTCAACTACATACTGTATCTTTAACTACACATGCTTTATTTCAGTCATGGCATACAATCATGACAATATAGTACATCATCTGAGAATGGCAATAATGTAAGAATTTTGCATTGACCAATTGTCATTTGGAAAATACGATCACAATGAATTTTGAACCAACTAGATTGATCTAGAAAATATGAAAATTGACGTAAGATAATTTGATAGATGATATATATATATATATGTAAAGTAGATGGTGAAGGTATAGAAGAATGTCTATTGTCTTAATACGATACATACAAGGGATTTTCTTTTTCTTTTTTTTTTTTTTTTTGAACATGCAAAATTGTCAGATCTTGTCTTTATAGGCACAACATGATCATATAATAGCTAGGAAAATGGCTTTTGGCCATGCCTGATAGAAACTTAATCAATGAATCAATCATGTCGCTGTAAATATTTGTGGAAAGCTGTGAAAATGTTAAAGAGTCTAATAAAAAATGATGCAAGTGACATAATATATGCCACATAAATAAATCTTTCTTTCTGGAAATCGATATACAAATGATGGTATCCTTTTACATGAATGCTGCCTTTTAAATATTTTATAAAGCAGCTCTTATTTGCTTTGTGGAGGAACGATTGTAATAGGTTAATTTTTAAGAGAAAATTCATAAAACTTTGTTAAAAAGGCAAATAGACAATAAAAAAAGAAGAAATTTTTCTGGTGTTTGGGGAAGAGAACAAAAGAAAAGACAGAAAGTGCAACGTCAGAGTTCAGCCCGTAGGGTGCCCTTTTTCCTTTGGTTTTGTGGTATTTTGCTTTTCGACTCCTTCAGGATCACACAGACTATCCTTTCTCATCCACACCTCTCTCTCTCTCTCTCCTGTAACAGACACGGAGTTTTATTTATCAACTACTGGATCTTTTTTATGTTTTCTTTTGTTCAAATTTTGTGTGGTTATAGGATAATAGTTGAACTTTCTTGGTATTAGGAAAGAAAAATGAAGGAAAAAAGTGGGTTGGTAAGGATCTGTGCTCAGTTCCTGCGAGTCTCTTTGTCTCTCCTTTTCTTTTCTCCTTGTTTCTTTTGAGCTATCAAAAATACAAACTTGTCTCTTTGGTTGAAGCCAAACAAAGAAGAAACCATCAAGGTGAATGATGCTAAACAAGAGTTATCAAGTTCAAAGTCTATATATTTGAGAAAAATCAGTTTCGACTTCTTTTGTTTTTGGGCTCTTTCTCTTTCTAAGTTTTTTCCCTTGTTTTAGCTTTTTCTAGGTTTGGTTTTTTTGGCCTTTTGGATCGACTTTCAAAACCCTTTCTTTCTTTCTTACATACGAGAACCAAAGATCCATAGCCCCATGATATGCAACCTTGGGATTCCTGAAACAGCTGCTAGCTTATCAGAGTAAGACAGGATGATGAAAGGTTTGATGTTTCATCAGCAACAGCCAAAGCAACAAACACTAAAAGATCAGGAAAATATGTCTAATTTGACTTCAGCTTCTGGTGAAGCAAGTGTTTCTTCAGGCAACAGAAATGAAACTGGCACCAACTATGCAGCTCAACAATACTTTTCTCCTCCAGCTCAAACTCAACCTCCCGTAAAAAAGAAGAGAAACCTACCCGGAAATCCAGGTTTTTAATCCATCTCTAATTAAAAACATTAGCTTTATAGGATTCAATATCTCGTACGTGTCTTTGCTGGTTGTTTTCAGTTTTACTAATATTCTCCTTTTCTTTCTTTTTTGGGTGCATGGAATACTCTTGATGATTAGACCCAGATGCAGAAGTGATAGCTTTGTCACCCAAGACTTTGATGGCAACAAATAGATTTGTGTGTGAGATCTGCAACAAGGGGTTTCAGAGGGATCAGAATCTTCAGCTTCATAGAAGAGGGCACAATCTGCCGTGGAAGCTCAAGCAAAGAACAAACAAGGAGATAAGGAAGAAGGTGTATGTGTGCCCAGAACCAAGTTGTGTGCACCATGATCCATCAAGGGCTCTTGGGGACCTGACAGGAATCAAGAAGCATTTTTGCAGAAAGCATGGCGAGAAGAAGTGGAAATGCGATAAGTGCTCAAAGAGATATGCAGTTCAATCAGATTGGAAAGCTCACTCCAAGACCTGTGGCACTAGGGAGTACAGATGTGACTGTGGAACTCTTTTCTCAAGGTAACAAACCTACATCATTATTTAGCAAATCTATACATGAACATGAAGCCAATTTTAGCACTCTAGTCATAAATTTTGTTTTACTGATGAGCGAGGAAATAGGAACAGCTAGACAAAAAGAATTTTCATTAAATGTTTTCTCTAAAAATCCCAGGCAGCTCATATATATCCATAGATTTTAAATTATTCTTTATCCGAAATTTTGAGGAATTCATTAATAGCAATGCATGTATCAGAGTCCTACTTTGACACCAGAAAGAGAGAGATGCTAAGTTTGGCAAATATTGATTGCAGTCGCCTAGGTGGACCATCTGTCCTTAGTTACCAAAGTGAAAAATAAAAATAAAAATAAAAAGGATGCAGAGAAAAGTAGAGGAACGAAGAGAGAGAGAAAGTCAAATACTGCTAGCATTATTGACATAAGTCACTTTAATGATGGTTTGGCTTTGTTTTCTAGTGTAAGAGGCTTTGTTTCGTTATTCACGTGCTTTGGCCGTGGTGTTTCAGGAGGGACAGTTTCATCACTCACAGAGCCTTCTGTGATGCTTTAGCAGAGGAGGGTGCAAGGTCTATAACAGGAGCACCAAGCCAATTTCTTTCCACTCAACCTGGTTCCTCGACTCCCCGTATGAATCTTCAAGTGCCCCAATTCAGTGCTGGTCAAGACCTACATGCGTTTTCACTTAAAAAAGAGCAACAGAGTGGTTTTAATCTAAGGCCAGAGTTACCGCCATGGCTAGCATGCCCACCTGCAGGACTACGGGGTCCTGGCCCACCACATCAACAGACACCCATTGATCATCTGTCCTCCTCATCCTCACCATCAATCCTCTCAACTAGGTTAGGCCAAGAGTTCACACCAATCCATCAAGATATGAGCCCAAACCCTAATCCTAGTCTTGGCCCCACTCTGTCGCAGTACCATTCAGGACCATCCCCACACATGTCAGCCACTGCATTGCTGCAGAAAGCAGCTCAGATGGGTGCAACCATGAGCAGCAAAACTACTGGCTTGATGAGACCCCACCACCACAAACAGCAGCAAGAACAAGCTCACGTGTCCGCTAATGCTGATAACTTTCCAAATATAAACACAGCTGGTTTTGGTCTGAATTTGTCCTCACGTGAAGAGCTGGCAAGTGGTGGCTTGTTTTTCAATGGCCCGGCTCCTTTTGGGAATAAAGCTGGACCTACAGTTCCATCTGCTGCTACCAGCACTGGTGCACCACCCTCAGGTGCTCTTCTTCAAGACATGATGAATTCTTTATCTTCTGCTTCTGGGTTTCAAGGGACTTCCTTTGAAGATGCATTTATTGGCGGAGTTCTGAATTCAAAGAAAGATTTTAATTTCAACGACAGCTCCCTCTCTAAAACAGCAAGAAATGACAATGGAGGTAGCAGTAGTGGCGGAAATGAAGACTTGACTAGAGATTTCTTGGGTCTCAGACCTCTCTCTCACAGTGATATACTCAGTATAGCAGGTCTTAGTAATTGCGTTAACACTTCTCACGAGCAACAGAATCAAAGACCATGGCAAGGTAATTAAATAGTTCTTATGTGGAGAATTTCTTTTAGCTCTCTCTCTCTATATATATATATTTTTTTTCTGGTCACATTTTTTGCTTTTAAAAGTCCCAAAGGGAAGGACATCTTTTAAAGTTATCATAGTTCATTGTCTTATGTAGCAAATTTTCAGGAAATTTGCTTGTCGTTTCAATTATTAATAGCTTTTGCAATTGATTAATTCCACCGAAGATCCTATATATATAATAAACAAAACAAAACCCTAGTTTGTTTTTTTTTTCGTTCTCCCTTGTTAAGTTATAGTACCACTATAAATTGGTCTATAATGGTGACAACCTCAAGGAATAATAATTATGACAGAAGTAAATAAAACCGTTAAAAACCAAAAGAGCCTTAATTAATGATTTGATCTTCATGAATCCTTTGTGTCCCTTTTCTAGTCTTGGGTTTATAATTTCTTGCCGCTAAGGTTGGTAAGTTATTCCTTACAAACACGTGATATGTAAATGGTGATGCTTCACACACACACACACATATATATACATTTTGATTTTGGTGTCTTACGGGCCATGGTTTAGCTAAGTATATATATGCATAGGATGATGGATTATATATAATGACAGGCATTAATGCATGGTTAATTAGTGTAAAGTCTAGCATTGCCCCTAATGACAAATTAAGAATTTAAGATTGGGACATTGGAAGTTGGAATATGGGATTAAAATCTCTACCTAGAATACGTAAGACGGTTGGTATGAGCAAAAAAAACTCTAATCGTTTAAATAAATAATTTTAAATTTAAATTTTTATGTACGTAAAAAAAACTCTTTTGTATAATTATGTCTATAATCTAAAATACCTTAGGAATCTAAAAAAAATCTTCACTTAGATTTATAATATAAATCAAGAACAAAATGCCATTATGACTAAATCTAATGATTATGTAGGTTTATAATATTTGTACTAATGTTCCACCAAATAGCTTGGCATAATTATTGATTAATGGATCATATATATATATATATATATACATATATATAGCTAGCAAGAAATTGGTTTCCAATGTATAATCACGTTAGTTTATCCTTCCAATTCTCCTATATATTCATTTCAGAACAAAAATGATAGTAGGAATCTGATCATGGGAATGCAAAATGTTTTTACTGTCAATTTATTCCCAATGGAAATATGGATATTATTTTTTTCTCAGATAAAATAAAATAATATGGATATAGTTTTACTCAGGAATATATGTATAAACATTTCGTGAATAATTTCCCTATTTTTATGTAATAAGACAAGTTAATTTCACTTTCTCTTTGTGTAAAAGGCAAGTTTTTCTATTATATGTATAAACATATGATGCTCCACTACTGACATCATGAACATGGTGGTCCTGAAGTTGGGTTGTGGTTATCTATCAAAAAATAGGCAGTTAATTATATATAATCTTCTCTTTCAGTTTAATTTTCAAAGGAATTATGTTTTTTTTTTTTAGTTCCAATTGAAATTTGTTTTCCACCTCACGGATTTGTCATTTTGAGTTAATGAAACATATATAGCTTTACATATAAAAGAAAAGGAAAAGTGAAACAGTACGTATATTGGTCGGTAGGTAGAACATTTTGAATATACGAATTATTCATAAAATACAGTAGTAATTAAATATATAAAGTAAAGGGATATACGGTTGATGGGTATTAAAAAAAAAAAGAAAGAGAAGAAAGAAAGGCATTGGATTCTTTAAAGAAACAGGTTGGGAAAATGTGCGTAGATATGGAAGCTAGCTTGGTTTATAGATATACTGTTTATTCACGAAACAAAAAAGAGATGCTGTTTGATCCCATGCGTGGGTGCAAGTGGGATTCGATCCCGAGGGAGGATCACTCAATGCCCATTAGCCTATTCTTCCAAAAAAAAAAAAAATTATAGTATAATTACGTTGAATTTATCATCATCTAATCACAATACCAATATTGATTACTGCTCCCTATATTAACTCGTGATCTTGCAAATTGCAATGTGGGCTAGCTAGCTAGCTAGAGCCTAGCTAGACACAAGCTTTCACGTTTAAAAGATCGGTAAATTCCTCTTTATTATTCTGTGTCCAAAAACGATGTTGTCCTGATCGATCCTGGCTGAGTTGATCAAAAGTGTCGCTAGCTAGCTAGTTATTGAAACTCTCGTCCGAATCATTGATTTCTTGTGTTTATGAGTGTCAATTCTCCGTCTCATATGAAAGTGCTTCTAAGGAAGTAGAAGGCAAATCCAACATGACAATTAATTACATGCATATGAAATGAAAGCAAGGTGGGTGGGGAGGTAGGTAGCTAGGATCCAAAATATAACAATAAAATGGCCTGGACAAGAAGGGTTTCTTTGAAAGAGGAACAGTATATTAATGCGTATTCAAAGAACAGTGTATGCGTAGTGCTTTTGAAAGTGACATTGTAACGAAAAAATCACCAAAATGAAATGCCTTTCTAATTTAATTTCTCTTTAATTGAATGCGAGTTGGTATTTAAATGCTCCAGGTAGTTTTCCCGACATTGCTTTCACATCAAGATTTGCATGCAACTTTTCTCTCTTTTCCCTTTCGTCCTTGAAATCCAGCTGGGTTTTGTCAAGCTTTTCACAAGTGTGAGAAAGGGAGAGAGAGAAAGAGGTCATCATCAAATGTGATTTTATCAAAATAAGGTATGATTAGGCAATCATCAGAAAAAGTAGTTTTTGCTGTGAGCACTTTAAAATAATATCCCAAATGGGTGCTTAAGAAAGGTGCTTATACTTAAGATTTTTGATATGTTAGGTTAAGTTTACACGCATGACATGTTCCAAAAGTGGCCATTAACACCTGTTCTCTTTTTATCGGTTTTCAAAACCTAATGCGGGGGAAAAAAAAAACTATTCTATAGAACGATTCTTCTCTGAAATATTATTCCTACTTATTCTCTTCTAGGTCTGATCATGTGTTGTTATTCATATATCCACAGAAAGAAAGAGGGATAGAAAGGCACGTTTGTTGCCATATTTAAGACAATCTTCTCTATAAAAAAAACATTTCTCAGGTTTGGTATTTTTGTCGTCATTTTGTACAAGTAGTCTCTCTTCGCCAGTGAGGAGGACAAAAGAAAGAAATATAGCAACATATGAGGATGGTGAATAAGTGGCTTTCTACCTAACTGTGAGAACTGAGAAATAATCTCTTGTGTTTTTATCCAAATAGAATCTACTCATGAGATGGCCTAACTCAAATGTTTTTGCAACAATATACCAGAATTATTTGTGGGACAAAGTAAACCATGTGTAGCATCTCTTTCAGTACTAATGCTCGCTTGCAGTTGCAGATAATTTGAGAAAGAACATTTCGTATTGTTTTTGAATTTTGATGCTGTTTTAAAAGAACATTTGGTCGTATGTCTTAAAAGTAGTTGACGTTGATGAAACGCTGATTTAGGCAGAAAGAGAGAATATACATGGGTTTGTTTTGCATGTTTTTGTAGCAGCATGGACAGAAAACCAGTTGACTTGTCCTTGCAAAATGCCTCTGTCTCTTTCTGTTAATCAATGCCACCTTTTTTTCCACCAGTATCTGACTTTCCCCATCCTCCCTTCCTTTCTCTCAGTCTCTCGATGGAATTTATGGTTTTCACTTTCCATGAAAATTTGTTATATATATGTTTGTGTGTGTATGTATGTATAGGTGGGCATAATTCATAAGTCGATGAGCCAAATTAATAAAATTGGGGTCTGGCTGCCCTCCATTTTTACGCCTCCCTGGCTCCCTTCTCCTCCAATCCTTGTTTAGATGTATCACGCGGCCCATAAATAAAAGAAATTATGATTATTTTGAGAATGCATGAATAAAAGAAATTATTGATTTGGAAGTTTTTTGCATTTGGTCAAATGCCATATATTCCTTAATTAATTAAAGAATGGAAATGCCATAAATCAGTCCAGTAAAATAATTACATGTGCATTAGTTAATTTTTATCTTAAGGTAAGCTGGTGATGATCTATGAGTTTTTTCTCAAACTAAAGTACTTTGAAATCTTATTTATAAAAACGAGGCACTTTAAATCTTATTTACTAAATTTAAGGTTTTTTTTTTCATGTAAGCTTAATTATCCATGTCATTTTAAGTTTAATTTAATTTAATAATAATAATTATTATTATTATTATCTACGAAACAGAGATGCTAATTATTTATCTGAAATAAACAAACATTTTCTTGAACCAGTGGGACTTTATAAACCAATGATGATCTAGTTTCCCTTACAGATTAAATTCCCAAAGAAAACTCAAAATCAATAAAACCATCTTCAAAAACCTAGTTTTAAAATTTAAATTTTCATAACCTTCCGAGAAGTGACTCTCTTTTCACTTGCAAGCACATATTTCTCATAACTGTAAACAAGCAAAGGACGCTTGTTGTTCTCTTGACTCATGCTCCTCAACATGTACCTTGGATTCTCGTTCCTCTTCACAGAGTAAGCAGCAGACATAGAATTTGCACTCAAATGTTTACCAATCCCACCATTAATTGACTCCCATTTCCAATCTCATTGCGAACCATCCTTGGCAGAGCACGTAATTCGCAGGATATCAACTGGCATTCAGGGAGGAGATCAGATTCTTCCATATCCCATTTTCGATTTGTTTTCTGGGATTTAGTCAAAGAACCAGGAGTAATTTGTGTGATGTGATGTTGCATTCTAATCGAAGAACACGTCAAGGATGGAGCCTGATAGGGGATTTAGGAAGTGGAGGCTTGCGATCAATTTTCATCCTTGACATTTTGATTGGATTTCTTAGAAGAAAACTTTTGATTTGAATTCTGTAATGCTAAAGGCTCCAGTTTTTTTATGATTCTTTTTCGTCATTTTAAGTTTAATTATTATTATTATTATTATTATTTTATAATCAATAAACACTTTTATGAAAAAAAAACTAATTTAAACAAATATATAATACTTTTACTGATTTCTTAGTTATTTTTTGCATGACATGGATATTATTTTGAAAAAGAAATGACATGGATTTTTCATGTAGATCTTACATTGCATAAAAATGTATTGTTTTGAGAAATAAGATTAAAATTATCTCATTGTGGGAAATAAGATTCAAAAGTATCTTATTATGAAAAAAAACTTGATGATCCATGGTCGATCTATTTAAACAATATAACTCCAAAAAAGAAAAGAAAAAAAAAGATAGATATAAAGAAAAGAGAAATAAGAGAAAGAATTTTTTTTAAAAAAAATTAAATTTATTTGAAAATATTTTTATCATATTTAATTAATGGATACAAATATGAATATTATTGTTATAATTTTTTTAAAAAAATATATCTCTCTTCTCTCTTCATATGATTGTTATATAGCCAACATTGTATCACCATGTGTCTACTATTGTCAACCAAGCAAATCAAATTTTTTTTAAAAAAAGTTGAAGGTTTAGGTCACTGTTTACCATATCAATTTCTTCATTTTGCCAATTTATCAATGGTGTCTTTCGATCCAGCAATTGGGTATAGATTTGCAAATCCTTAAGTGCATGTGTTTTAAGTTTCAACTATCAATTAGGGCTTCAATATCACTACACAAAATTCGCTAATCTTTTTCTTCATTTATTTTTCAGGTTAACAAACCCAAAACATGATTAGCTTGTTTTTATTGACAGATATTAATAGCTAAATTTATGGTCTAGAAAACTCAGTTATGATTAACTTGAGTGAAATCAATTTTAATCTTTTTAAAAAGTAATTTTATAGTTAAATTTTTATGTATATAAAATACTTTTTGAATAACTATTTTCGTCTAATATACTCGATGAACAATGAATGATTAATGTGAAATCAGCTTCCTTGGCAGAGCACGTAATTCGTAGGATATCAATTGGCATTCGGGGAGGAGATCAGATTCTTTCATATCCCATTTTCAATTTGTTTTTTGGGATTTAGTCAAAGAACCAGGAGTAATTTGCGTGATGTGATGTTGCATTCTAATCGAAGATATATGCCGAGGATGGACCTGATGAGGGATTTAGGAAGTGGAGGCTTGCGATCGATTTTCATCCTTGACATTTTGATTGGATTTCTTAGAAGAAAACTTTTGATTTGAATTCTGTAATGCTAAAGGCTCCAGTTTTTGTAACAATATACCTTAAGGTATATTCAATCCTAGAAGTTTACCTAAGACAATAATTTTACATAAATAAATATGTAAACTGTATTTATTATTCCAATACCTTAAGGTATGTTTTTTTTTTTAATTCCTACAACACATGCAATCGCCAAATGCACAAATAATATATATGCCACGAATCAAGACACGATAAGTTTTTTTTTTTTTTTTCATGATAATTTAAGAATGCAATATTGCATTAGACGGGGGAAAATACCAACATCACGACAAGATAACAAAGATGCAATTTTCCTTTGTTAATATATATATATATATATATATATATATATATAATGTGTTGGGTTTTATTTGTATTTAATTGGGAAGGAACAAAATTTGATACTTCTTTTCATATAAAAACTGTTTTTTTTTTTTTTGTCATTTCTAGCTTAAAATCAAAAGGAATATCTTTTCTTTCCTTTTTTATTTTATTTTAAATTTTAAGTGCAATTCAAGTCTGCCGGTCTGTTAAGATGACTCAGCTGAATATATCATTGCACTTCCACTTAACACCTATTGTAATGATAAATGACTCATCTTGCTGTGACCTTCAATTTTTTTTAAAAAATATTTGTTTAAAATTACAAGTTAATATACCAAACGACACGATGGCTTGGTGTCAATTTATCCGTAATCTGATCCAAAGATGTACCTTACTCTCACGGATGAATTAAAAAAAATAATTATAATTATAATTGCAAAATAACATACATGGTTGGTTATTTAAAACTCCACAAGAGGGTATTTCAGTCATTATATAATCTTGCCAAGCACCCAGCAAAAACTCGCACGCTAGTTGGAAATAAATTTCTTTCTTTCTGTCCTTAATTTAGCGCCTTCTTACATTTTGTTTTATTTTGGAAACTCCAACCACACGCCTGGGTCAAAACATCACTCTATCTCTTTCTAGAACCCGATCGGAGCGGCAAAAGCTGTGATCGGATCTCCTCAACTCATAGAAACTAGTATAGTAGTACTAGTGCTAAACAATGGCGAGAAAGAGCAGAACCAAAACGACACTGTTTTTGCTACTCATCTCTCTTATTGCTTTTCTCGCTATTATTCCCGTCTTCGCTCCTCTCCCTTCCCTCTCCTCCTCCTCCCACTACTCTCACTCTCCTCGCCTTCGCCACCACCGAAAGGTAGTGATCAGCAATGTCACGGTAACTCGCGCTCTCTTTCTAGAAGTCAAACCCTGATAAATATAGCTAAGCATTGATTAATTTCTTACTGTAATCAGGCTAAGACTCGACTATTCAAGATTGATGATGACAAGTTTTGGAAAGACGGCGAGCCTTTCAGGATCATCGGCGGCGACTTGCATTATTTTCGCGTTCTTCCTCAGGTATTTATTATTACCATATTCTAATTGTTATTTCTGTTTTTATGAATTTCTGTATTTATTTTGACGTGTTTATTTTTTATTTGAATTTTTTTCAAGTACTGGGAAGATAGGCTGGTAAGAGCAAAAGCAATGGGATTGAATACTATTCAAACTTATGTTCCTTGGAATCTACATGAACCACAACCCGGAAAATTAGTTTTTGAGGGAATTGCTGATTTATTGTCTTTTCTCCAACTCTGCCACAAACTCGATTTACTTGTCATGCTCCGACCCGGCCCGTATATTTGCGGAGGTCTGTTTTTGTCTACCATATGTTTTATACGTACTGCTCTATCATAGCTCTTACATAATATGTGAACCTCATTAATTGTGTTTGTTTGTTTGTTAGAGTGGGATTTGGGGGGATTCCCTGCTTGGTTACTTGCCATAAAGCCGGCTCTCAAACTGAGATCATCTGATCCTGCTTACCTTCAGCTGGTATGCTACATTTTGCAGTTGCTTTGTTGATGATATTGCTCATATATTATATATGCAAGGTTTTCATGGCAGTTTAAATGGTGTACAAGGGAGTTGCATTTTGTATTGTTGGTGATTTGGTGTGTGTGCTATCTATATTAGCGTTGTGAAAGTAGAGAGTAATGTGTTAGTAAAGAAATAATGTTGATTACTAAATGGTGTTTTCGGTGGAGAAAATCTCTTGAGAACTAATAATTTCTTCATCTTATGTGCTACCTTTAGGAATTTAATAAATATGATGGCGATCTTACATGCTTTTATCATGCCTTTTCTCTCTCTTTTTTTTTTTTTTTTTAATTTAATCTGTCCTCTCACAGTTCTGGAAAAAAATTTTTTAATCCTTTCTATGGTTTTCATTGTTTTGTTCTTTTTAAGAATTGATATTTTTTTTTACCTTTTTTTGTCACAAGACAACCTTCGTTGCTTGGATTGATCACTCTGTTTTACCCTATTTTAGTTTGTTTTATTTCATTGATGTTACATAATTTTACCTTTTAAGTTCTTATATAAGAATAGTTCGAAGATGCTTTTTTTGGTCTTTTTATGCTATCATAAGGATGTTTCATTTGATTATCTATCGTATCTTTAAATGTTCTGATTTATAGTGAGGCTCTCTTTCAGTTCATTTTTTTAGATTGATGAACACTTATTGAGGTAATGCAAACTTGTTTGGGGTTAGAAATTGTGTAAATTCTTTTAGTTCTGTATCCTGTGATTGTTAAAATATTGTAATTTTCAATCTGTCCTTTTTCAGTTCATCTAGTCAATATGGACTTAAATTTTGTAGGTTGATAACTGGTGGGGAATCCTACTTCCTAAGGTAGCTCCGTTTCTTTATAATAATGGAGGCCCTATCATAATGGTTCAGGTAAGTGAATTTGTTACTTCTGATTAATGCATCTTCTATGATTTCTAACAGAGTGTAAATGTTGAAAACGATGTGGATCTTATTGATGATCACCTTCAAACACCTGGAATGTTACAAATGTTTCTTTTGGAAGAGGTTTTTTCTTTAACAAAAGAAAGCTACAGATCTCACTGCTAACTAGTTTCTAATGTTTCAACAATTAAACTTCTTTTGAGAAGAAAATTTGCCTTGATATTCAATTTTAATACTTAAAAATAAAAAATAAAAAATGGCAACCTTAGTTGAACTTTAAAAGATATATCTGTTCTTCTTTGTTGCAAATGCCCTGTGTCTATCAGTTATACATACTGTGAGACAAATCCGCTTTTGTCATAAGGAGAACAAAAGACAATGGGTATTTCTGAATATAATTGGGTGAAAATAGTGTAGTTTTTTCTTGTCTCATTTCTGGTCCACCTGGTGGAGATAATAGCTCAACCAAAAAATGAGAAGATAAGGGAATATAGAATGCCCTACCTCGATCATGTTCCTTTGTAGAATCCAAGTCTGCCTAAGTGCTTGAGATAGACAGAAGGGTTTTGATAGCCGTTGGAAATATATCTTCCTCTAAGATTGTCCAAAAATTATCGAAGTTGTCAAAATCATCTCACAGATGTCTTAGTCCTTTATTAGATCATATGTCTTGATCTTAATGCCAAATTGATTGCATACTGTTAGAGATTAATACAAATTATATTCTGGGGCCTTACCTATAAACTTAAGCTTTTAGGTGAGATGGTCCTTTAATATGGTATCGAGCTTGGTTGACCAAGAGGTCTTGAGTTCAAGTTTCACCATCCCTAATTTCTCAAGTATTAAGCATAAGGCAATATGGACATGTGCAAGTTTCAAGCCCAAATGTTGGAGCTTTCACTTGAGGGGGTGTGTTAGAGATTAATATAAATTATATTCTGGGTCTCACCTATAAGCTTAAGCTTTTAGGTAAGATGGTCCTTTAATACATGCTTTCAGATATTTTATACTAGTAATTTTCAATGAAAGCTATTATCTTGCAGATTGAAAATGAGTTTGGTTCATATGGAGATGACAAAGCTTATCTTCATCACCTGGTTAAATTGGCCCGAAGACATCTTGGTGATGGTATCATTCTGTAAGAGTTTCTGTCTATTCAATCTTTCATTCATAGTTTCATATAAAACTTATGCAGCTGTTTCTTTCATGTATGTGTCATAGAATATATTCTGGCCACACTATGTGGTTGTATGTTCAGGGCTTAGTTTTTGGTGCCTTTATTTCATGCAGAAGATGATTATTCTCAAAGTGCACTCATGATTCATTTTCCTCTTCATGAACTTTTGAGGGTAGAAATAGGACCACAACTCATTAATTGTATCCTATTTTCTCATTTAACATTTTACACATAACATCTAGTTTGTACTTGTTATATTTGAGTTACTTGGTGAATAGTTAGCTTGGTAGTGAGAGAGCTTTAGAATTTATGTGATATCATTTGCTTGAAATTTCTGGCATTGATCAGGAATTTAGCAGATCTTTACAGTTTTAGTCATGGCAATATCATCAGCTAGGACTGCATCGGTTTGGATCACTTTGGTACCACTAACATCCTGTTAGGATGCTTAAGAAACCATGCAATCAAATAGCGAAGGAATGCAATTTCCTTGGTGTCTACTACCATAAGTTGCTCGTAGTCTTTCTGTCAATTTCTACCCATCTAATTGGCCATCTGTCACTACTTACCTAAGATCATCATTGGCATTTTTACTACCAACCATTGGAATGTTCTTAGACTCTGGATTTTTCAAATACTGGAATCAGCAATTAATTACATTTGATTAGATGCATGTCAATTCTCTTGGCTTTGGTTCCCTCTCTTTTTGATATTCTGTAAATATGAAGCAGAGTCCCATGTGTTTGTTCCTCTACCTTTCCCTTGTTTAGGTTATATCTACTTATACATTTGATTGGATGTTGTGGGTTCTCTTTGCTTTGCATCCCACGTTGATTCATGTTTTCATCAATTAAAAAATCATCATATCATGTCCTTAAGATGTTGTATGGTAGAATTATCTATCGCCTATTGCCCAAGTCCAAAAGCATTCCAACCACAGTGCTAGCTTCAGTTTAACTGATTTAACTAAGTTTTGCATAGAATGTTTTCATTTATTTAATTAGTGTCCCTTTATTGGCTGAATTAATTATTTTCAGGTATACCACAGATGGAGGTTCTAGGGGAAATCTTGAGAATGGAACCATCCGAGGTGATGCTGTCTTTTCAGGTAAAATTATGTAGTTTTTTTTTCCCCAAAATCTTATATTAATGTATTTACTTGATTATTACCCAAGCTGTTACGTTATCTTAACTCTTCACTATTTGCATATTTGCCTATTAGATTGTTAGTGTATATATGTTAGACCTGTTTCACGCCCAGTATATTTGTACAAGTACACACACATATTTTCCATGAATGTTCAAGTGTACAAGCGTCAGTATCCACGTTTGAGTATCTGGTATTTGATATCTAGGTAAAGTGAAGAACCCAACTAACATAGACATATCAGCGTCAAAGGTTCTCTTATTGGCAGCAAATCATTTGAAGAACTATGAAGAAAAAGTGGACAAGTTCAACCCTGTTTTTGTGAATCATGGGAAATTGACTCTGTTATTTTCTGGATGCTATTGGCTTGTGGTTCAGTTCGCTCTCTTTCTTTTTCTTCTTTTTTCTTTTTATTTTATTTTTTGTTACTTAGGTTACATGTAATACTATCAAGAATAGGAAATGATCCCCCTGTGTGTGTGTGTGTGTGAGAGAGAGAGAGAGAGAGATAGCTTAACATATGATCACAAGGCCATGAAGTCTGTCTCAAAAAAAGAACATATGACCATTTACTTTTTATCTATGACCTGCGCTTTGAGTGACACTTTTTAAACTATATATTACCTGTGCTTTGAGTTAAACTTCTTAAACCTGGGATCTAGAAATTCCATAGACAGAAGATTAAGATTTTCTCTTGGAGTGATATAAATATCTTATGCATGCATCATATGTGTGGCACACAACTTATGATCCCATGCGATATGCAGCTGTAGACTTCACTACTGGTGATGATCCTTGGCCTATCTTCAAGTTACAAAAGGAGTTCAATGCCCCTGGAAAATCTCCACCGCTTTCTTCGTAGGTGCCTCATTAATTAGTTCCATATAAATTGGTCAGTGGTTCTACAGTTTTAGTTCTTCGTGTTTCCAGGGAGTTTTATACAGGTTGGCTGACACATTGGGGAGAAAAGAATGCAAAGACTGATGCTGGTTTTACTGCATCAGCCCTGGAAAAGATATTGGCACGGAATGGGTCTGCTGTGCTTTATGTATGTCCCCTAGTTAAACCTTTGCTGATGCTAAAGCATTTGTGTGCACTGTAATTGCATTACCTCTTTTTTTTTTATTATTATTTCTTAAAATTTCTAGATGGTGCATGGTGGAACAAACTTTGGGTTCTACAATGGAGCAAATACTGGTGTAGATGAGTCAGATTACAAGCCAGACATCACTTCATATGATTATGTGAGGACTGACTTGTTGGATTGTACTGATTATATGGAATAAAATGTACACACTGGACTAAAATGGTATTAATTTTCCAGGATGCACCAATCACAGAATCTGGAGATGTGGACAATGAGAAATTCAATGGTATGATTTCTCTTTCCACTATGCTTGAAGGTCAATTGCACTACAATGAAGGAGAAGCAATTTGAGTGTGTAGATTGCATAATTAAAAATTCCCCTTTAGATTGTGGTTTATGCTGTCACTTGAGTTTAACGGAATCAATCATACATAATGCATATCTCAAGACCCTTATAGCAAACACATCTGTTGATAACTCCAGTAGAAAGTTTCAGTCACCTGAGAAGGTTCGGAATGATCCATCTGAGAGTATCTCTCTTTCTCGTATGGAGAGGCAATAGCTCTGATGTATTGAGCTAGCACATTTCCAGAGCCTTATACTTGGAATTGAACAGAGTGAAACATGTGAGAAAAGTTGGTGAAAGGTGCATGCCTACGTTCACATTATACTTTCTATCATTGATTAGTCTTTCTTTAGTTCCTCAAAATGTGACTCAAGTGGTTAATTAAGTAATTGGTCATTCAAGACAGGGAGCTGGCATCTCTAGCTGTTTCAGAACTTTCTGTCATACACCATTGACAATGTGTTGTTTGACTCACTCTTATCCTCCTACATTAATTTCACTGTTAAGGATTTCTTTACGTAAAAGGAAATTTCAGTAATGATAACTCTGTCCAATTGTGCTTGCAGTTTCTCAGAGCTGCCCAGTATATCTCTGATACTGTTTTCAGATTTATTTGTCACTGACCATTAATTCAAATTTTTATTCAAAGCGGTGCTTGTGCAAGATAATATATAGATCACTCCTTACTTCAGCACTGCGCAGGGTTATTGGGCTTTATACTGCAGCATCTCTTCCGTCAGTTCCTTCTGATAATGGAAAGACAGGATATGGACGTATTCAGTTACAGAAGACAGATTCTTTGTTTGGTTTACTTGACATGATTAATCCGGCTGATGTAATTGAATCTGAAAATCCACTCTCAATGGAGTCTGTGGGGCAGGTGTTCAACTTTATTATCTTATCATATTCTTTTTGCAAATTTAAATTCTTATGGCTATCCTTGACGAACTAAAATTGCTTGATACCTGAAATTTTTCATCTTCAGATGTTTGGATTTCTGTTATATGTTTCTGAATACACTCCAAAGAATGACGAAAGCATTCTTTTCATACCAGAGGTATAAAACTATGCATAGACTTCCTAATTTGATTCCTTTGTAACTATGTATAACCATTGTTTCTTATCTTTTTTTCAATTAATGATAAAGATATGCAATGTTAGTGTCTGATTTTAATTGAGTACGGATTGCATCTTCACCTGTTCTGTTATTAGTTTGACAAAAACTTAAAACAATTTTTTTTCCCAAACATTGTATGCTGCAGGTGCATGATGGAGCTCAAGTGTTTACTTTATGCCATTCTGGAGTTAGTAGCACAAGGCCAACACATGTTGGTTCAATTGACAGGTTGTCAAGTAAAAAACTTGGCCTTCCTAATGCCAAATGTGCTTCGAACATCAGCTTATTTGTTTTGGTACATGACTATCTTGTTTCTCATGAAAAATATCTGATTGTTTTGCTTTAGCTACTTCCGTGAGTTCTACATTGAAGTTAAAGTAGTTTAATGGAAATATTGTCACTGTCCAGACCATTGGCTTTTTATTCTTGCACTTCTGAGTTAATTTTCTGGCTAATGTCCTTGCTCGAGTTGAGTTTTACTTTGGTTAAGTAGGGAATCTTTATCTATTTTTTTATTCCATTTACTCATTGAAGTACAGTAAAATGACTTAAATTCATGCCATAAACTGGCTTGAAAGCAATTATAAGAAAGATGCTTTGAGTAAAAGCTTTAATCTCAGTGGATCCCATTTCCAGTGTATGCCAATACTGAAGGGATTCTCTTGGGAACTATCCTTTTCTCATTGTTGTAATAGGTCCTCGTAATTTTCGTATGTGGTATTTTTATATTGAAATTGTTGCATTCTTCATCTAATCAGTTTATTTTCTGTTCTTGCAGGTTGAAAATATGGGTCGTGTGAATTATGGACCATACATATTTGACAACAAGGTAAATCTGCTCACTTTTTCTTTTTTATCTGCTAAAGCTGCTTCATGATTTCTTAGTATGATAGTACTACAGTTTCTTTATCTGTGTGGTTTGAAACTCAGGAATTCAAAATCTTTTCCACAGTTCTATAAAATGTATCCTGCACTTTCTATCTTTCTTGGTGGTTAATTTCAAGGTTACATTGTCTTCTTACTAAGGTGCACTGATGAAGGCTCTCTTGGCAGAATCCTAATCCTTTATACTCTTAAAATCTGAACATATAAAGGAAAAATCTGTGCTAAAGACTCTATATACAGTTTGGGAAGAATGCAGGAAGAAATGGAAAGTTAAGAAAATAGTTAAAGGAAATCCAATTTCTCAAGCAGCTTGATCGTCAACACTTTGTGGTTTTGTCTTGTTTTTCAAGATACAATGATTACAAGCGAACTGCAGGAATATTATTCTGAAAAAATTCACATTCTTTATATTGTTTGTTCTGTAAATAAATTAGGATCCTTCAAAATCTCAGCCATACTCATGTCTTGTGATAAGCTGTGCAGTACTAGTCATTGATTTCCTCACTTAGACTAAAAACAAGACAAGGAACCTGGTATGAATTTTAGCATGAAAATTAACATGACTTAGATATTTAAACGGAGGGAATACTACATCTCAGATAATAATAAATTAAGGATATACACTTTCCTCATAGACTAACAATTGCTATTCAACTGGATCTTTCTCTCTTTTACAGGGAATTTTGTCTTCTGTTTATCTGGATGGGAGGATTTTGCATCGATGGAAAATGATATCCATTCCTTTCCAGAACCTGAATGAGGTTCCAAAAATCAATCCCATCCTTCAAGTTGCACATTCGAGATCCATTACAGTATCAACCCAGACGAAACTGAAAGATCAATCTGGTAAGTCACAAACTCATATAAAATGCACGAGTGATCATCTACGATAGCTATTGCATCATTTTTTGCGGTGTCACTTTTGGTTTTACGGTCAGGCATGCATGACTCCATTGTCTGTCTCATGTTGCATGAAGGTCTATTATTAAGAATAAACAAGACAAGCCAATTAATCAATAATTTGTTTGCTTATATTTTTTCAGGGAATGTTTCTGAAGTACCAGCATTCTTCACAGGCCATTTTTTTATAGAGGATGCTAACCAAATTCATGATACTTTCATATCATTCAGTGGTTGGGGTAAAGGGATTGCAGTTGTTAATGATTTTAACATAGGAAGATATTGGCCGGTAAAAGAACTCAAAATTTGATTTTCTTTCAGCCTTGCTATCTAGTCTTCTATTTTTTATGCTATTAAATTTTTTATTTTCTTACTTTTGTGTACAATTTTCCTCCAACATTGCAGTCATTTGGTCCGCAATGCAATCTCTATGTCCCTGCTCCGATCCTTCGCCATGGAAAAAATGTTCTGGTATGGGATGCCTAAAGATCATATATATGTGAATGTACAGGATGAGAAAGCTCACGGGCACATACATGCACATGCACATATGTAGGTTTATATGCTGTAATATGCATATTAGTTGCTTTGATCTCCAATTTTCAGTGGACTCGATAGTTATGCAATCATCTTAGCATCCAAGTCACAAACTGTCTATTGATATCAAAGTTGTGATCTATGTTCGAACCCATTGCTAAGATTACAAAATTTAAAATATAAAGCCTTCAACCTCTTTCTCTGTCTCTCTGTGCTTCTTAGAATCTTAGTTGATATCAAGAACCAACACAATCTCCCGAGCCACCTATGCACACGATTGATACTACACAATTTGGGACTTAGGAGTTGTATCTAATTTCTTCTTCTTTTTTTTCCCCTTTAAAGGGTGTTTTTTCTTTGACTTCTTGACTTGTTTCCTACTGCGCAGGTCATACTTGAGTTAGAATCTCCCAACCCTGAACTTGTCATACATTCAGTTGATCACCCAGACTTCACATGTGGTTCGAGTAAATCAAGCTTGCATCAGCTGTAGTTACACCTTATATTTGCATCATGCCCTTTCCCAACTAGACTCAATTAAGCTACATCAGGACGATTAGTTGACCTGCAATGTTGAACCTCTGAAGATCAAGTGCACACACCGATGCATTTTGTGGAATATGTGCATTTGGCTCAAGGATGGTAGTAGACTGATTAGAAACCGGTGCTGCTGAGCAGAAGTGATTTTTGGAGAATTGATGCGCCGATCCATTACAATCCCCGAGGTGGTTCTGTTCAAACAGCGTCATTTGCACTGGTTTGAGAAAAAACATTATTGCCTTGTCATCGACTCTTACGCATATCTCGTACTTGTCCACTCAAATGCATGGCTCCTTTTCATCCTAAAATTGTATTGCGTTTTAGAATAGTTAAATTTATTGGGTTTTCTTGAGAACTCTCCCAGCTTGTCAAGAAATACTCTTCTATTCCTGATATTCTTCGCCCTCTATTCCTAAGACGACAGATAAGGAGAATCACATAGGACCAAAAACTGTTTGTTGGAGTCATATCTCATACCATCAACAATTCAACAAAGTATCATTTTAATGGAACGGTGCCTGGCTTTTATACAACAATTTATACACAAAACTTGACGGAAAATCAGCAGAATAGCCAATGTTATCTCAAGTATCACAAGCTTTCAACGCAAATCAACAAGTCTAGTCTTTTATTTCCCGTGGCTTAAAAACTCTCTTGATCAAGATTATGGCCCAATCTCCTCACAACGTGGGGACTGGCAATTTTGCTACATGCTAAAATTACCTGAGCAACAAATGAACCCAAAACTGAAAAGTAATCATTTTGAAGGAGAAGTATCATCTGAATCCTTTTTGGGTCCTGAAACAGCAGCAGTTGCTGCCGCAGTGACAGCTGCGGCAGCAGCCCCAAGCTTAACACCACCAGCAGCCTTCATTGCACCAGCTACTTTTGCAAATATTGCTACACCTCCTACAAGTACAGCCCTGAGGGCAACTGTTGGTTTTACTGCCATTTCTTTTGGGAACTGCAAAAAACATTTATGTGACAAAATCAAAAAGTTATCCTGTCCATGCAAATAACAAACAAATGCCAGATGTAATAACTAGCAGATCAACCAAAAACACCTTCTAGGTCAACATCAACAACTTATCTAAATAGATGAACCTTAGGCTATAAATTACAACTTTTTTGCTTTTTAAATAAAAGCAAGAACAAGAACATCTTGACCCAACAAAAACTGTTCTACTCACTGATTTTGCTGCTCCAATTCATAACATGTGGAGACCCTAGTTCTTTCTTTCTTTATAATGTTTTAGATATGAACTGAGTTTCTTCCTCAAATTGTAAGTACCCGTTTCAATACTTCCAAAGAAAAGATTTGAAAAGAACGAGAACAATCTTATTATTGGCACCAGTGACTGCCTTCTCAGAATTAGTTCAAAAGCCGGGCCAAAAAAAGAAAAATACATGAATCTCTTCAAAATTCAAATGTTCTGAACGGTGAGATGAGAAACTTGTCTTTGAGAAAAGTTATTCAGCAAATTCTCTCCATTCCTTTTGCAGAAATGGAAAAGATATGACCACTAACCACTACAATGCAAAGCCCATTCTACACACCATTTTTAGTTTCCCCGTCCTTTGAATTCTAAAAGACAAGGTACACTTGGCTAAGCATATAAACTGTCACGCAAAGTTCTGAAGAAAGACAAGACGAGTATGGAAGAATAAGAGAACAAAAATTTTCATTATAATAAACTTAGAATCTATTACGTATCTAGTGCTGGAGATTTCCAGAGATACCAGACAAGGGTCAAGACTTCTTTCTATCTCATCACAATGTTGAAATAGGACTACGCCGATCAAAGGAACAACTATCGGAGCTGGATAAAATTCTGTGCAATTCCATCCTATTCTCACAAAGCAGACAGTCTCATTCTAATTACCTAATCAGCAAGCAAGCATAAACATATCCTTCTCAAATACTTAAGTAAACAATCAGATCCAACTCTTTGTGCCCACTATCATTTCTTGTATACCCACTGCTATCAGACATTTCATTCAAGCATCAACACATTGGCAAAGAACCCTAACAATTCAAACCTCGACGAAATAGCAGTCTCTCCTTTTACGTTCTAAATGTAGCATAACGGAAGCAGCCGTCGCAAAGGAGCAAGACGAGTGTTGCAAAAGACACAAAACACTGACTGAAATAGTTATTTGCAAAGCTTCAATGAAACAAACAACAAATTATAACTATCCAGAACATTCGTATCTCTTCTACTTGTCAACCACATTCAATCATATGAATCAGAATATAATTTCCCCATTACAAATTTCTTTATACTTTGTGCTACCAAGCATTATCCAAAGGGTACTGATCAAAATCAAGAATTTTGAACAAATTTCAATCAGATCACAAAAACCCACATCATATTTCACCCTCAACATCCAATAACTAAAGAAAAGAAAAAAACATGTAGAATATATGTTAAGACAGAAGTAATATTAGAGAGAAGCTTGATGGTTTGTTGGAGTGAGAAAAAGAAAATGAGAGAGAGAGAGAGAAAGACAGACAGGCAGAAAAAATGATAATGAAAGAAGGCAGTTAGGAAGCAACCTTTCTTTTTCTTTCTTTGGTTTCCTTGTATCTTGGAGCTAAAAATGAGGTCTTTCTTGGCGTTGTTCTTCGTTCTGTAATGTTATGTTCACTCTTTGTGTTGTGTCTTAAAAGGGTGAAACGAGAGAATCACCCACGCCACCGGGGCTGGAATGCGAATATAAGCAATTGATGTTGTAGCTCTACGACAATCAAACGACTTGTCTTCTCTTCACCAACCCACACGTTTTTACTACATGTCGGTTATCTGCAGTTTACTTTCCTCCACTACGAACGACGTGTGTTCGATTTAGCTAACTGAACGACCGGTAGTTTCCTTCCTGCCTCCTCTGTTTTAAAAGACTGTACCATTAGGAAAGGTTCGCTGGTTTGGAGAGAGAGGGAGAGAGATCGATGGATCATTCATTCAGTGGAGGAGGAGGAGGGAGCTGGACAATGATTCCCAACTTGCCAACACACAGTAGCTCCCCTGCACACTCAAATCAAGATCAGTTTTACCTCCCTCAACAACAACAACAACAATTTACTCAGTTTCAACAGCAGCCGCAGTTTAACCAACAGCAACAACAATTTCAACAGCAGCAGCACCACCACCACCAATATCAGCAGCAACAGCGTTTTATTCAACAACAGCAACAGCAGAACCATCAACACCAATCATTGGCCTCACACTTCCATATCTTACATGTGACCAACTCAACCCCCTCCCCTTTCATCTAAACATACACGTATTGTACTGTAAAATTTAGTGTTTTGTTTTAATTATTTGTTTGCAGTTGGTGGAGAATTTAGCTGATGCTATTGAGAATGGAAATCGGGATCAGCATTCTGATTCTTTGGTTTGTTTCTTTCTTTTTTCTTTTTACGAATTACTAATATGGGAATTGCTTGTTTCTTTTCAGAATTGAGAAAATAGGAGTTTAATAGGTTCGATCTGAAATGGGTTCTTTTTGTTTCATTGTAAAGGTTAATGAATTGAACACTCACTTTGACAAGTGTCAGCAGCTTTTGAATTCAATTTCAAGCTCAATTAACGCTAAAGCTATGGTAATTATCTTTTCTAAACCATTTATCTTTTTTAACCTTTTTTTTTTTTTTTTTGCCTACTTGTTTATGTTGCATTTGATCGTCTTCAGAATGTAGAATAAATGTAATGTTTTAGTGTTGTGATTGAGATGATAAAACATTTTGAATAACCACGTAGAAGAAATATAGAAACGGTAGTGTGTCAGCTTGCAGAATCATTGACCTGATTTATGATGTATATTTAGCAAATTCCCATGAAATTGCAATGCAAAACGATAGTCTTTTTAGGATGTTTATATCAAAGCCTAATGGTTCGTCAAGGTTCCCTGCTCTGATTTTGTACTCTATTATGTAGACAGTTGAGGGGCAAAAGCGAAAGCTGGAGGAAAGTGACCAATTGCTAAACCAAAGGAGGTAAACTTCTCAAAGAATTTTTCTTTGCTTTTGTGCTTGACTTGCTTGATACATGAAATTAATTTATATCTCAATATCAGGGAGCTAATTGGCAAGTATAGAAATTCTGTTGAAGAGCTTCTCAAGTCTGAGCCATAACTGCTTTTCCCTCTTGGGCACAGAGTAAGAAAATTACATTAGAACCTGAACCTTGGGTTTGGTAACAACTGAGCGAAAGCAAATTATTAAAAGAAAATAGGAAGCCACCTGTTCTTTAGGGTGGAAGTGGAACTCTTAATTGTTTTTGGATTATGCCTGAGCTGTGTGATTGACATTGGTAACAATTTTGCTGTTGACGTATTTGGAAACTTATGAGTTTTTTTTTATCAACTATCTGTTTTCCTTGCTTTGTTTTCTCAATATTTGTTAGTTGAAATACATAAATGGTATTGACTTGACTTTGCCTTTGGTTTTTCTTTCATATATACAGGTGAGTAAATACAAATCGACTAGTTTGATATGATTTGTCACGCTTAAAGCACAGAGAATGATGCAAAGATTTATCTAAGTTTGGAGCTCTCTCGTAGTGCGAATTTGCACGCCACCTGAAATTCGCACACTAATGTACAGCAGCAATGTTTTTGATGATTCCTTGTTGCAAAGGCAAAGTTGTTGATGGTTCATCCTTTCGGGTATTCTTAATTAATTTTCATGTCATTTGCGGTTTTGAACTGCAGAAAACTCAGTAACACTTGCTATAGGATTTTGTCGGTGTTCCATCACTAGGTTCCACCATGTTTGAACCGTTCATTCATTTTGTAGATCCATAAAAAAATGATCATAACTTGAATAGTTTCGTGTTGTGAAATTCAAATCATCCACAAACTTTTGCTATTGAATGATACCAGGCAGGGTTTTTTTGGACATAGCTGCTGGTATCCGCACTAACAACTATGCATTCCTACTTTTGTATCCTGTATAATATGTATGTCTCATTTAATGCTCGGTTTATACATGAAAAACGAGCAGGAACAAGAATGGAAGAGTACAAAATCAAACAGACGTATTAAAATGATAACAAAAAGATGAAATACCTTAGTGCTTGACGTTTCCTAGCCCAAATGGCATTTGCATGTCAAGATTAGTTTAATTGCTCTCAGATTGCAAACTGTCAGATACGATGACTGCCAAATTAAGGAGTATAATCATTCAGTTTTTCGATTCGATTTTAGTTTTTTATTTTTGTTTTTAATTAATCAAATTGATTAAAACAAAAATTAAAATCTAACCGAATTGAAATTTGGTTTTTCGGTTAAAAAACTGAATTTTTCGGTTTGATTTTTTGATTTTTGGTTAAAAATTGGTTTTTTTTTTTTTTTTTTTTTGCATCTTTTTCTTTTGAATTTTGAATTTTCTCTTTAATCAAGTTGAAAGGTCACATTTTTGTAATTTTTTTTACAATTTTTAAGAAATGCTAAGAGCTTGAATTGAAGTTTTAATAAGAAAATTATAGAAAAATGCTACGATCGGAGTTTGAATGGTCTTCTGTTTGTCAAAAGTTGAGATATAACAGTTTGGATAGTGCTCATCTCTAACTAATTTGATATCAAAGAGTTTGGAACCTAGTGGTAGTAGTATTTTATAAAAGGTAATAGGTTCAAATATTAAGAGATTAATTTTGCTAAGAGTCTTGAGTGTGTGTTAAAAAAAAAACTAATTCAGTTTTCAGTGGAAATTGAATTTAAAAAAAAAAAAAAAAAAACTGAACCGAATCGAAATAATTTCGGTTTTTTTAAAAAAAATTTTTATACAAAATCAAATCGAAATTATTAATTCACTTTGGTTTGATTTTTCAGTTTTAACTGAATCATACTCACCCCTAGGTGAATGTAGTGTAAGTACTTAATTTTAAAGAAGTAATTAGGTGCTCCTAAATTTGATTAATTCTTTGGAAAATATAACTAAAACTGTATTTAAAAAATCATTGGATTGTTTTGATCTTGTAAGGATTCTAAATACAGATAATTTGATGGAAATTCTATTTTTGGTTTCTAATTTAAACACCACACATTAAGTTTGAACATCTAATTGACTAAATTTAACTGTCTCTAGTATCTTATTATTCAATATTGGAATCCTTTTACCATATATTTGCCTAAAAATATCTATCATACATAATTAACTGAATCTGTCAAAGCCAAACTCTCTCTCTCTCTCTCTCTCTCTCTCGGGGTGCCATATCATATATGTTTGTTTCTCCTCTTATTTCTCTCCATCCTCCAACAATTGATCCTTGGTTTTGTTGGCAAAGAGAAAAGAAAGGATTTGCAACAACCAGCAGCAGAGAGAGAAAAAGAAGAGAGACCCCATTTCTAAATAAGAAAACAGCACCAGTCCCGCCGGCAACGCATCCGAATTCTCTTAGCATTTCTAAATCATCAAAAGCAAACAGTAATTACAGCAAAAATATGAGCAATATTTCAAGGACTGGTAACGGCACCACCCAAGCTTGTGCAGCTTGCAAATACCAACGCAGGAAGTGCGCTCCTGACTGCATTCTCGCCCCTTACTTTCCTCACAATCGCCAAAGACAATTCCTCAATGCCCATAAATTGTTTGGCGTCAGCAACATTAGCAAGATCATCAAGAACCTTAACCTTCCTGAGAAAGACGAAGCTATGCGTACCATCATTTTCCAATCAGATGTACGTGCGAATGATCCTGTCGGAGGCTGTTATCGAATGATAAGAGAGCTTCAACGTCAAATCGAATTTACCAGGGCTGAACTTGATTTTGTTCTTCATCAGCTAGCTATATGTCGTGCTCAGGCAGCAGCTCAACAACAAAGTCAATTGATGGCAGCAGCGGCACCGCCTGATCATCAGACCGATCATGATGATTCAACAAGGCTTGATTACGAGAATATCATTATTACAGATACTTTCGACATGTATGATCCAACTGTCATACAATATCATGATGAGTACCCGCAATCACATCAAGATCAACAAGAATTTTCTGTCCTTAATCAAGCAGTACATTTACAAGAAGATCATGCAAATGAAAATGCGTGGGCGGCGCTGTCCGTGCAGGATATTAACCCTAGCTTGTCAATATCATCGTCGCCTTACTTTGACGATCAAGTTAAGCAAGCTTATAATGGTAATGATCAATGTAGTACGCATGATGATCTGAAGCCGCTTCTTGATGTAAACGACGTCAACTTTGAGCCTGATCAAGATCAGTTAGTTGATAAGAGGTTTGTACCATCAACGGAGTTACTTATGTCATCATAGATTAATTGTAACCATTATGAATAATTAACTCGAATATTCTTGTTAATTAAGCTTAGCTAGAGAGACGACGCATGTAGCAGCTGAGTGCTCTCATTTCAGATTTTTTACGTACGTTGCATTAATGGTTAATCTTGTTCTGTCAAGGATGGTCTACTATTGTTGTCCTTTCTGAGAAACAACATATTGTTTTCTTGAGATTGCAGTAGCGATCGATGCCATTTTTAATTACGTAAACACAAGAGATCAGCTTGTGCTTTGCAAATGCTATGAATTTGTTCCTTACAGGAGTTATTGACTAGAAGGAATCAATAGAATATAAGGGACCCGATTACATTATTCATTGTTAACGTTAGGATGATGTTCGTCCCTGACTCCCTGTTGGCTTTGCTGCTTTGTCTGCATCAGAACATGTGGTGGAAATTGATCAGTACTATTGCTTTTCTCCTTGTTGTATATACAAATTATAGCTTCATTATTACATTCGAAATTCATGAAACGAACAACAAGCTCTCTGTGATAACCTATACCAGAAGCAGTGAACAGAAGAAGATATATCATTAGGCAATAACATGCGATTCTGAAGGCACCTCATCATCTACTTGAACCTGTATGTACAAGACCTTCAAAAGCTGTACATGCTGAGATATATGTAGCAACTTTACGAAACTGAGTACTTCATCTTGATCATTATGCATCTAATTACATAGATCATCCATTTGTCAAACACAAGTTTTTTAGATATAGATCATCTCTGTGACAATATTTAAGCACCTTGTCATTCTTTAATTCTCCAACGCAATCAATTCATGAGAGCCACTACCTGCTGTGGTCTTTAATTAGTTTCTCTTATTTAGCCTGCACTATGATTCAGTTGTCTGAATAAAAAATTAAAAAAATCAGAGAGGATAGCAAGAACAGCTTCTAAGGCTACATCAGCTTCTATTTCATCATCACTAGCTATTTAATAAGTTCTAGAACTGATTTTAATTACCAAGCCAAAGTCATGTGCACAAACAACTACAAAGTTTCTTACCCTCTTCCCCACAACTTCATTTTAAATTAGTAGTTTAAGATCTTGTTGTTCTTCACTTATAAAACCTTTTCTGAACAAGGGGAATAACAACTCTTTTAGGAAACAAAAATGGGTAAAAAAACAGAACATAAACAGAAGAGAAGAAAACATTACTCAATAGGTTAGAATGTCAGATAGACAAAAAAGGCACAAGAGATGGCCGAAGTAGCAACACAAGTGGAATAAAGTATACATTGATCGAGGGCAACCATCTAGGCTAAAAATCAAATGACAAAACAGCTCCGGATCCAAATTAGAAAGAAAAAGAAAACTTTTTATCTTCCTAACACCGAAATCGAAATCCTTTGTTCTTCATATTCATATTGATTTTGATGTTAGGACTGCTTTCGATGGAGGAGTAAGTCTAGGAAGTGGGGGCGCATTACTGAGACAAGGGGCTATTGACACTAAAAGAGGTGCATGGTGAATTCTTAAGTGGAGTTGATGCTGGCAATGGAGGTGATCTTCGAGGAGATGGGACGAATGGTGGTGGTGGTGGTGGAGGATTGGAAGGTGGTTGTGATGGGTTTGGAGGAGGTAATGGTGGTGAATTTTGAGGTGGCCTTGACGAAGGTGGTGGTCGAGGTCAACTCTGAGGTGGCAATGTTGATGATGCCGGTGGAGAAGAATCCTGAGGTGGTGGTGTTGATGAGGGGGTGGAGGAGAACTTGTAGGTGGATTAAACAGTGGTGGTGGAGGTGAAGTTGATGGTGGATTAGATGGTGGTGGTGGTGGTGGAGGGGAGCTCACGAATTTCCTGATATTATTATGTTTAGGGATAACAAATTTCCCGTTATTTGGATAACTGGAGATTCTTTTTCTTTTTCCATATTTGTGGCTACCAAATTAACATAAAACCATAACTAACCAATTAGTTGCAGTCAAAGAGAGCCATCAAGACCATTCATATTCCATCAATGGTTGTCCAAATACACCCAAAAAGTCCAATCTCATCGATCGTGCTAAAACTAGAAAATAAAAACAACTATCTCAAAATGAAAATAACTACTAGATTTAAGAATATTTGAAATTCACCAATGGATCGAGTTTCTCATGTAAGAGAGGGGATCAGATGTTCAAAGGGAAAAAAACAACTAATGGTTTTGATTGTTGCCATAATCCTATCAAACATTTTAAAACAAAAATTAGAAGAAGAGGGATCGAAGAATTTGAATATGAGATAGAGTGCCTTTCATGAACGGTTTTGAGAGAAGAATTACGGGGGTTTGGGTAAGAAGAAAAGGGACAAATGCATGGCTTATAGTATAATTAATACATCATTTATTTTTTATTTAAAACAAGTGTTGGGTATTAATTGGGTTCAGCCTATGATAACCCATGTGATTAATGATTGAGTGCATATAAAAATGAAAATGAAGTACTGTATGCTAATGTATGTGTGGCGCGGAGAATATTAAATCAAACAGAGAAAGAGTTTCCTCTCTTTTTTATTATTTTGTATTGGCCGATATATATATATATAAGAACTATTGTTCTTTCGCCGTGAAGGTTGCCACTGAGATTTTTTTTTTTTTTTTTCATCTTGACTGAGAGTTTTTTTTTTTTTCAATGATCGACATGTGATAAAATAAAAAATTTAAAGAGTAGATAAGGCATGTTGATCACCGATTGGTGACGTTATAACGAAAAATTTGAAACGAGAAATCTCAATAGTAAAAGATCTCAATAAAAAAAAAACAGTAAAATGTTTCAATAAAAAAATAAAAGGCTACAGGATCCAAATGTGAGGAAATTAAATTCATTAAAAAAAATCATATTTTTTAAGGTGAAAAATCAATGATTTTTTTTTTTTATTTAGAAGAGTATTCGTTTGTTCACTTAAGTTTGTAGGTATATTTTACAATCTAACCTCAACATATTTACACATCCTTTGACAACATAAGAATAACTTTAAACTAAAAGCAAATATAATGATAATAATTAACAACAAAATCAATTATCATTATTCTTGCCTCTCCTACACTTTCTGGGTAGCATATCATATTTATATGTTTTATTCAATTCTACATCAAAATCTTAATAAAATCTTGAATAAAAATTCTGGAAAAAAAAATGAATCCTCATATGTTTGGAAGGGCAGAATGAAGATAAGCATCACCTAGAGTTAAATTCATTTGAATATTAATTTTTATCAAACCGTAAAATTGACAAAGGAAAAGACATTGTTAAGTAAGAATTGAAGTTGCTGGGATTAGATATTTCTTGAGAAACTAACCCTCTTAAGTTTTGTCATATTTATTTTACTAAAAAAATATATTTTTCAATTGATTTTATGTTTTAGCGTTTGTTAGTTTCAATTTATTTATATATCTTCTTTACTTTTTTTTTGAGTGATTTGAGATATTTTATAAAATTCATGACATTTTAATAATTTATACATATTTAGTTTTCATGATTATTTCTTACAGAAGTGAAAGGAGGGAAGAAATTGGAGCAAAAATGAAAGATGTCGAGACTGATCAGAATAATAATGAAAAATATAAGAGTTAATTGAAACAAACTAATTAGTGAAATTGAAACATCATATAAATCTAAGGGGACAAATTGAAATTTGCTCTAAAATTTTATTTCGAAAGTAACAAGTCATGACATTTTTTTACAATTTACCTATTAAAGGATCTATTTAGCAAATTTGAAGTTTTAATGATTATGGTATTCTTGTATTTGGTAAACGTGAATTTTAATATCTTTTAAGTACATGCAAGCACACGCAAAAATTAATAAAAAGATGCATGTATACAAGGTGATCCAATTAGGAAGGATGGTTATAAAAAAACTAAACCATAAAAAATAAGTTTATTATTCATTACACCGTTCTTTACACTATTTATTCAGATTCATATATACTATTATTTTCGTTATGTAGTGGTTTTTTTTTAGTTTTTAAATATTTTTAAAACCTTTATTATGAAATTTTTTGTGACATTACACTTTAGTCTTTATTTTTTAAATATTTTTTTTAGTTCGCGAATATTTTTTATTTGATTTTGATCCTACTTTTTTATTTCATTTTGGTCACTTTGGTCTTTACTTTTTTTTTCTCTGTTTTTTTAATTAAAAAATTAAGGCAAAAGGATGTTTAGAAAAAATAATTTACAAAATAAGTTTTTAGCTAAAAATGTGAATAGATGTAAACAAATAATGTTTTTAATAAAAAATTTATGAAAATATAAAAAATAATTAGTCAAATACAAAATTTTGATTAAAAATGATAAAATTGAATGAATTTTTATTTAGTTTTGATTTGATTGATATATTTTGATAGATGCACAATATAATACAAACATCAAAATAAAATTATTTTTTAAAAATAATTTTATGTATTTTGCCCGACCCGCAACGTAACGCGAGTAAAAAAGCTAGTAGAACCTAGAAAAGATCTAAGATTCCTACATGCATGAGTTCAAGGTGATTTGACATGGGAATACAATTAGAGACTTCATTTGTTTTGTAGAAAATATGTTCCTAATGTGAAAAATATTTTTTTGAAAAGTGAGTTATTTTTTGTTGTTAGAGTGTATAAGGGAAAAAAATTATAAAAAAATATTTTTTCATCAATGGCTTTTTAAATAATAATAATAATGATAGAAGTTATGATGTTGGTAATAAAAGTGATAGTGATAGTAGTTATGATGATAGTATTTATGATAGTGATTTTGGTTATAAGATGATGGTTGTTGTGGTAGTAGTAAATGTCGTATCAATGATGAAACGATAATTATAATGGTGATTTTTTTAATAATAAGATGGTGGTGATGTGGAGATGAAGTTGGCAACAATGTTGGTGGTAATTGTTGTTGTGATAGTAATGACGTTGGAATGACGCTAGTGAAGACATATATATATATAAGTGGTAGTAATGAGTAGTGATATTGGAAGTGATTATTGTTATGGTGATGGTGATATTAAAAGATTATGGTGAGTCGATGATAAAATGATTGTTTCGTTGTTGGTTGTAATAGTATTGGTGGACTAGTGATGATGGGGTGGTGGTGGAATTTGTTATTTTAATAGCAGCGGTGATGTTACTAGTTGTATGGTATTGAAGTAATTAAATTATGATATTGTTGGTGAATATTATGAATTAGTACTACGAAGGAAAATATTTTCTGAAAGTATAGCTTTCAAACAAAACAAAGTGGGGTTGAGGTCTTCACCCCTTAAAGATTGGTTTTATGATCAATAAATTTTGTAAGGCTTTTCAAGATCCATTAATTAGATTTTGTAAAAAACTTTTGGTTCGAAATTCAATTCAATTCTGAAACCAAAACAATAAGAATTGGAAACTCTTAATAGAAAAGGTAGATCATTCAACTTAAAAAAAAAAAAAAAAAAAAAATCATCTTACTTATAACATTATTATTATTCAGAATTTGAAATTTTAGAAGAAATTGTAGAAATAATTTTTTGTATTCCTAAACTCGATGAGTAATACGATGATGCCCTTATTATTAAAAGCAAAAAAATAAAAAATAAAAGTTGCAACTCAATGGTAAAGATATAATGTAAAAGTTAGTATGGTTCCTTAAATGTCATTGAGGTACAAATATCAGCAACTGATCAAACAAACATGGCATTAAATTGTCCAATTAAGTTTATTTAATTAAGCGGATGGTCATCATTTGATCAGACAGCTGGAAGGAAGCCCATGGATCGGAGAATTTTTCCGCAATTAGGATTAACTTCCTTCTGCATGAACCCAAGAGCATTGGCAAAGCGAACTGGCTCGACCGCCCCCATATTCTTGGAGACGACGACCTTAGCAGAATGGGCAGACTTGAACACCTCGTTGCAGTCCTCTCTGGGGCTCTTGACCAACTTAACCTCACAAATGTCTTCCTCGTGATCACCTTTCACAGGGAGGCTGTAAATTCCATTGCTGTCAGTTTTGCCCTTCAATGAGTACGTCAAAGTGTCATTCTCTTGGTTTCTGCATTCCAAATTCACCGTGGCACCTACATCATATTCATATTCGTTCATATATACGATGATCATGACTTCATCTGCAATATTTCTGATTCTACCACAATTTTTGTAAATAAATAAATAAGTTTGGGTATATACGTACCGGACAGGCCAACGGAGATTGGGGTCTCAAACTCAACACGGCAAACGTCACAGTAGACCTTGCCTTCAACATATATGTAATCATCATGGGCGGAGGCAGAGCTGAGGAAGGAGGAGAAGCACAGAGCCGCAGCAAAGACAGCAACAGCTCTGAAAAGCTTTGCCATTTTATAATATTCGTGTTGTTATGGTTACTCTTGGTGTTCAAGAAATGAAGGAAGCACGGGTTTATTTTATAGCAGGAGAAAGAGAGGGAAAAGGTTATTATTGGATGGTAGACAGGTAAGGTTTTCTATTTTGAGGTTGTAAAAATAATCGTAAGGTTTATATTGAGTTCCATCCTACTCCATCTAAAATTGTCCAACCAAGAAATGGTCAACGTATTATTATTATTATTATTATTATTATTGAGAATTTTATAGCCAGCTTAGATTTTTTTAATACCTAGTGATTCTAAAAAATCGTTTATTTTTTTCCAAAATTTTTGAAAACAAGTTTGAAGATAAGATATGAAAATTGGTTTGTTTTAAAAAAAAAAAAAAAAATTTGAAAACGAAAAAAATAATTTTCAAAACTAGTTTTTTACGTTATGACTCAATGTTTTGAGAGTCAGGTGAAGTTCAAGAGTCAATAAGCAAATGTGGGATTATGCCAAGGGTTCAAACTAAAACTAGATTCAAGATGTTTGGATTCGAATCGAAACCTGATCGGAAGTGCATGAACTGGGACCTAGTCCGAAACGCTTGGGGTTCAAGCCAGAGTCTTGATCCTTGATGCCTAGAATTTCATCTTGGACCAGGTCTGGAGCGACCAAGAGTCAATTCGAGAGAGGGATATGGGTCAAGATCGGATTTAGAGTGGCCGAAGGTTGGCGCAAGACCCGATCCTGAGCGATCAAGAGTCAGCTCGGGATCATATTTGGGACGATCGAGAGTTGATCCAAAACTAGTTATGAGGTTTCCATGGTTCAAGTCTAAAGCGCCAGAGTACAGATAAGGATCAGGTCTAGCACGCTTGGGTCATGATCGGGATGCTTAGAAGTTTGAGATCCAATTGAAAGAGATTGCGGTTCAATTCGGGATTACATCTGGGGAGCCAGTGTGCCTGGTGTTTAGGTTGGAGGACCGCATCCAAAGTTCAGGTTGGGACTACGTCTGAGGCTCCAAGAGTTGGTCGGGATTGCACTATGGGATCTACCAAGATTGCTCTTGAGGTCCAGGTCAGGATCGTATCTGTGGTGCTCGAGGTTCAAATCTTAACTAGATCTAAAGTGTCCATGGTGCGGATTGGGATCGAATTTAAAAATTGAGTTCATATCACTAACGATTGAGTCGAGACTGAGTAAGGAGTCATAAGATATAAGTTGAGATTAATTAAATTCATAACGTCACGATTATTACGTCAGCAGTACTCAAAGTTTCGAGTTAAGGATCCTAATAACTTGAGTATATTGAAACTAAGTGCCTTTTTTTAAAAGAAAAGGCTAAAATAAAAAAATAGTACACCAAATAAGTTTTCAATTTTTTAAAAACAAATTAAAAAAAATAATGAAAACTGAAACTGAAAGCGAAAATAATACCAAACAGATCTTAACAAGTGGAAAAAGTTAACAAATTAAAGGCGAAAATAAAGGTTCTCTCTACCTTATGAGCAAACATGCAATTAGGATAGATCGATGAGATTGATAAATATTTGACAAAGAACCAGCTGTGTGAGGAAAGTTGTAAGCCTTCCAGTCTCCCACCATGGTTGGGTAATGATTAGTTTACCACTACTTGCGCAGTAATTCGGGATTGTAAAACCTTTTTTTTCCCCATCGAATTTACAATTATTTATAATAATTATTATAAATTTAAAGTACTTTTAACATTTTTTTATTTTTTGATAAAGCAGTGGAATTTGAAAATTACCTTTAAAGAAAAGGTAGAGTAGAGTAGAGCAGAGTCGAGCGTAGAGGGACGAAATCGTAAATAAGAAGTTTTGGTGGGGGCGTCGTCTCGGAAATCAAAAGGCACAGACCGAAGTTGGCAAACAGAAAAAGAGGAGTTCAAAATCAGCAGCACACACAACGGGCAGGATTCATGTCGTTTCTTGTTTGAAAAAAAAAAGGGGAAGAAGATACTAGTCCAGTATTTTTTATAAATTTAGCATCAAAAGAAAAGAAAAAAGGTCTGTTTACTGCAAACTTTTACTTCAAATTTCTTTCGATTTTTCTTTCTGTGAAGAATTTGCTGTTACAGATTTATCTCCGCCTTTTAAATTAGTTAAAATTTTATGTTTCTAATTAATCGAACGAACGGCGTGTCTCCTTTTTCCGACCGACATGTCTTTCGTTTGGGCTTACCGGCGAGTTGTCGTTCATTCGACCGGAATGACAACCGTTGGTCCGTCAGTCAGTAATGGTTATGCTTATGCATGCGCCAGTTGGATATGACGTGTCGTTCTCATAAGAGAGTCTCTCAATTTGGAGGGATTGAACTGGAATTTGTTAGCTAGGGTTTTGGATTTTGAAGTGTAAATCAAAATTTATGATCCTAGTTTAATTGTAATGTGTTGGCTGAATTGAGTTTGAATCAATTGTATAGGCAGCGAGTGATGGATGTAGCAACTCCAAATATTACTTTCGATGAAGAAGATTCGCAAATTGAAATTTCTGGTCATTCACTCCAGAATGACCCCGGTCCTGTTGATCCGTCTGTGCTCTATGATCAGGATGAGCACATATCGTCGGCCGTTTGGGAAGGACTGGTATAGCTCACTGTTTTTTTTTTTTTCATGGTTATGATTATGATTATGATTATGATTATGATTATGGTTGTGCAAATGTTGAACTGCTGTAAATATAGTTGTGATAATTTGTTCGATTTAATTTATAGGAGCGTGGCGCGCTTAGATGCCACGAGCATACCTCGAAGCTTGAAGAGTGGAAGTTAACATCAAAGCAAATAGAGTTGGTTGAGAAAGCTGGGTTTAAGTATTTTAGAAAGATTGAAGCATTTAGTTTAGATAATCAGCTGATTTCTGCATTGGTTGAAAGATGGAGGAAGGAAACTAATACATTCCATCTACCTGGTGGGGAAATGACCATAAGTTTGGATGAGGTTGCACTCAATCTTGGACTAGCAATTGATGGGGAGCCCGTCATAGCGGTAGAATTAGAAGATTCTTCTGCCATACCCATTTGTGAGAAACTTTTGGGAAAGAAACCAACTTCGAATGATCGAAGGGGTGGATTCTTGAAGCTATCTTGGTTGAAGGATTCCTTTTCGCACTGTCCAGATAGTGCTCCACTTGAACAGGTTGAGCAGTGTACTCGAGCTTATCTTCTATATCTTGTAGGGAGTACCATTTTTTCTACAACTAGTGGAAACACAGTTCCTGTCATCTTCCTGCCTCTGTTCGAGGATTTTAACAAAGCAGGGAAGTATGCCTGGGGTGCGGCAGCATTGGCCTTTTTGTATAGAGCACTTGGCAATGCCACTAGTAAATCTCAAAGCACAATCAGTGGTTGTTTGACACTGCTACAGGTTGCTTATATTTTTTATTTTTGTCTTTTCTTCTTCTAATATCTTTTTCCAGCAGTGGGCAAAATAGCCAATCTCTTGCTACATTACATTATAATGGCTTCTAGTTGGAATGTTGACTTTCATTTTTACCATTCTATCTAGTGTTGGAGTTACTGGCATCTAAATATTGGTCGCCCAAAACTCAATCAAGGACAAACCCATGATGCCTTTCCACTTGCCCTTCGTTGGAAGCAAAAACTAAGTGGTCTGCGATCAAAATGTGATGTGGTTCAGTACCGCAAGGTACTGGACTCTCTCCAACCATGTGATGTAAGTTTCTAAATTGTTGTTCTAGTTATACTTGCCATTCTTCAAATTGATGGTTTCATGGTCTCATACTTGCAGGTTGAGTGGCTACCTTACCACGATATGGATGAGATTGTGCCAGAAGATATCAAGGACACTTTGAATCTGGGCAGATCAAGGACAACTTTGATTTGCTTGGACAAGGCAGAAAAGCACCTTCCAGATCGTTGCTTGAGGCAATTTGGTATCAATCAACCAATTCCACAAGATGTCCCACAAAGGAAGGGACTTGATGGTGAGGGAGACCAGTCAAAAAGCATGGCTTCAAGTTGTGAGGAATGGTTGAAGCGTCGAGACCAAATTGTAGAAGGTGATGCTAGTGTTGATGACAGCGAATACTTACTGTGGTACTCCAACATTACCAGAAAATTTGTGGGAAGGCATACATCTTTGGAGTCTATGTTTCGTCAAACGGTAACACTCTTGGTGCCTCTCCTGTTGACTTATTTTGTTTGGATCCGTGTTACTCCAACCTTTTTTTTTCCTTCTTTTTTACAGGTTGCTGGCATGACAAAAATGTTGGAGCTAGCTAAGACACTATCGAGAGATGATATGTTTCTCATAAACCAGAAGGCTGTCGAGAATATTAAGAATATTTTGAGTGAGAGTTTGAAGAACCCGTTTTCTAACTCCAAGGGTAAGTTACCAACAAAAAGTAGCAAGAAACGAAAGCTAATGGATATCTAGTTGGTGTAGAAATTTCAGAGTAGAAAAATGTTTAGTAGGTCTAGAAAATTCAAGGAATCATGACATTTTGTTTGACAGGCTTCTTGTTACCATATTGAAGATTGTCGAGATTATCCTTGCATTTCATATCGTATCTTTGCTTGTAACTATTTGGAAACATGTTTCCAATTAATCAGTCCTAACATCAATAGTTTCACATGGCGACTTCCAACATTATATAGTAGGTGTTTTTAGCAATGGGAATCGGCAAATTAGTAGTACACCCTGCATATTTGTGGGACACTTCCCACGTAATAACAAGGACCAAGCTAAACTGCATGTCTAGTTTCTTCTATATTTTTTCCTCCTGTTTCATTATTGATTCGTTCAAATCTATAATTTCAAATCATACCTCTCTTTTGATTCACATTCACTTGCAATGGCCAATAAATGTCTTGCCAATGGACCTGCTCTCCATTATCTTCGCATCGATTAAAAGGTGATTATGAGATTCACAGGGCATGCCATTGATTTTAGGAATTGCCAATGGATCTGCTAAACGTCTTCGGCCCCAAAGCATTCGCAGTATGTAATATGTACTCTAAATTGTAGCCCAGCCAAACATGTTACAGTGTTCTGTTACCTATTATTCTGTGAGGTAAGAACCGATCGCTTGCCTAATCTTATCATTGCTCAATAAAGTTCACATTTTCAAACTCAAATTATTATTATTTGCAGCCATGTATAGTCAAACTCTTGTTCTTCGCTCCTTGCTTGAGGCCACATTTTCATTTTCTTTACAAGGATTTTCGTTTACTGTACTTACATGTGGATAGAGCGTTAATCTCTATCATAACCTATTCATAATTTTTGTTTCTGATTGCCACTCTTCGTGTCGTCAAAAAATGATCAGTCCTCAAAACTTTGGTACACAATAAATAAGCTATATTAGCACCTGCTCAGTGCTCAATCTAAAACCCCATATCACCCATATTTGGCATTCGACTAGATGGTTTTTTCTCGCGTGGATTCTCCAATACAGTAGCTTCGGTTGTTGTCAATAGCAAAGAAACACTGAAATTCAAAAGTTAAAAGTAGTTTAGTTCTGGAACTGGAATACAGATATTGGAACACCCAAACAACTTTTGCCAAATGGCAGTGAACTTCACCTGGCAGCATCTACTAAGGCTGTCCTGATGACTTTGACGGGATCTATGATTCCAGCTTTCACCATGTCAACGTATTCACCTGTAATGGCACAAGCAACTTTGTCATTATAATAGGTTAGGCAATGAAAAATGGAAATTGTAGCTGGAATCCTGAGGACCATGGGAATCCACATTTTTCAAATTTTCTCATTCTCACTCGAATGGAAGAGAAAGAAGACAAAAGAATCTCTTTAACTAAGCTAAAAAGAAACTGATTTATGGCCATTAAGCTCCACTGAAAACCAAAATAAAAAATATATATATATCAAGAGAGATAAGTATCTTGAATCTTCAAATCAATATCCTTAGCATCAACTGAGAAGAAACCCTGGTATAGCTAACAACCAAGATTGTAACATAAAAGAACAGACCTTTAGCAGCATCATAACCCAAATTTTGATCCTCTTGCTCTAACAATTTGCCAAGAACCGTAGCAGAATCAAATCCAGCATTTGAAACTATTGTATGTGCCGGAGCCTGCAGCAATGCATTATCAGTTATCAGGCATTACTTGATTGTAAGTAAACTTAAAGAATTGCAGGCTGACATATCCCAAACCTTGAGAGCATTCTGGATTATTTGAATGCCTCTTTTTTCATCTTCATTTTGAGCTTGTAGGTTTTCCAGAGCTCTTGTGGAATACAAAAGAGCAACACCACCACCTAATGCAACAAATCATGTTCAGATTTTGAAGAGTTATTAACCTTTAACAGATGAAATTCCACTTACCTGGCACAATACCCTCTTCCACTGCTGCTCTAGTAGCATTCAATGCATCCGTTACCCTATCTTTCCTTTCTCCAACTTCTGCCTCACTGGCACCCCCAACCTGCAAGAAGACAATTCCATCTTAAGATGAACATACCAATCCAGGAACTTATAATGATGAATAACAGACCTTGAAAACAGCAACACCACCAGACAGCTTTGACAGTCGTTCCTGTGCTTTCTCCCTGTCAAACACAGCAGTACTCTTCTCCATGGCTGTCCTTAACTAAGGAAAATTACGAAGATAAGTAGATTTAGAAAGATTGTTCAAAAAAAAAAAAGGGAAAAAAATGTGGAGAAAGGCCTTATCTTGATTACCCTTTTAAAGTCTTGATAAGGGTGTCTCTTTTAAACATAAAACTCCTTTTCAATCACAAACAGGTAAAAACAACTTTCTGCACTACCAATTATTCTACTTTACAGATGTTAGGATCATTTGGTGAATGCTTAACAAGGATGTGTACATTCTACAAAGAGCTATTATGGAAACAATTTTCAAGTAATTCTCAAATTTTGGATGCAGGAAGCATGGTCTAATACCATCCTTAGTTCCCAATTGCAAAGTTAAACAAACAGATATGTCATGGCAACCAACTCCAATTTCTTGCAAATGTAACGTGGATTTTGGAATTTTGGGATCACTTCATATAAAAATCTGCCAGTGCACATCTGACTCATTCTAATTCCAAGAGAAATTCTCTCTGAATAAAAATAGGATACGGATTATTTTAGTAGTAGACTTAACCATAAAGAAATCTCAGAAAGAGATGAAACAGAGACATTAAATCACTAGCATACCTGCTCACATCTTTCTTCAATCAATTTCTTATCTCCACCACCACGAAGAACTATTGTGTCATCAAGAGACACCGTGACCTGCAACAAATGCTGTCAGCTTAGGTTCAAAGAATCTCATAAGGTCGCAACATGCAGTTTCGTCCAAACCTTCTTAGCAGTACCAAGCATTTCCATTGGGACTTCATCAAGAGTTAAACCACGATCTTGACTGATAACCTGTACAGCAAGAAGTTATTCATGCCACAATAATCATATACGAACAGAGTACGAGATGGAGGAAAATCATATTACCTCTCCACCAGTCAAAACAGCGAGATCATCCAAATTTGCTTGTCTGTTTTCCCCAAAACCAGGAGCTTTAATCGCACAGACCTACAAATAATAGTTTCAATTAAGGAGATGGTCTATGTCAATTCCAGAAGAACAATCAATAATTCAGTATATCTTATTAAGCAAAAGCACCAGAGAATTATGAGTACAAGATCAGAATATACATACCTTATGCCGAGAATGTTCTATGTACATATCAAATATAGGGCAGTTGCTCTTTAAAAGCCCAAAATTCCCATTTGAAAATCAGACCATGTATTTTAGAATCAAAATAAAGCTAGAATAAAGCCTGAAACTCCTTTTTATTTATGTCTGTCTGCATGCTAAGAAACATATGACTATTTAACTGCTTACTTTAATTGAAGCGCATCCTATTGTTTTTTATTTGGCAAGATTCAACAGCCTTAATTGTCCCTTTTCATTTTAACAAACAACAGGAAAAGTTATGTCTCTCAGTAATTCCGAAAAACTAATCCATGCATCTTAACTCTCTTTCCACATAGATCTATTTTTAAAGACGAGTCAAATACATGATTTAGCTTTCTATTTATGCATACAAGCAACAGACAGTTGCACAAATCAATCAGCAAAATTACCCATACAAAAGACATGCATGGGTATGATAAATCTGTACCACATGTAACATAAGCATGTTCTTACATATTGCCCTGTATCAGGATTGTAATTTTGTAAAATGGAGCCTTGTGAAATTCCTTCCATCCAATACAATAACCTAATAAGAAACTTCAAAACAAAGCTAATTGATTACCTTAAGTCCAGCTTGATGCTTGTTGAGAATAAGCATAGCTAAGGAATTACTCTCAACATCCTCAGCCACAATAAGAAGTGGTCTACTTTTCTGTTCAGAGGACATTTAGAAAACAAGAGATCAGAAAATCCTCAACAAGCTGAAAGAAACATTCACTTACTGCAGCTAATAAAAATTTAGAGAAATCAAAGAAAAGATAAATTACTTTGACCGCCAGCTCTAATATTCTCACGAGTGAGTTCAAGTCTGAAATCTTTTTGTCATGAATGAGGATTAATGGATTTTCCAGTTCCTGCAAAAATGCAAAGCATGATTAATCACGACAAGGCCTCCTGAATACAAAAGAGCACTGGTGAACCCAAAACAATGGTGAGAGAGAGATAGAAAACAAAACGAGGCCATTCTTCACTTATTTCTAGAGGTGGGGTGGCCTTTAATATATAAAACAATAAAGATCCAAGAAACCATTAATCAGAGACAACTCCTTACATGACCTCCAGATAAACTATCGGGTCGTGTTTACTTGTTCCAGAAAAATTTTCTAGGAATAAAAAAAACTAAGGAAAACATATTTACTAATTCAAAATGAAAAAAATAATTTCTTTTATACGCATGTTTTTAAATTTTTCAATTCTCTGGAAAACTGGAAAACGTCAAAATAGTTGTTTTCCAAATTTCCACAATAATAAATAAAGGCCTTGTTTGGTTTACCTAATGTTTTATGCCCATTCTTTTTATTATTTTTAAGATGAGCCAAAGAAGGCCCTTGTTTTCTATTTTGGAAAATTTGTACTTAATAAACATGTTTCCTTATTTTTCAATGGAGAAATCTTTTTAGAAAAAATAAGAAAACTAGAGATGGAAACTAAAAAACTATTTTCTAAAAGTAAACACAACATTAAGATCTCCTAAACAAGGGACAACTCTAATGGAAGAGAAAAAAATAGTAATTTCCTAGAGAACTTTAGCAAATGTTTAATGGTGAAAATTTTCTTTTTGCTAATCTGCTGGTTGATTGTTGATACTAATATTAGCTACCGCACTGATGTGAACTTACACATTTCTGCGTCTTCTGATCAGTAATAAAATAGGGAGAAATATAACCTCTAGCTAGCTTCATTCCTTCAACCACTTCCAATTCATTATCCAAAGTATTCCCATCCTGCAAAATTCAAAAGCAATAAGAAACCTACACTAAAAATTTATCCAGTAATCATATACATCAAAAGGAGGTAGTGTGCTCACAGCGACAGTAATCACTCCTTCCTTTCCAACTTTCTCCATTGCTCTTGCCATCAATTCTCCAATCTCGCGTTCACCGTTAGCAGAGATAGTAGCAACCTATTCAGATTTGTTAGATACATTGGCTGATAAACAAGATAAAACAAGAATAGTGTACATAGAGTATAGTCATGGATCTCGTATAGATCTAACAAGCACACAAACAATGTGCACGAGAAATAATTCTAGAAATATGAACAGTAATTCTTACTAAGTAAATAACAAAGAAAACAATGTCAAAATTTACAATAAGGAACTTTATCAGAAACTATATGGAGTATGAAAATGTGACCAAGGCAAGTCTATGATTAGAAAGCTACCATAAACTGGACAGAGGCAACTTTCCAACACTTGAAAAACTATAGAGCATTTCTTTGTGTTAAATATCTACTAAATTCTAAATGCAAATCAGATTCGTTGCAATTAGATCTGGATTAGATCAAAGATTCCCACCAAACATAGCATAAAAACAAGAACAGCTTCCATAAGATGCTGTGTACCTGCGTAATTTCTTCTGGCGTGCTTATCATCAATGCTCTGCTTTTCAAGTCTGAAAGGACAGCATCAACCGCCATATTAATGCCACTTCGCAAATCCATTACATTCACACCAGCAGCTACAGACTTGCAGCCTTCAGTGAGTATAGCCTGAGTCAGGACAGTTGCACAAGTCGTACCTGCAGCATTATACATAACAACCGCCAGCAACCCAAAACAATGGGAACTTATTAGATAGATCTGAGGAGTGATCAATGGTAAGTTTCTACTTTGCATGTTGTACCTTTACATAGTGATCTAGTGTTTCATATTCAACGTATTTGTATATTGAACTGTTTACATTTCAAAACCAAAACTAATGATGCTCAGAGCAGGAAAGAAAATGCAAAAAATACAGCATTAATCATCTTTAACCTGTGTATTTAAAGGCTACGTGATGACACTGTTGTTGATGATAGTCTACTAACAACACCATGCCAGAGCTACTTGCAGGTAAAATGCAGGTGGGTAAATTAAACAGTTGTGTCAAAGACACGAGATTCAATTTGAAGTCCCAAAAAAACTGCAAGTTAAGGTCATTCTAACTCTGAAAAAAAGCAGCTCTTTTCTCCATTTCTTTTCATTCCCAAAAGAGAATTATTTCTAAGTTATAAGAGAAAGTATTATTATTATTTCTTTTCTTTGGCTTGTTTGGTTTTCAAAACAAATAAAATAGCTTTGAGGCACTAGAATAATACAAATCTACCCAACTCAAGAAGGCATTTAATCTCAATTTTAATTATGTTAAGAAATTCACAATAATTGTAATGCTTTTGTGACATGAAGTTAAGAAATCACCATCTCCTGCAGCAGTATTAGTGGCATTTGCGACCTGCTTCACAAGGTCTGCACCAATATTCTTCGCCTTTTCCTTAAACTTGATGCTTTTGGCAACAGTGGCACCATCCTTTGTCACCTTTGGATCCCCCCGGTTTTTTTCAATAATAACATTGCGACCCTGAATTGATTGACAAGGAAAAACATGAGATCAGTTATATGGAAGGGTGACCAATACATTTGTACAGTGTTTTATCATCATTGCAAGGGCTCAACCTCATACATTCCCGTCGTGGTTTCTTAATTGAATTGATTCCAAGAAATAAGTTAAGATGTGGATATAATAGAGAAGGCCAATTTTCAAATTTCAAGACAAACACTAGAGACATTCTTTCAGGAAAAAAATAAAATAAATTCAGGCTGGACACGGTAACGATGTTCATTGTTTCTAATCCTCAAAGTAATCCATAAAACTTGAAGAATAAATAAGGGAAAAAAAAAGTAATAGCGTAACTCCAATACCTTTGGTCCCATTGTGACTTTCACAGCTTCTGCTACCTCATTAACACCCTGTAGCATAGCTGCACGAGCCCCAACTCCAAAATTGATATCCTTGGCCACATAATTTCTACTGTATGCAACCCTACTGGATAACTATCCAATTCACAACATTAACAAATAAACTTGTCAGGATGAATAAATACCCAGATGAACAACCTCCAGTAAGAATCGCATAGAACAACCAAATCAATCAAATCGAAATGTTTTTCATCGAAACGGGCCATTCAATTTTGATATAATCGAACTAAACGCGACCTCCATTTGCTCACAGTGAACAACATTTGACTAAAGGAGGTTATTGCAAGTATCTATCCGGGCTTAGTTAACCCGAGTTCAGTTTTCACGCGTAACTCAAAATTTGTCAATGATATATTACTCATTGATAAGAAAAATCAAATTTTCATTGAGAGAAAGAGGGAGAGATTAGTAGTACCACCAGCTTCTTTGAAGCAGAAGAACTGCCAAAAAAAAAAAAAAAGGGAGAGAGAGGGAGAGAATTAGCAAATACATTTACGCATAATTTGCATACGAAGAAGATACATGAAGAAATCAATACCCAATTGATGAAGCTAATCTTGAAGCAATCCTATACATGGTTGACGATTACACTGAGAAATTGAGTGAGTGTGTTTTGAATTCCCAGTTAGGGGTTTTTGTAGGGTTTTAGCATCCCTGGGGTTTAAGGTAAACACAATTTCCCACCCTCATAAAGGGGTAACTTCAAATAGGTCCCCTAACTATGATGAAACTTGTAATTAAGTTCCCCGACTATCAATTTAAGTGATATTATCATAAGGGTATCTCAAGGTTGTCAATGTTGTCCCCACCATTAGTCTCGTGTCAATGAACATTTTAAGAAGCATGTTTTCTAGCATGTCTTGTTAGGCAGGAGTGAGCAAAATCCAACCAAACCCAATACCCAAAACGAAACAGTCATAATTCATTAATTTGGTTTGGTTTCTTTAGTTTTTATTTATTTATTCGGTTTGGTATTTCAATTTAGTTAGAAAATCAAACAAGGCAAACAATTTGATTTTTTTTTCTTTCTTTCAATTTTTATTTTTAAAAAATAATAGAAAAATAAAAAATTACAAATTACAAAAACTTGTTTGAAAAAAAAATTGAAAACCAAAACTATAAAAATAATCCAAAATATTTCAGTTCACGTGTTTCATTTTTTTATAAATTCGATTTGATTTTTTTAAAATAAACCAAATTAATTAAAAATCAAACAGAATTGCTATTTACTCACCTCTATTGTTAAGAATGCACTTTGGACGTAGTTAAAACAAGCCATGATCCCACCTAATTCGAGATTTTATGGAGTAATTCGAAGAAACTAATGACAGCGCGGTATTAATTAATGAGGGATACCTTAAGAATAACATTGCTAAATTCAGTAGTTAGAGGATGAAATTGAAAGCTACATTATAGTTGGAGTAGTTATTTGAAGTTATTCATAAGTTTAAAATTCGGAAAATCTGCTACCAAAATGGCAAAATCCTTATTTAGTCCCTGTTGTTGTTTCAGAATGTTTATTTACATCTAGTACCTTTTATTTGATAAATTACATCCAAATAGTATCATTTATGATTATTATCATCATTGCCAAATATAACAGTTCACTTAAATTGAAACTGAAAAAGACTTTGTTTTTAGATCAAAAGCCAATTGAGAAACAAAAGGATTCTTTGTGAAGGGAAGGAAACGAGTTTACATGTCACTACAAGAACGTCCAAAAACATTGTTTTGTAAAATTTTTACATAAAAACTAAAGATTTAGAATCCAAATCTAAAAATTAAAAAATTATTGTAAAAATGAACGGACATATAGAACTTTGTCAACAATCCAGCAATACTTCTATTGCTTTGATCCTTCACTTGATCCTCCTTTTTTATCTTAACAAAACATCTGAATATTAATTTATTAGCAATTTAAGTGAAACTTACATTACAGCTGAAGACCCATTAAAGAATTGAAGGACGTAAAAAAAGTCTTAATCTAAGAGAAATACCAAAAAAAAATTAGACAAATACTAAATAAATTGGATAAATATAAAAAATAACATTGTATTTGATAAAAAGAATACTTCAGATTATTTAAAAAATTAAAAAAAATACTAATTTATTAGTACTTTACATAAAATTTACATTACAACTGAAGACCCATTAAAAGAATTGAAGGACGTGAAAAAAATCTTAATTTAAGAGAAATACCAAAAAAAAAAAAAAAACTAGACAAATACTAAATAAATTGGATAAATATAAAAAATAACATCATATTTAATAAAAAGAATACTTGAGATTATTGAAAAAAAAATCTAAAAAAAAAAAAAAGGGAAAAATGCTCTTGCTAAGGGCGGCAGCTATAAAAAGAAAACTAAAGGATTCTTAAATTTTAAAGAGAAAAACTTTAGGAGGAAGATGAGTTTCAAAAAATTCAACTCCAGATTATATCATATATGGGTAAATTTATTCCAATAGATAATACGTATGGTATGCTATTTAAAAAATAAAATAAAATAAAACGTTTTCTACACAATATTAAATCATGTGTATTTTAAAATAAAAAATAATAAGAATAATCAAGAATATTTATCGATTTCTCATCATTTACCATGATCTCCTCTCCCTTTTTCAACATTTTTTATTAAAAACGTTCAGAAAATCTCTCATATTCATTTCTACTTATATATACACACACACACACACACACGATTGCATCATGGATATAACAGACTTTCAACCTTTTTTCAATTGAGTATTTAAATTTAATTTTTTTTGTTTCGAGTGCATAAATTTTCTCAAAACTCGTTAATTAAGTATGTTCGTCAACTTTTTTGTTAACTAATCGTATGTCAATTATCTTCGAATACTAAATTATAATTTTGGCTTTTTTTTTCCTCAACAGAGCACACAAACTTTAAATTTTTCTATTTAAATATATCATTTTTTTTAAACCACTAATAAAGTATTTTTTGTCGTTTTTACTGTTATCTAATAACGTGTTTGAATACCAAATTACATTTTTCTCTCTTTCATTGTAAGGAACCTTATTCCTAAATTACTCTATCATTTTATATTTGTCTCTTTTATTATAAGAAACTTTCTCCCTAAAGTATTCTATCATTTTAAAATACTATAGAGAATTTTAAAAAGTTAGTTTTTAGGTATAAAATTATGAACTAAACTCAATTAGTATTGTTGTTACAATAAAAATAAATAAAAAACTTAGTTAGGTTTTGAGCGTGCAAGTTGAAGGAAGCACAAACATGAGATTTTTCATTAAAAAAATTCATCCGTATTTTTCTTCAAGTTTCACTCCTAAACCTAACCAAGTTATCTGTTTTTTTCCCCCCATAACAACAACATAACATAGTTTAATTTGGGATTTTAATTATAGGTAGAAAATGATATTTTTAAATTCTTTGTCAAATTTTGAAATCATAAAATAATTTGGAAGAAAGCTCCTTTCAATAAAAGAAGATAAAATTATAATTTTGTATTCGAATATATCATTAGTTAATGAATCAATATAAGTACTTGAGTGATAGTTTTAAGAAAATTGATGTACTTGAACGAAAAAAATAATGTATTTGATTGAGAAAAAGGAGAAAAAAATAATTTGGTATTCCGATAATAACGAACACATCATTGATTAATAAAAACATATATATATATATATATATATTTGATTGACAATTTTGAAAAAAAAAAAACAATGTACTTAAAAATAATAATTAAAACTCATGTACTTAATTGAAAACAAACATTGAAAGTTGTTGCATTCATAGTGCAATTGTCTAAAAAAAAATCTAAATCCTTCTATATCTCTTTTATATATCTGGTACTTTTTCCTTTTAAATAATATAATTCTTTAAGTCACAAATACACATCTTAGACATGGGAACAAAAATTTGATATTATTGTATAGTTAAAATTTCATAAGCAAACATATTTGAGTATTGTCGTTTCCGATTTATTTGATTATTATGTGGGGAAAAAAAAAACTAATCTCTGTTGTGTAGCGCAAAATCCACAAAACTTTCAATGAACCAAAAAAAAAAAAACCATGTACCTAAAATCTTAATAGATATTCACAATTGACAAATATATGTGGCAAAATAAATCCCCCGTCATTAACTATTATCTCGTTCTTTTATATAATTATATTGGGAACTTAATTCTTTTGAATAGATAAAATTATAATAGGTTGTCTATTAAAAATAAATTAGTAGATTACAACGGAAATGACGAAGGATTCGTAATCAAAATCAAAATCAAATCACACCCAAACCCACGTCTGTTGCTATCATTTTTGCCACCCAGAGGAAACCAACCTCCCAAATATGCTCACTCTTTAAGAGCATCTCCAGTGATGCTTTTTACTTTTAATTAATATTTTTAATGTAAATAGAGAGCATCATAAATTATATAGATTTAAGATCAATGTTCTATTTAATGATATTCTCTACTTTAACTCTTTATTTTGACAAAATCCAAAAAAACTATTGATAAGGAGGCTAAGTGACATAAGATATAGTAATTTTTATTAATAAAATATAAGATAAAGAGTCATTTGGACTCTCTAAGTATTGGAGAGTCAAAGATACTATGTATAACAAAATTCTTTTTACGTCATCTTATTTTGCTGATTGACACAAACACAAGTTGATTTTGGAGGGATGTTTCCTCCTATATATTTATATTCCTTTTCCAATCCCGTCCCAAGTCAACAAATCTGTCAATAACCAGGAACGAAGTACGAATCTCATTCCAAAACAACACCTAAATTACATGAAAGTTCACAGAGACTGTTGCTTGACCACCTCGCAACTTCATGCTTTATCATTGCGAAATGCCAGCAATGCATTTTTGCAGTGGAACCCACGATGTCTCTCTAGCTATGAGGTGAGCCGCGAGCACTACTCTTTTGACTCATTCACCACGTCAACATCGTCTTTATCGAAGAGTCCATCAGGAGGGTTCATGGATTGAAAAGGACAAAAACCTAATTTTACCAGCAGAAATCATTGTGTTTCAGTTTCATTAATTATTAGAATTTGAACTAATGAGATTTTAATTATCACCAATAATTTCTAGCAAAATTAAGAATATTGCTGAACTTATTTACCGGTGAGTAAGAGGTTTTGGAGATCATATTAATCTCACATCCTTGAGTATTAAGGTTAACTTCTTCGTTAACAAACTAATCAATCATATCTATGCAAAAATAAAAAAATAACTTGAATTCCACTGCTAATGATAAATCATACGCTACTGTCAAATCATACACTCTTTCCCAAAACAATAATGATCTACGGGACAAGAATTGTTTATAGAGATTTTTTCAGTTTTTTAAAAATAGCATTACTTTCGTTGGAGACCGACCAAAAACACTTTTGGGTTGAAATATGAAGCTAATAATTAAAAAAAAACTAAACTAACATCAATTATTACTGATTCATGTATTATTTAAAATACTGTTTATCCAAATTTATTAATACTATTCATTTAAACTTAAATATACTATTCTTTTCGTTATGAGTATTTTTTTTAGTTTTTAAATATTTTTAATACTTCTATTATGAAATTTTTAATAACATTACATTTGGTCCATCTTTTTAAATATTATTTTTTAAATTTATAAATATTTTTTATTTGATTTTGATTTAATTGTTTTTTGTTTTATTTTGGTCACTTTTCCTTTCTTTTTTCTCTTTTATTTTTTTAATTAAAAAAAATTAAGGTAAAAAGATGTTTGGAAAAAAATAATTTACAAAATAAGGTTTTAGTTAAAAACGTGGATAGAGATAAATAAATAATATTTTCTTAATAAAAAAATTATGAAAATATAAAGAATAATTAGTCAAATGTAAAATTACGATTAAAAAATATAAAATTGAATGAATTTTTATTCGAGTTTTGATTTGATATATTTTGATAGACGCACAATATAACACGAGACATCAAAATAAAATAATTTCAAGCATTTTCTTCTATCCGTAGCATAACATAGATTAAAAAAAAAAACTAGTACTATATCTATAACAAATCAGCCAATAAAAAAATATATATATCTACAACAATAAAATCTCACAACACAAAGACAAAAACAAAATAAATTATCAATTAATCCTTCTAGTTTTAATAAACAAATTTAATCATTTGATACGTCTTATTTTGTGATTAATCTTTTTATAATTCTATTTATTTTTATTTTTTTAAAATAAAAACAAAGTAAATTAGAAAAGAGCTCAAAAGGTAAACAAAAATGACTAGATACTTAGTTTTTTTAAAAAAAAAACTGGACCAATTAATTCACTTTTCAAAAACTAGAGAGACTAGTTTATAAACATAGCAGGATTAAAGTGAAAAATTATATATGTACCAACTGCTAACTAGAAAGAATCACATGTCATATACTAATGAGTTATATTACACAAATCACTTATATTTATTTTCGTAGGGGATAATTCAGCTTCTTCTTCTTCTTTTTTTTTTTTTTTTTTTTTACAATCAAAACACAAAATAGTGTAGTTCTGAAAACTCAAAAGGCCCACCGACAGAAATTACTAGCACCAGTACTCCCAAGAAAGTACGAAGTCGCTCTCTCTGTATCATGTCATCATTGGTCATTTCACTTTATCAAAAAATAATAAATATTCTTGTATAAATATTAATTAAAAACATTTGAGAGCGACTTCTAGTTGCTCGCAATTTCATCGTGACAATACCTATCGTAATTTCACATCATTTCGCCTTCTCTGGGCACACTGCAGAATTTTCTTTAAGAATTATTTGTGCACATTTAGAAGTGACATGTCAACCACTAACCACAAAATGGATTTTGGAGATAATATATGTGAAACCCACGATAGGAAAAGGGCCACCGCAGCTGGGAAGCACCTAAGCAAAGAAAGTCACTGAATTTTCTGGTTTATGCATGCCAAGTCAGAAAATGACAAGGGTCCTCACTATTTGTTTGGTTATAGATTTGTTTTTGAGCTCAATTTGCTTAATCACCAAAAGAATGTTGTGATCAATTAAGCCTACCACGACACCAAATGCACAGTGTGCAGAATTCTGTCGGTATACGTAATATATATAGTGTCTTGTTATGCCACTGAAAAATGGTACGGATCACTGTACATAGATGTTTAAGATGATAATCCTGAAATTTCAAGATCATATGATGGAAAGAAAAGGGAGAGAAAATGAAAACATGATATATCATGAAATAATTTTGACAAAACATAATTCAGAACAGATATAATAAAAAATCCTTTATAAGTAATCAAGTTTTCAATAACAATCAATTCTATCAAAAGTTAGCAATTTCAGGTTCTGTTTTGTACATAATTTTTTTTTAAAAAAAAAACTAAAATCGAAAACCAAAATTGTTTTGATTTGATTCGTCTTTTCTTTAAATTCCGTATTTTCTATTATTTTTTTTATAAAAACTTCAATTCAAATTATTAGCATTCTTTGAAATCTTTGAAAATCGAAAAAAAAAAATGATCTTCCAGCTTTGTCCAAAGGAAAATTTAACATTCGAAAGAAAAGATGTAAAAAAAAAACTGATTTTTAACCAAAAAACCAAACGTTAATTCTGTTTGATTTTGATTTTTATTTTATTCAATTCGATTAATCGAAAACTGAAAAAAAATTTTATCAAAATCAAATCGAAAAATCAAATAAACACCTCTAAAAATAACAATTATCTTTGATAAAATAAATGTCAATAACAGGTGGATGTAGGGGTAAGCGAGCTTTTCATACAACAATATTGCATCCATGGTATTTGAATTTCAATTATCATAATTTCTAATTAGTGGCATGTTTAGGTCTCTACTTATGGTCATAAGTATTTTTAGAATACCTTAAGTTTCAACTTCGATATAGATATGGTAGAGGTCTCTACTTATGATCAAAAAAATCTCGAGTGAGTGATTTTCTCTGTCACCAAGAAAGAAATAAAAGGAGAACTGGCTTTAATTCATACTATTCATTGTAAAAGAAAGATGACCATTGACTTTAGCGACAGCTGCATTCTCAAATGATACCACTAAGCTAAGAGCATTAGTTTATATTATAGATAAACTAAACCATTAATATGCATGTCCATCCACTTGTAACTTATAAGATTAATTTTTCTGTCACTAACTTGAAGAAATTAAAAAGAAAACGACAGGATTAAGAAGCACTAAGAAACAATTAAATCAAACAAAAATCTTTCAACTCTAATAAATAAAATTTATGTCTCCTAATACAATCAATCAATCAATCAATCACCAAACTTAAGTTCTTCCATTTACAAACATATGATGATAAATGATTATGACAAACCATTGAAGAAAAGAAAATATATATGTAACTTTAAAATTAAAAAGAAAATAACCAAAAATTAAACAAACATGGAATCAAAGAGTTTTTTTTTTTTTTACTCTCTTAAATACTTTCCTTATAATTAGAAATTCCACTTCCAGATCTTGATCCTCAAATCAACCTTGCACTTAGCATCTGATACAGATGCTTTTGTTGCTTGTTTCCCAGATGGAACAGTAGCCTTAATCCCTCGACAAGTGACCCTAATTCTAGCTTTTGGAGTCTTTAACCCTCCCATCTTGACTTTCACTTTGGTCTCCAGCTCTAACTTCAAAGCCACACCATTCTTGCTCTTCAAATCACTCTTTAACTTACCAGCAGATGCATCATCCAGCTGTACGCCACTGCTTGTGATGGCAGCTCTCAAGAAGGTTGTGTTCTTGGTGCCATGCACAAATGAGGGGAAGAAACCACTGCCTACAGCGATATCATCTTTCTCTGTAGTCACAGAAATAGTGATGGGGTTATATGTATAGACAAGTTTTTTATTAGGGTTTCTAGTGGTGATGTTGAGGTTGATGTTGGTAGTGAGATGGGAATTCGAGGTAAGGTTGAGAGAGGAGATTTTGAAGCCGGAGACGTCGAAGGTAGGGCGGTGGGGTCGGTAGAGGACGTAGATAATGGCTCCGGCTATGGCCACAAGGACTATGAGAGTGAAGATGACCACTGTTGTCCATAAAAAACAGGCACAGCAGCAACTGCGGCTGCGTTTACGGTTGGGTTGGGGACGGTAGGCGGGGCGGGAGGCACCATAGAGTTGGGCTTTGGTCGCTGGAAAGGAAGGGTTGGTGGCTGCTGCGCCATTTGTGGCTGGTTTAGTAGAAGGGTAAACTCTGTCTGTCATGGCGGTCGATCGAGAAAGTAAAGTGAGGGAAGGAATAGAAAATAAAGTGTTGCTTAGGGTCTTAATTAAAAAAGAGGGAAAGCATACGTTTCTATATATTCTTTTGGTATTGGGAGAAGACAGAAGAATGGAGGGCAAAAGGTGCGCTTGTTTTGGCCTTTGACAGAGTAGAGAGAAATTAAGGTAGTAATTGCTTGGCTCAAGTCCTTTATTACAGAGAGTTGTAGTCCTATACTCCAACTTTAAGGGGAAAAAGAAGAGTTTTGTTCTGTGTGTTTACAATATAGAAAAGGAAAATGGAGGAATTGTTTAGGACACAATCTGGACAAGGTCTAATGCTTTGGTTCTTGAGAGAGGCATAAGGAGAAAAGTCAAGAGAACGGAGGAAAAGCGTAGTGTGAAGGGATGAAAGAGAGGGAGATGGAAATTAGCAAAAGACAGCATGGACAACAACACCATACCAATACCTAAAGCATATATATATGCAAATATTCATATAAACCTTTCTTTGAGCTGCCGCGTTTAAAATCATCAGGGGATGGAATTTTAACAAATTAAATAGTGATAAATTAACTACCCATTCACCAGAAACCAAAGATTTTTTTTTTTTTTTTGTCATTTTGATTGGTTGGGTTACACGATATTGTATATGTATGCTAATGATATTTCACCAAATTGGGTCACATCATCCTAACTTAATCAATTCTTTAGTTTTTATCATGGTAGTTAGGTGTTGTACTACTTGTTGATCAGTTTTATCGTGACCATTAGAAGCTTTTAAGAAAAGATAATACTTTAGGGAGCAATATGAATATATTTTAATACAAATTGACAAATTAGTATATATATAATTTACTAAAAGATTTCAAGGGACTAAGATTAAAATTAAAAATAACACTTACGTGTGATCCTTTACATCATATTTGTATAATTTGTAGAGTTCACATTAAATTGGATATATAGCTGATGACATGTATACATCCCACCATCCCACTTGATTTCTTAAATTGTTCAGTTTATACCAACTTTTATATATCTCTCACTAAGATAGTTTATTATTCAATTGAAATCTATTTTTTTATTTAAAATATTATCTCTTAATGAGATAGGTTATTATCGGATTATATTTTTTTATTCAAAACAATGCAAAAATAGTTAAAAATAATAATAATAGCAAATATATATTGTTTTCTAAAAACAAACAAAGTATAGGAAATCATTGAGAAGAAAAATTTTATAATACTAAAGCAGTAAATATGTACAGTAATTACTCCATAAATTCATTTTTTAAAAAATAGACACATTAAAAAATAATAGAATTACATCTAGATTTATCAAAAGTTATAAAAAATATTTTACATTAGCTTTTTTTTTTAATTTTTCCTCTCTTATAATTTTTTTTTCATTTCTCTCTTCTATTTATTTCAAAAAATCTACCTCCTTTTTTAAGATGGACCAATAGATTAACTATTATATATTTTTTAAGTATTATTAAATTTCTCGAAATCATTTATTAAATTTAGTGAAAACTTACGGTTATTACAGACATGCATGTCACGCCACGTATAAAATTGCATGATTACACGAATAATCTTATAGTCTAATTTAAGATTTGAAACATGATAATTAGGAAGGGAACCGAACTCTTGGGGCCGAAGGGGAAGCGGAGAAAATTGCATGAATTATTGGAGTGAAATGAAGGCCAAAAACCCAACTTAAGGATAAGATTAAAGGGAACTCCAATTAATCTACGGGACAGTATACGTGTCTGAATTCGAGGACCTGAGAGCAACGCGCCTGAAAGAAACTGGACCCAGCTGTCCAGCATCTCACCACAACACACAGATGGCTCCACGTTACCAGTTCAATTGCGTATTAAACACGTGTGACCATTAAGAAGTGAAGACCCACCATGTTCCCCAAGATTACAGATCTATCGATTCGGCGACCGTATAAGGTGGCATCACTTCTCCTTTTATAAAGTCAATAATCATCCGGTCAAGCTTTTCCAATTTGCAAATTCAATCAAGTAGCACATAAAATTCGAGAAAACAATTTGCAGGCTTAATTGAACCCTTTTAACTAATCATGTATTGTTCGTTACACTAATTGCTTTCGACATCCTCAATCATTGACAAAATGGAAGTCAAGACACCAGCAAATTGATTCCTTACCTAATGAGTATATATATATATAAGTGTGTGTGTGTGTTTTTCCTTTCTGTTGGCAATTAAAAGGGAAGTCTTACCTTGTATTTATGCATGCATCTCATTCTTGTTTATTATTATGGAATGACCATTTGAATAGTATGGGCACAAATTATGGAGCTGTCAATTTGTCCAGTACCCTGAATTGGTTGGATTGGACATGCCCAAAGGTTTGTGTGATCTAAATTCCTATATTTACCAATGTTTCAACAACAAAATAAAGGGAACGCATGAATATTAATCATGCGTGAGGTTAGGCTTGCTTTGGAAACACATTATTTTTTGTTTTGCATCTAAGCAATCTCGGATAAGTTTTTGCGCATTGAGATAAAATCTATCTCTGATTCAATCAATGTAAAATTAGATTATTTACATAAAGATTAAGAGATTTATGAAAAATTTATGTCGTAGAAGAAGCACATCTCTTAACTTTCAAAACAACATTTTATGTTAACCATATTTTTATATACGTTGATAGCAATCTTCCATAAGAAATTAATCTCAAAATGAACTCAAAAGAGATAAAGAAAAAGTTAATTTTTTTTTATGAAAAAAAAACACAAAATTCCCATACATCAACTTCTTCTTCTTCTTTTTTTTTTTTTCACACAAATTTGCCAATTTATTTATCTATCTATTTTTATTATAAAAGAGAAACTCTAATTCGAGATCTTATGAGCTACAAATTCATTAGCAAATGTCCCAATTAATTCCGTATGGTACTACTATGAGGCTTTCATGAGATGCTGTAGTTGATTCAGTCATTTACTTGCTCTCTTGTTGCATAATTAATGTTGTCCAAGCTCTTCCTCTACCTCTGCCAATCGTAAGCGTGTGAGATTTTGAGTGGAATGATTTATTTGCACATTCCTTGGCACTGGAGCTACCTTCCATGTTTGATTCTGAATCGAGAACTATTATAGAATCAATCAACTGACAGGACACAAGATCAGACAAAATTAAGGCAAGGGTTTTCAGAAAACTTCCAAGACTGAAGTTGAGCGGAGGTAGCTTTACCTCAAGAATAAGTACTCATCGTAAACAGATGTTAATACTCTATTGTTCAGAGGGGAATAAGTGTTTCGCCAACTATATGCAATCAAGCGACGCTTGTGCCACCCTGGGCTTCACAAATCAGCGACATAATAAGTAATTAAATTTTGGACCACAAACCTTATTTCAGATTTATGCACCATCAAAATTTATCAAAGATCAGATGAATTTTCACTTCCAATCATAGTTTTAAATTACAAATGATTGAAAAAATAATTATGATTATTATCATGAATCATAATTTATTACATGACTCAAACAATAATAATAATAAAATGTTCTAAAATTGTTATATAAGGATTGTTACATATCATAACAATTATTATTTAAATCCATGCATTCTATAGCCAAGGTTTTCTAGCTCTTCCTTTGTCAATTATAAGTATTCATCAAGATTTCGTATTTTGGAGTTGACAAATACTTTATTCATTTTAATGGAATGATTTTCTCAAGGCCATGGGACTACTATCAAATCACATGCAATAATTATTTTTATAAAATAAAAATATAGTCATCAATATAAAGTTTATCAATCACTTTATTTATAAGTCCTTTTTTTAATATTAATATCAACTGTAATTAAGGATGAGAATGAGTTAGTTATAAAATGAGTACAAGCTTTATTCGATCTAATAAATACTCATTAAAAATATTCAATAGGTATTAAAGTTGATAAAGTTAAAAAATACGTACTCTAGTATAGTCTTAAGGTATGAGTACCCACTCTTTATCTTATTAATACCAACTAATTTATTTTGATTTTTTTTAACATGTAAATATTTAATTGTATAAACTTTAAAAATTAAGGATCAAAATATATGTTTCCAAAACTTTGAGGATAAAAAAAACTTAAAAAGCAACATGCCAATTCTATCTTCCAAACTTATCCGATTGAAGATAAATAAAAAGCAATTTACCATCATAAAGCCAAAAAAAAAAAAAATCATGTTTTGGAATTCTTGTAAATGTTTAAAGCTTTTAATTGGTTGTGATAAATAGTAGCATAGCATAACTTTCACCATCAATTTTTTTTCTAATTCTTCTGTCACACATCAAAACAAGGACGGAAGGAAAATGGAAGCTTCTTAAAATGGAGGGAAGCCAAGCCCAAATTACAACCAAGATCACAAATTAATCAATACTATGTAATTATATGAATACTTTAATAATTTAGCTATCTCTTCCTCGATGACATAATCTCTAATTTCAGGACAAAGCGTCCATGCAAATCACTTCCAGCTTCTGCTGGAATTTCGGGTTCAATGCCTTTTCTTTTCAGTTGCTATTATATAGTTGTTTCTTATACCAGATTATATTACAAGTGGAGCTAGCATTCAGCGACAAAGATGGTTTTGTTAGCACCGTTTCCACAGTTTCCCCAAAAATAAACCTAAATTTATTTATGCCAATGGCAATTCCGTTGACCTTCCAATAGCTAGCACACACCCCAAAAGGATACTTTCACAACTAGCAAGCAAGTGGTCAGCCACTTAGCTCAAAAAGTGACACAGTACAAGACTCTGTCTATGCTTTCTCCATCTTTAATCCTTCATGACTTGGGATTTCTTTTTCTTAATTGGGCACTATGCCAACAAGCTATAATCGTGGCCAACCTCAGGCGCCTATAATGACTAAACGGGACTTACAACGTCGCGGCTATCGATGCGGATTTACTCCTCTTCATCCTTCCTTAGCTTGCCTGGTTTGCTTAGACATTATCCTGATAGTCCTCGAAGATGG